AGGCATTTTTTTCATTAAACACTGCCGAGTTCAGTTATAAATATTTTTATGTAAGAACAAAGGATAACAAAATTAAATCCTTTCCAGTACAATCAATAATATTGTGATAAAATTCAGTAAACATAATAATTATGTACACAAACAAGTTATTTCTTGCTGGATGACGACATTATTCAAAACGGGAAGTGAATACTGATTTAGTTCGGAATGGATAGATGTTCATTAGGAAGTTAAATAACGTATGAAAATATGGAAAACATAAGTGCTTGCATTCATAACACTTAACTTCCGGTTTTATGACGTCAAAGTATTTGGAAGCAAAAAGTGAACATTATAATGGATATCATTATTTGGGCTACGAAGATATACGACATGGATCGATATAAATTAAATTTAAAATTAGTTGTTTTCAAATTCTCATAAAAGGTATTTCCGGTCTGATGACCTCATGAATTTGAAACCTTGCCAACTTATTTGTAGTTCATGAAAGAATATCAAAGGCTGATTTAGTAAAATTTGAATGGATGATTTTCAAATTATAGAAAGCAAACACTGTTTTATGTGCCGCTAGGGGCGCCCTTTCGAAAGGTGACGTCATCACAATGCTTTTTTTTTGTCTGGCATTCATCACTTAACACCAGTTATCAAAATGATATATGTGTAGTAAAATGCTTTCGCCTTTGAATTATATTCGGATTTCATTGCACTTCCAGTAACACCGGAAGTGAAGGTCAAGCGGTTTTATGCCCGGGGACAAGAAATGTTTCTCATGGCATAGTCTACAACCTTACGAAAAAACGAACACGATACTCAATTTAGTTCGAAAGATATGGCAGAAACTATTTTGTTAGAATTTACCCTGAAATAGCTTGTAATTTGATACCTGATGACGTCATGATGACATAACATTTATAACATCTTCGTTACATGGTACAAGTTGACACTAGGTTTCTGGATCATACCGTAAACCGTTCGGAAGAAATTCTGCTTTGTTTTGATTTCAGGCTAAAGTCTTCATTTAGTGAATTCACCTTACTTTGACCTTCCGGTAGACCCGGAAGTAAAGGTCAAGCGAGTTCACGTACACAATAAAAAATGTTTATCAATTCATGGTCTATCTGATAGCAGAATACAAACACTATTGATGATTTTGATCAAGAGTTATAGATGAAAGCAATTGGTCACTTTTTCAGCTAAAATTGCTTGTAATTTGACACCCGATGACGTCATCATGACGTCAGAGTAATATGCACCACTAGGGATGAGGGTCGATATATATTGAAAGTTACAAGTTCATATCATGAACCGTTTAGGAGAAAAGCCGCGGAGAAGTATTGTCCGGAAAAAAAATAAAGATTTATCAGAACAATAACAGAGAGTGGTCGGGTTGTGCCCGACCACTCAACTAGAGGTTCGCGTTTGTTGTTACAAACGCAGAGTGGTCAGGCAGGCAATTTGTACATGAAACACTGCCGAGTTAAGTTATGATTATGTTTATGTAACAACAAAGGATCACGAAATTAAATCCTTTCCATCACAATAAATTGTTTTGTTGCGAAATGCATCTTTAACGGTGTGCTACATGTACATTTCCGTAAACATTTTATGTACACATACGAGTTATTTGTGGCTTGATGACGTCATTATTAAAACAAGTCAGGTGTGTTTACAAACACAAATGCCCCGCAACCGTGACTATTCCCATGACATAACACCACTCTTTTAACATCAACTTACAAATGTACATGTACCTTGGTCACATGGAACGTTCATTGACAGCATTAGTGTCTTCTGTAGGTTTTATATGAATTAATCACATGTAAAGTATTTCTCAAGTTACACACCCACCCACCCACGCACCCACCCACCCACGGAAGGACAAGGCGAAAACAGTATGCCCCTTCGGCTTCGCTGCGGGGCATAAAAATGGGAAATGAATACTGATTTAGTTTGGAGTGGATAAATGATTATTGTGAAGTTAAATAACGTATGCAAATATGGAAAATATAACTGTATGTATTTATAACACCTAACTTCCGGTTTCATGACGTCACTAGTATTTGGAAGCAAAAGGTTAACATTAATTGTTATGGTATCGTTATTTGGGGAACGAAGATATATACGACATGGATCAAATGATAGAATTCAATTTAAAATATGATCATTTTCAAATTCTCATCGACGTTACTTTCCGGTATGATGACGTCATGAATTTGAAACCTTGCTAAGTTATCTGTGGTTGATCAAAGAATATCTAGGGGCGATTTGGTAAAATTGGAACAGATGTTTTTCAGATTAAAGAAAACAAACACAATTTTATGTGCCGCTAGGGGGCGCCCTTTCGGATTATGACATCATCACACTGTTTTTTGCGACTTGCATTTCTCACTAAACACTTGCATAATATATATGTCTGTAGTAAAATGCTTCCGCTTTTGCGTTATATTCAGTTTTCATTGCACTTCCGGTAACACCGGAAGTAAAGGTCAAGCTGTTTTGTGTCCGAGAACAAGAAATGTTTCTCACGGCATAGTCTACAACCTCACGAAAAAATGAACACGATACTCTATTTAGTTCATAAGATATAGTGCAAACTATTTTGTCCAAATTTGCCCTTAAATCGCTTGTAATTTGAACCTGATGATGTCATGATGACGTAACAAAATCTATATAGCATCTTCATAGCATGGTACAAGTTTACACTATGTTTTATGATCATACCATAAACCGTTCGGAAGAAATTTTGCTTTGTTTTGATTCCAAACTAACGTCTTCATTTTGAATTCACCTAACTTTGACCTTCTGGTAGCCCCGGAAGGAAAGGTCAACGACTTTGACTTTATAATCAAAAATGTTTATCAAGATATTGTCCATCAGATCACAAAGTATGAACGTGATCGTTCATTTTGTTCATGTGTTATAATTGACGGAAAATTGTCATATTTTGACCAAAAATTGCTTGTAATTTGACACCCGATGACGTCATCGTGATGTCAGAGTAACATACACCACTTGGAATGAGGGTCATTATATATTGAAAGTTACAAGTTCCTATTATAAACCGTCTAGGAGAAAACCCACGGAGAAGTATTGTCCGGAAAAAAAAACACACACCAAAGATTAATACGAACGATTTCAAAGATAGGTCGGGTTGTGCCGGCCACTCAAAGAAAGAAAGAAAGATTAATCGCAACAAATCCAAAGAGTGGTCGGGTTCTCAAAAAAAAATGCAACACAGTAGTCAGCATTAGATGTCTTTCAAAAAGCACTCATTACGTCAAGTTTACCTTTTCATGAAATCTTTGCCATTATTGTCAAACCCTGATAACAGTGATTGATAAGAGAACTGTTTATAAACAACATCCTTTTTCATAAGGAAAAATGTAGGTCTCAAGTTTCATTGTCTTCCATTACTCATAATGATATAGGGAGCTTTTACAGGAAAATTGCAAAAAAGTGGTGGAAACATGAAGAAACACAATTCAAAGCACGACTAAGATGATCATGATTGGCGAGAAATACGAACATTGAAAATGAGAAATAAACACCAGGAATTGCTGCCAGCGAGTTAGCGCATGGCCCGGCAGCCTGTGCCGGCGAATGACAACATTTTCCCGCAGCACTTGAGAGAGTATGCAACCCACCATGTGGCGTCTGACTGGAGTGCTACAAATCTTGCTTTGTGGCAACAGATGCTGATTTGTTTTGTCCCAAGAATAAATAAGTCCTTTTTTACAACACAACTAAACAAATTGTTGTGATTACTAACGATTAGTAACGTCAAAACATCAAATACACGATCGTATTTTCTTCAAAAACAGCTAGCACGATGCACGGGCGAATCCATTAATTTCGTAAGGGGTGATTTAGTGCCAGTTTTGCGTTTTACGTCATTTCTTGAATACATTTCCAGAAAAAAAAATATATTGTGACGTAGAACAACTGACTGTCGTATAAAGAAATGTTTCAGACTCCATAAGAAGTATTTATAATTATTGTTCCCAAGACAGTACACCCCTTTATTGCCAAAAAATGGTTTGGTCCGATCATACAGCGTGCGTGTTGCATGCATGACCGGGGCACGCATGCAAATCACATCGGATTCCAACGAAAGAGTTCGCTCACGCATGGCCCGCCGGCCGGCCAGCGCGGCAGTGTATACCACCAGCGCTCGGTAGCGAACCTCCGGTATCTTTTCGTGGGATGTGCTTCCACTGTTCGTTTAAAAAAATGATTTGAGTCAGGTAACAATTGATAATTCGTTTCAGCAACAGATCTTATTTTATACCAGTACATTTAATACACAAGTAGTGAGAAAACCTTGGGTAGTTTTTTTTTGTCACGAAAAATGTGAAGCGTATCGATATCATATCGGTTAACTTCAAGCGTATCGGATTTTTTCGAAGCGTATCGGCCCGATATCCTATTGTATGCCTGGCTAGAAGCCTGTACTGGAGCCCAATTAGGTGAAGTAAAAAAAAATATGTTTAGCGTCCTGCCTTTTTGAAGAAAAGGAAGGAGGAGGCCCTTCCCCCCCCCCCCCACTCCCCCTCCAAGATGGGTGCCAGCTTTTTTTTTTTAAATGGCCGCCTCTTGGACTCAGGAAATGACATACCAGCTTTAGGCCTATATGGGCTAGATGCAACAGACAAAGCGGCCAAAATGATGTCACTGTTTAAAATGTATCATTTTTTCGTTAAAAAATAAAGGAAAAAAAAGGAGGCGGCCTACAAAAAGGAAGCTGGCGGGGCCACTACACATGGTTTTTTTTTAACTTCACCTTAGTCAGCTGATTTTCAATTGATTTGAAAAGGGAATCGTACAATATGTTGTTTGGCTGGTCTAATATTTCTTTCAAATGTATCAGTCAAAAATCTTCAAGCCTTGAGCTAAATCTACACCAGCTTTCAACAAATCTTTGTCAATGACATGTACATGTAAGTAAATACATTTTGAGCACCAAAATCAGCATCTGTGAGTATTCTAAGTGGTTCTCTTACCTCTGGGCTTGTCTCCTGTCATTAGTCTCAGGAACGGCTGGTTGCTGCATCCATTACACAACTCATCACACCCACAGCTCAATGTGTGCCTCGTTTGACATCTAGTCATGGTTGGTGCCAAAATGGTGCAGAAAAACTGAAAACAGTCCAAGTCCTTGAAGCTTTTGTCACAGATGTTTCATCCTAGTGAGGCGACTGTGCCACAAACATTATGATCAATGGAAGAACAGTGTGTATTTCCAGCACGTATGGTGCTACGTTATGTTCTGTAGACTACCTGTACGTACTCATGGTGTTTCGACACAGCATCAGGAATCAACTGAAGAATTTTGGTTGCTGTTGTCCTTTCAAAATCCATTGCCATCTTGCTCGCTGATGGATTACTGTCCAATAAAGTGTTTCGTTTTTTACGGCTGCACGCTAATCTGCTGATGCTAAGTAATACTACAACTTTCATCGCTGGCAATGCTCATCAAACACCAAGGGCCTGCTGGCTGAATAACTTGCTGGAGATGGGAGGATAGTGGGCGGCTTCCTTGGTAAGCAGGCTGACTTCCTAAAAGAGACATGGGGAAAAAAATATGACATTAATTTAAATTCCAATCAAAATATTTCTTATTTTACCATGGGAATTGCAGAAGACTTTTGCCAAACAGTTACCATACTTTATTTGTGCAAACCAAAATGGACGTATTCAATCAGTGAAATTTGTTCTGTAATGGCATTCTCAGTTGCTCAGCATAGGCGTACCCAGAGGGGGGGGGGGGGGAGGGGAGGGGGGAACCGCATTTTAACGCTATGTTGGACTCCGTTGGATTCAGCAGACAACTGAAAATGAGGCACAGTGGATTGAGCAGGAAAGTCCGGTTGGACTCTGTTGGATATAGCAGGGTAGTCCTGAGGAAGTACTAGGAGGTTAGGGTTAAGGTGGGGTTAAAGGAGGACAAACTGTGAAAATATTATGTGCAAATACAAATAAATTACAAGGTCAGCTGTCTCACAAACAACATTGAACAAAATTGTCAGCACAAAAGTACAGCATCAGCTCCAATAGCACATAGCAACATGAGAAGTCCAATGAAGGCCTGTGATTGGTTGTAAGTTGTCCTTAATTTGCATATGCAAATCTGTACTAAAATGTTACCTTATATGGTAATAAAACTCAATGTTCTAGGCTGACTGAACTCCCTCCTGGCTGGCTGAGTGTTTGTGTATCAATGAGGTATAAATTGTTTGTGTATAAATTGATGTAGTTCTGAGTTTTGGGAATCATGCAAGCTTGGCAACATGCATGGGAAAAACAGGGGGAGGGGGCTCGGTGCAGGTTGCTGCTTAGACTATGGGCCTTTATTCACGAGTCTGCCATATTATTGAATTGAAAACGAGGTAAAATCTTCATTTTTGAAACTTGCGAAGAGAAATGAAAGCAAGTTAATTCCTAATTAATTCCAGTCTGCTTCAATGAATAACTTTAAATTTGTAATTAAAAATGCCCTAATGTTTAAAGCCAGATCGAAAAAAAAAAGACAGTAAAATAATGTTGCAGTGTGCCTGCTTAATACTGGGCCTATTATCTGGCGCCATCGCATTGAACAGTTAATGCTTACATGTATGAAATACGTTCAGGCAGGGAGCTCAACAAAAATGGTCAACTCATGAATAAGGCCCATGGACCTTATTCACGAGTTGGCCATTCAAGAAACATTTCCAATTTTGTTGAGAAAATGTTCTTGACTCTCTATAGACTTTGTACACAACTGCTGAAGTGGCGTCAGGTTGCAACATCCGTTTCTTATTTTTGTCTCTTAATAACTTGAAATAAGCCATGCTGAAAACAGTTGTTTTGTAACCAAGTTAGGAAAGAATGTTGCAACCTGACGCCACTTCAGCACTGAATTGCGTACAACTGACAACGTCTATGGAGTGTCAAGAATTTTTTTTAAGTATTTCCAAACAAAACTGGAATTTGGAAATGTTTTTCAGTCACAGATTCATGTTATCATTTTTGCAATGACTGACCTTGGCTTCATTGAGATGATATGTGAAGAAAAATGCAGCGTCAGGTGTTAAACCAAAAGTGAAGCTGTTTTTATTGAAATGACACCCCCCCCCCCTCCTCCTCCACCCGTACCGTCCCCCTGAAATGCAAATTCTCCACATGCTGAATAGGTGACATGTTTTCCTCACCAAGTAAATCAGTTCACACTCACAATTTCCCTTGCAAACGCTGAAATTACAGCCGGAATTCCAACTCCAATTATCCCTAGGGCTTCTTAACAGATTAAGGGAGCATGTGATACACGAAAATTGGCTAAACTCTGGCTGTAAAACCTGAAAAAAATGGATAAAACTCACCTCTCGCTCCCGTCGAAAAATCAAAATACACGTGCACGGTAGCCATTTTTGATCGATGTGGGCGAATTCTCAACTGGCCAATCACAAGGCGCCCTGACCGACATGCATTATTCATAACGTAAGGGAACCTAGTGATTGGTCATTAGTATCCGAGAGAAATGTGCAATATTTTCTGGGTACAATTTTTTTTCTTCTGTATTTTGTTTTCACACCAAAAGATGCAGGTTGCATTTAAATCAGCTATCTGTGTGAAGGGGGGGGGGGGGGGGGGGGGGGGGGGACTGAGATCCGCGGTTTAGCAGTTAATTTGAATATAGGGTGTTGAGCTAGCTATCTGAAGGGGGGGGGGGGGGATAGGTACTTTTTAACAATATTTAGCAATCATGAGTGCGTGTGTACATGTACTTCTATAACCAAGTAAGGAAAATCCCACCCCCCTAGTCTATGGAATATCCCCTTGCTGGTTTAGTGTGGGGTTCATTGAACAAAGGATGATACTATTACTAAGACTACCCCCCCCCCCCTGCACAAAAAAGACTGCCCTGCCCATGAAGTCACTTATCTTATTTTTCTGTGTCATCACAAAAATTATCAATATGGATCAGAGACAACTATGTAATAAGAATCTCATTCAGACAAATAATAGCATGCACAGCATTTAATAGACGTAGCACTAGAAAAAAGGGTAACTTACTACCAGCACAATTTGCATTTAATGTAAAAGCAAAGCACCCAAATGGATACATAAACTTTTACAATTACTTATACATTTCTGAGTACGTAAGTTGTATTTAAGTTGAACTGATGACTGACTTATAACTATTAATGATTCTCGACCAAACATGAATAATTTCATTATTGTTTTAAATGAATAATATAGACAAAATAAATAATGCATGTTTGTGTACAATACACATTACAAAATTTTATGGTGACTATTTACAACGCAACTTTTGCTGGACAACCTTGAAAACTAGAATTGGTGAAATTGACTGAAAATCATTTTAAAGATGCATTCCCTGTTCTATTTTCGAATTTCATATTGAAAAATTAATTTTCTTTTTCAATTGCTTTTTCCTGACAATATAAAAGATATTCACTTTTGGATGAGTCATTGAACAAAAAAGAATCCAGCAACGTTTAGTTATTGAATTATTTCTGCACAAAATTCGAATTATTGGCCGGCAGACAAAAATGTGGCTCTCGCAGGGAAGGTTATATGTGCACAAGATAAAAGCCCTTTATCTGCGGGTTGCAGATGCCCAAAATCTTTGTGGTTAAAACAAGAGGATGGGGAAAGCATCTTTCAATAACCTAGAAAACCTTTAAATCATACCAAAAAAAACTTTAATGGCAAGCAATATGGAAACTAGCTAGCAAACAATGGGGACTGGGGGGGGGGAGGCAGGGGACACCAGCAGTTCTCCCTCCCCCCCCCCACTTTTTGAACTATTCTGCTGCAACCGCTACAAAACTCTACATATTTACAATAGTTTACAAATATCTGTAACTATCTTTACAAAAATACATTGTCCAGTTCTGATATGATGGCGTTATCTTTCAATTGAAGTTTTGTTCAAACACAACATCAGAATGCACTATTTTACAATAATTCAATTCACAGATTTTGTACAGTTGGTTGCCTCACAGTTGCATTTGAAAATTACATTGTACGACTTGGCCCTTATGTGATAAATGCTCAATCATAGAATAATGAAATACAAATTAATTAGCAAAAAGGGAGTCTAGGCACCCAGCGATAAACAAAAGGTAATCTATACAAGGCAATGAAAAAAATGACAATCTTTGGAAGTTAGGTTATCTACAACTTGTTTTCAAAATAATTCCCTCAATGAATATTCCATACTATTTTATTCCAATCTGAGTATGGTAACAAAGATATATACAATAAAATACAATTTATTAGAGCTAAGACTGGGTCATCTAGTCATTAATCTATCTTCTGTGTAAAGTCCACACTATTTGACTAACTTGGTTTGGAAACAACAATATACAATATATTTCAGTTAACCTATGGTTTGAAATGAACTCTTCCTGCCTGTCAATCAAAGTGTAAATGACCAATGAGATAACAACTGTTGGTCAGGTGACTGTTAGTGCCAAATTCACCGCTTGAGACAGTTATAGTGCCCTCTGTTGACAGAAAAGTTTGTTGTTATTATTATGGGATGGCAAGTTATAGGACGTGCGGAGGACTAAAGTTTTTTCAACCTTTTTGACATCCTTTGGCAAGCTTTCTTTTTGACTTTCTCTCGACTTATGGATATTTTTGTGTGTTTTGGAGCTATTGGGATATAAGAGGAGCTTCTCATAAACTGTAAGAACATGGTAGGCAAGGCAATATTGAAGAAAATAGAACTGATCGAGGGCCTTGAATTGAACAGTGTGTGAACTTGTGTTTATTCTTCTGAGAACAATTGAAGCGTTGGAAACTTTAATAGGCCCAGTTCTGTCCGCCAAATAAACGTGAAATATGACCTTCAACGTGAACTTTAGAAGGGCCCATAAATAGGCACGTACAACTAAGATAGCTTGATCAAACTCAGTCACAAACATTGTGAGAAATGTACACCCAACAAAAGGTGGGCGGCTTATCATCGCATATAAATTATATTGAATAAACATAATTTACATGATTCTCGAGGTGTCAGTTACAGCAGTTGATGGTGGCTGATTTGTCTTTGTAAATGATCTTGAGATCTGCATTACGTCTACATGTTCACAAGTCATCGCAAATCATCCCAGGTCAATATCTAAGACGACATCACAAGTCATCCAGACTCAAGTCAAGCCACAAGCATTTCTAATCACTGTTGATTTGACTTGTGATTTAATTTGTGATTTGGCATATGATTGACTTTGGTGATTTGGCTTATGATTGACTTGTAATTCGATTGTGATTTGGTTTATGATTGATTTGTGATCTGATTTGAGATTGACTTTTTAATTTACCTTAATTTGACTTAATTCAACATTTATTTTCACAGTGATTGACTTGAATTTGACAACGTGAAAAAAACCTGCCATTTGGCAATTTATTCACCGAAATGTTGGGATATCTTCCAAAGGAAGGACTGATGATTCCACGGCTGCCCCACTTCCCCCTTGGCTCGGGTGCTTGTACGATGTTGAGCGGTTTAAGTCCGTAAGCGGTGCCACAGTGGATGATTTCGTGCTCCTGTTGAACATTTCCCAGTTTGCCTTGCGTCGTTTGAAAGTGTCCTGGACCTGGGTCATGCAGTCAGACACAATCAGACAATGAGTGAACTCAGAAAATGAGTCAAAAAGTTTGGAATTTGTTCAATTTTTTTTTACGGCTGAAGCAGTGACCACAGACTAACGTTTAGTCTCATCTTTAGTACCATTGTTGTAATTGGGGCCTTGTGGTGATTCATTAACCATCACTATTCTGCTACAATTCATTCACAAGTCATCCCCAGTCCCTAGTCAAGTCACAAGCTCTTTAAATGAACTGTGATAATGCTGCATTCCTTTGTCATTGTTCATCTCTTGTTAATTGTGATTGGACTTGGAACTAGACTTGTTATTTACTAATGATCGGATCTGTGACGTAGCCTCAAGCCCTTGCTCTACATCATTCTCCAAAACACTTCAATATTTGCTCGAGGAGAAGCCTAACTGTTAACTGTGAAAGAGAATGCTGAATTCAAACTCCGGTAAATGCAATGAGCTAACTCAAACGCAACTCCATGTGGAGAGAGCTGGTTTATCTGGCGGACTGGCATAAAAATGACACAAAGAGTAAAAGCAAGTTCATACTTGGAACAAAATTTGTGACGTCATGACAATTATTCGCGATGCAAAATGTGCAAAAATTTAACACTTTTCAACTCCAGTGAAGTTCTCCAAATGTTTTCCGACATTAACTTCGCTTTACATTCGCATATGTGTAAGCATGAGTATGCATGAATGAATAAGTATGAACAAGCCTTAATTGGTTAAACCTTACATTTTGAACAGCATTTAAGGAGATAAGAATGCAACAAACCTCTGAGTTGAAAACACAGTAAAACAGGAACAGCAGCACCCCTTGAAACGAGTTACATATTGTGAAGAGATATTGGAATATGAGGAGAGATGATGAGAGGGATAGCACACCGAATATCCAGGTCACACCCAGCACTGGCTGCAGCATCAAGGTAGCTTTAGCTACTTGTCTGGTGGAGGAAATTACAGTAATAGTACTGTCAGTGTAACTGTACTTTAGGATTATCACTAAAGCCTGGTTTCCATATCGACGTGAAGTTTACGCAGACTACGAAGACTGCACAGACAATACGCGGAATCGTCGGCAAAGTTGTCGTTCAAATTTGTTGATCGTCTGTGAGGTAGGTTGCGTCTGTCTGAGTTGTCAGTGACACTTCCCGATGAAATGTTTCTATATGTCTGCGTTGCAGGTTTGGTGCTGTTTGCGTTTCACTTTGCGTTTCTTACGTCGATATGGAAACTAGGCTTTACATAATTATAAAGAAGCACTGCACTGTTGCGTTAAGTCTTTTTGTTCAACGTGGTTGGTGTCTGTGCACAGGTACCCTCTCAATGATTACAAAGGGAGGGTTGGGGAGACCATGGGAGGGACATTCAAATGCATTACCAATGCTCACGTGGAGAAACTATCAGAATAAAATAAGTCATGTGTACTTCGCGCCATGTACGTACACAAACCAGTACACAAATGCATTGTGTCCCTCCTACAGGGGTTTTAAAATGTGGTCACAAAGCGCCAATTATAGGGCAGATGAAATAGAAGACCACACAAACTTTTAGGGCCGTTTTAACTTTTCTTTGTTTCAAATTGATTAGAATCAGTCTTGAACTGCTGACTGATGTACTTGTGGCAACACAGGTGTTGATGCTCGCTTTACCAAATCTAGAGAAATTTTTCATGTTGAACTTTGGAGAAAAAAGAAAGACTTACTTTGTTTGGCTGAGTCCGCTTGTTGCATTAGCAGCAGTGAGTTTGAAGATGACCCGGACCACACGTATGAGAATAAAGGTGTTGGCTGCTACGACGGCCAGCATGGGCGCCACAAACATCCAAATGGAGTTATCCGAGGATTGCAGCCAGCATCTAGAGAGGCAGGGGGAAAGACAAAAGCTAGAGAATTGTAAAATTTGAGGGCCATTGTCAGACCAATTTAAATGGAGAGGGTGGGGGAGGGAAGGAGGGAAGGGAGAGGAGTGAGTGTGACAACAAATGTGCCAACGGACCAGCTATTCTGGAATGTACCGGTAGCCAGGATTTTTTTTTCCGGTCACCCAGCCACCACAAGATCAAACAGTAGGGTGGGAGGGGGGGGGGGGGAGAGGGTTGGGTGGGAAGGGGTAGGCTGTCACATCCCCCACCATTTACCTATGACCCAGCTCATATTATTGGAATTGGCATGCCTGAAGCATTGCTCAAATTGTGCCAGAGCCAGCGGCATGGCCAAAGTTAAAAACACACCCTAAACCATATGCTTTTCACACAATATGCCATTGTATTCACCTGTAAAAGGGGGCCATTAACATTTTCCTATTGCCAACTTACACATCTGATTTGCGAATGCTGTTCGAGAATACACCAACTGTGACAGACATCAGGATGATCGGAACTCCTAGAAAAATGATACAATTGAACAAAATCTATAAATCGTTGTGTGTATTTTCTTCTGGATATAAAATGCCAGGTAAGTGGATACCTGTGAGGGCAGAGATGGTCACTGTGAATGATTTTAGCTGCTTTGTGCCGAAATGGCAGCATCAAGCTTTATACTCCCCAGGGAGCTAAGACGGTATTTGGAATGTTTCATTGGCTCAATGAGCAGAGTGATAATGATGTAGTGCTTTGAGCACCAATACTGGTGGATATGTGCGCTTTGTAAATATGGGTTAAGACTCAAGAACTCACCCCAAGCAACAGGCATGTACAGTCTGAGCTTGCTCCTCTCGATATTAAACACAACCACGACCTGCAGATAGAGGTGAACACCCTCAATCAACATCCAGAAGAAACTGGCCATGTTGGTGTAGTAGATTACCATGGCAACCACTATGCACGCATCCTGGAGGCAAAATATGAAAGATGATTCCAAGTCGGTGAGTGGTAACGGTCATCATTTATTGCTTGCTTCATTAACGTGCATCTTAGAATCTACAAACTCAGGGATGTAGAACCATCACGTGTAAAAGTTTGCAAAACTTGCCGTCACATTATTTCACGGGTGAGATTGGGAGAAAATAATTATACACTTTTTGGGGATGCCCATATTGGGCGAATCCCCAGAGCTATGCAATGCAATTGTCTCACATAAACCTTTGACCCAAGCATAAAAAAATAGTGATAAAACTTCTCATTAAGGCCTTTTGAAATCCACAAATCTGGACAAAAATCATCCCTGTTATAAAACTTTTTTTGAACATTTTCTGATTGAAAAGGCTGAGTGAGATGCTATATGTCAGGACAGCCAACTGAGAAGTAACATAAAAAGAAGAAATTACAAATTTTACAAGACTGTACACATTTTCTTTCAATTTTTAATTTGTGATGAAGTAATATAAAGTGAGATAAGAAAAAGCGGGAAAAGAGCACTCCAGTGAGGTCCAGCCCACCCCCCCCCCCCCTTCCAGCAAAAAGAAAAAATGGTTCTGGGTCCGTTCTGGAAACTCAACGAAGTCTAACTGATATTTGAAATCTGTACTCACACTGTGTCTTGGCGGGGAATCCAAGAGAAGAAACATGATGCGAGCCAGGCCCACGGCTACGGCTAGGTTGATGTGGACTAACACACGCTCAGTGTGTATGCTAACCCAAAGCAAACAAAAAGATCATCAGATACCTTGCAGTACAATATATTTGTAGCCATATGTATATGACATAGACCAAAAAACTAGCTATGTAAACATATTAAGTTACATGCGCTTTTAAGTTGATTACTTAATTAAAGAAAACAGGTGTGCAACTGTAAAGCAACAAACAGGACGATATTTCAAATACAGTTTGGACAAAAGTTTTTTTCTAATTAATTGGTTGTTCCTTCAGTCTGTAACAACTTACTTTAAGAAAGCAAAAGTTCCGACCAATAATATGACGCCAACTACGGACAAACTGCAGCCGATGTATGATATAATATTCAAAGCCATCTGGTTAGGTTTGGATATCTGCAAAAAAAGAAAGAATTTGAACATACATTTAGTTACAACCGGTTTATTTCACCAAACCCGCCGATACTTCAAATGGGCCAATCCATGGCAACAAATTTGTGCTACAAGAGAGTTTTGGCTGGTTTGAAACTCGCGCCCATATCACGTGTCCATGTCAGTTCTACGTGTGACTTCATAACTGTGTGCGTTCTTCTCATACGTGATACGAGAAAGTGATACAGGAACTATGTGTAGACACGGGATGGGCAATTCAACGGTTACTCACGTTACGTTTTTGATGTACTTTTGAGTTTCTTTGGGCTGTAATTACCTTACTGAAAAGGTTTAATAACTGTTATCCCCATGGTAGATAGAGTAGACCTAGACCTACCTAAGCACCAAAGATGACATCCAGAAAAATGTGTTATGTGTGATAAACAAGACGCACAAAATCGGTTACTCACGTTACATTTTCGGACATGCATAAAAACCCAACATGTTTTGATCAAAAAGTGTCCTCATTCAGGCAACCTGTGGAAATTTCTTTTAATGGATAAAAGACCATGCCATGGGGCACACATAATAAGAGTAAAACAAATCCTCTAGAATCTTCCATTGTTTTGCAATCCACAAAAAACATGGTTACTCACGTTACGGTTACTCACGTTACATTTTGTCCAACCCATCTGATAATCTTATGGCATGATGTTTTTTTTGACTGAATTATCATAGTTAGTATGTTTCTACCCAATAGGCATCAGAACTACTCAAAACTCTGGCTTAAATTTGCATTTTGGATCTATGTATGCTTACATGTATCAGCCGTAGTCAAAACTTGCTTTTTTTCTGGTTGCTGAAATTGTTAATTGTCTCAAATTTCATGGTCAATATTGTAAGGCGCGAACTGTGCCCCATTCTAATATGTGCACATTTTCCTACTGTACCCACGTGACAAGAATGCAATTTCTTGTTCCTATGGGCTTTTCAACAATGATAGCTTACCTTGATGTCCCTGACTTGCATGAGGACAGCAAAGCTGGTCAGGTGGCGGCACGCACACATGGTGTAGTTGACATTGCCTCTGATGAAAGAACATCCACTGGATGACCAACTTTCACCAGATGATGAGTTCCTACACAGACAAACAAACAAGTGAACAGACCAACAGGGGAAATGCCAAACCACTGACACAAACCAATTGACCTCATGAATAATTCATCAAATAACCAAACCAGAAAACTGAGGCTGCATCTGAAATATTTCAGTGTCAATAGTCCGAAATTCAAAAAATGGTGGCATCCTGAAATGGAGCACAAAGTCGGCTGAGTGTTCCCTAATGTGGCGCACTCGAACAAATCTTGGAAAATCCCACGTTAACATTTTAGAATTCCTTTAAAGTTGATAAATCCTGATAAATCATTATCATTTCCACTCAAATACCCAACTACAAGTTTGTCAGAAATTAGTTTCTTATATTTAGGCTCGGCATTTTAAAGGGTTCATTGTGCACTTCAAAATAAAATTGGAAAATCATGGCAAAATAGAAATTCTCTGGAGCTTTGTAGCGGATACATAAACTCAAGATTTATGAGCCGGGAATGTTTAGAGCTTGATGAAATTTCACTTACTGTGAAATTTGAGTTAAAATATTTAGTCCAGCAAGGCACAAGAGGCAAACAATCAAAGTGCGCCACGTTAGGGGCCGCGCCACGTTAGGGTACCTCAATGGAACAGATAAAAAGGATAGACAGATGACGGGATATTACTCACGTGATGTCCCAGTAGACGCATGCAGCTGTGTCTGTGTCTACAGCACTGTCATTGGGTCTTTCAGCGTTTACCTATAGTCACAGAGAGGCAATATTTAAGGCTTTAGAGAATGCAAATTTAGGCTGACTAGGTTCGTTATTGTGTGTTAAAAAGCATCAACACACGTTTTCATACTGCACAACAAAAATATGGAGGGGGCAATGGCAAATTTTATAACTCAGACTGGCACTCACTCTCTGTGACTCAATCCTAGGACAGGTGCAAATCCTGCAGGACTCATGACTCAGACTCAAAGCGATCATCTGTCAGACTCATGATTCAAACTAGCATTCCAATTAGCACTTATCTGCAAGGCTGATAACTCAAACTGGCACTCGATCATGACTCAGACCTACACTCATCATGACTTAAGACTCAGAATATCAATCATTCTGCTTGGCTTGTGACTTAGAACATCACACTCATGTGCAAAACTCATAACTCAATCTGGCACTCACCTTGCCTTTCTGATGACTCAGACTGGCACTCACCCAGTCATGACTCAAATTAGTACTCATCCAGCCTTGCTTATCAACTGGCACTCATTCTGTCTGACTCATGACTGAAAATGAAAGTCAATCTGCCTGACTCATGACTCAAACAGTACCTATCATGCCTTGCTCATGACTCAGAAAAGTACTCATGCTATCTTCCTTGTGACTCAACTGGCACTCATCCTGTCGACTCAGAACTCAGACTAGCATCCATGCTGAAATCTGACTGACAAGTTCACTAGCCACGCCTGTACTCACTTTGTATCATTTTTTGTTTAACAAAATCTCAATTCTGTAAAATTGTCAAATAAATTATAGGGAAAAAAATATCTACCTGTTTAACGTGAGTCTGGAAGGTCATATTGACGGGGAAATTTTTGAATAAACTCATATCAGCTGGCTGAGGTACTACAGAGATGCTTAGGACTTTACTCAAGACGGCAATCTCCGCTGAAGTACTGCCACTGGACACACAAGACAGAAACAAAATGATCAACTCATTGTTATACATTCATACGACATAAAACGTTTAGCAGCTGCAGTTACTAAGGGAATCACTCATGTGCTCTTCAAGTGACAGAATTTTAAATACAACCAGTGTTTTAAAGTTCTGTCCACGGATCACAAAAAAAGTATTCTTTCAGCAAACCAAAATAATTCACATATAGAAATGAGTGTGAAATGTTTTTGTTTTGCTGAAAGAACACACTTTTTTGTGTGATCTGTGGACAGAACTTTAAAACAGTGATTATCTTTAAAATGTGTAACTTGAAAAGCACATCAATGATTTGAAAGATTCTTGCACTAAAAGAAAGCTTATTAATTGGGCTTTCCTCTCCTAGATTTTGAAAGTGCTACATGCAGAACTTTATGAAGAAAATGATCAGGCCAAGTGTCTTTTCTTTTTTGTGGCTCACCCTGTATATATTTGGGGCCCCCCACCAAAAAAAAATCAAGTCATTTTGAATGATACTTGAATGAAAAAGTAAAAAGTACAAAGGTAACAGGGACAGGAAAAAAATGTCGCCTTGGACCCTTAATTTATCAGCAGACTAATATTCCTTTGGAATAAAGCATGCAGCTCCAAGATGGCTACAATGCCCAGGGTCTTTCTGCAAGGAAGGAATTACCTCTTCCCCGATGCAAAGACCTCCTCTACGTCCGTCTGAGATGAATTCCCAATGACTTTGTCCAGATTTCGGTACAGGACGGATACAATGGCAAGGCCCTGATATGCTTTAAACAACTCAGCTGGGATGATGGCTTGAGTAGCGATGCTTGTGCTAAACTGGTCTTCTGCTGGGACCGATAGTGGCTCAGGATTTCCGCTGCCATCCCACTTCTTGATTTCAGTAGCTGTAAATTACAAGGTCCAATTTCATGCAACTGCTAATTAGTACATAATTTGCTGCTAATTAGTACATAATTTGATGCTAACATTATGAACATCTTCATCCCTTAAAAATTCGTTAAAGAGCCATTTTCCCTTGAAATTACAGTTAACTAAATTTTCACGGATTTTTCAACATATTAAGCCAGATTAGGAGTCAGTGAAAACACCCTTAAGAAAGTCCTTTGTTTACCCATGGAGATAGACCCAGTGTACTGTATGTATAACCAATGATAATCCTCAGTGGCCAGGGTCATTAAAAAACCGTGAAAATACCCTTACAGGATTAGTCCTATATAAGCCCCATGTAAATGTCCGTGAAACATCTCTTAAAGATTCTTTTCACGGAGAAATGGACTTTTAATGAATTTTTAAGGGATGAAGATGTTCATTGTGACAGTACCTTTGTCCATTTCACTGAAACCTTAGAGGTAAAGTAGATCATTTGCAGCTATCCAAAAAAGCTTACCAGTTTTAAAGATAGTACTGGCACTAAACTCCCTGTGAAATTATTGTTTCTGGTATGCTGCCATTTTGAAGAAAACGAAAAAAAAGAATGTATTTTCAAAGATACATTAAGTCACGCAATTTTTCGAAATTTCCGTTAGTAGTTGGTTTGTAATTTGGCAAATCCGTGAATGGGTGCGCGTAATTAAGCGTTGACATGATGAACATGTGCGTGCAGTTGCTATAATTCGTCAGTTCAATGCGTGACATCGCGTAGCTTTAATCGGCTGAATGAGACGTGTCCTGGATGCTGATTTCAGGCACAATTCAAAACATGACTCGTCAAGTTCTGAATTGAAATCGAGATCCTAGAATATTGTTTTCTCAGAATATACGGCATTCACAGAGCCAAACCTTCATCAGGTTAGTTGTTGAGCAACCGTCTTTAGATTTGAACACTTTTGTTGCTCCAAACGAAACAAACGTTACAAATGACAAATGATCTACTCTACAACAGTTAGCACATACAGGTTGTGAAATATATAAGGGTAAGCGCAACTTTTCTGACTTGATAAGCTGAACTTTTCTGGTGTCCATTATTGGCCCATAATGTTTAAAGGGTATGTCCCTTGTGGTTTGCCATGTTGAGATGGTGTTGGGAATATATGTAGGTAGTCAATACACAAACTTCTTTAGTTTATATTGTGGATATATCATTTCATGCAGTTTATTCTGCCGTGTGATCTACATTGGTACAATAAACATAACAATTTTGCTGTTCTATTTAGTGAACGAACCCCTGAAAAAATGTCAGAAAACGTTTTTGACCTCCATAGGAAATCCAGATTTTGACATTTATTTGCATTTTTAAGAAAGTAAAAAATAAAAAACCAAATAAGCCTTATTTCCCTGAACATTCTGTACATTACAGTATAATTCACACTTTCAAAATCTTAGCGATCTGGTAAGATATGTATTATCACTCTTCTTAATGGTCGAAAGTTTGGAAGAGGTGCGTGTTTCTGTGGCAAATTTAACGTGTTAAACATGGTGTCATGAGGGCCATTGAGCAAGGTTCGCAACCGAGATAAATATTGCACTTTCTACGAACCGATATTGTCATTGCTGGAGTTGAAGGACTCCCCGCCTTCTGCAAGTATCTGCTCAGCAAGGGATCTCATCAGCTGCTCCGTGGTACTCATAACTTTGCTGGCTGGAGAGATCGTCTGTGCTTCACTAGAGCCATTGGCGTCCTGATAGAAGCCTGTGTACCTGTCGTCCAGAAGTGAATTTGCTACCGACAGACTTGCCTGCAAGAGAAATTCCATCTTATGAATAGTTTGGTTATAGTATACAAATAATGAATGTTTGTGAGTGCAATGGTAAGAATAATTTCATGAGGTGACAGATGAAATGTTCCATTTCACGAGGCGAAGCGGAGTGGAATGGAACATTTCATCTGTCACCGAATGAAATTGTTCTTTCCATTGCACGAACGTTAAACATTCATTATTTGTTTTTTATACAACACCTGAATAAATCCCCGTCATCTGATTGGTGAATTGTAGATCATGTGACATATTATTATTCGGTATAATGCACTGTGCGTCCATGCGTTATACCCATGCGTTATACCGTTTCACTTTGCGCTTGTTCCATGACGCGGTATTTGCGTGCAAAATGCATGCTGGTGTGCGCGTTCAGCGTAGCGCGTATTGTTCCAAAGAGCCAGCGCTACAGCGTTGGGTTCAAACATTTTCGTGAAGGGGTAGTTCAACATCTTTAAAATCAAAACAAATTGTAGTTAAAATTTACCAATCAAATGACGAGAATTTATTCAGGTGTTGTATAAAACAAATAACGAATGTTTTACGTTCGTGCTATGGAAAGAATAATTTCATTCGGTGACAGATTGAATGTTCTATTCCACTCGGCTTCGCCTCGTGGAATAGAACATTCAATCTGTCACCGAATGAAATTATTCTTACCATCGCACTCACAAACATTCGTTATTTGTATAATATAACACCTGAATAAATCCTTGTCATCTGATTGGTTGACTTTTTAAAGCCAATTTATTCAGGTTAAAAACTGTTTAAAAGTTCGACAAGTTCATTATATTTATATTCATGCAAACTGTTCAACAGGTTGTGAACAACCATATTCAATTTATCTCGATTTAAAACAACGACACCACCAGCAGCAGTGACACCATGCAATGGAAGTTCTATTCACCGTGCAATAGAACTTCCATTGCACTGTGCGCTGCGCGCGCGCCGTGAGTTGGGACGAATAATTCAATGACATGTGATCAACGATCCACCAATCAGATGACGGGGATTTATTCAGGTGTTGTATAATACCCACTGCTAAATAATATCAGATTCAAAATTAACCTCAACTTGTCATTCTGACAAGGTTTTAAAAATTCAGAACTTGTGTCTTCAACTTGCTTTTGAAAAAAAAAGATGACTCCTTTGCATTATTACAGTTTTTTTTTACTCACCCTGTATAACACCTGAGTAGATCCTTGTCATTTGAGATTTTATGAAAAAAAATACTTAGGCTGATCTTCAATTTTACTTCATTTCCGGCATGGCCATCCACAACAAATTATAAAGCCACTATGATAAGTGTCAGGGTTCGTGTCAAATGTTGCAATCGTCACAGTGTCAGTACGGTTGGTCATGTACGGTCAACGCGTAATAACGCGATGAGCGCTGCGAGCGATATCGAGGCGCGCGTTCAATGGAGCAAAACAAACGGAACCAAAATGCACGGTAAATGGAACCAATTTGTATGGAACCAATGATGTATGACATAAATCACACAATGGAATATTGTCAATGAAATGGGGCAGATGATTCAATGTCATGTGACTGAATTCCACCAATCAAATGACAAGGATCTATTTAGGCGTTATATAACATCACCTGTACAAATGATGTGGAGTCTTCCAAGGTAGCGTTCTGCAGCTTGTCTGTATTGCCGATGGTGGCGTAAACGTCGACCAACGAGATCAGGTCAGATGCTTCAGCCACTTCAGAGTCGCTGTCTAGAATGGTTTGCACCTCTTCAAGGATCGTTTGGCTCTCCTCCAGGCTGAGATTGACCGTCACCTGCCACACCAAAAACAAAGCATGAAGAATGCTGTTAGTTATGCATGTGACTTATGTAAAAAGAAAAGAACACAAAAAAAGGGTGAATACAATTGTAAAAGTCATTATCTGTTTGTTTTCTACGGCGCTCCATGATCGAGTACCATCCACTTCTTTCTTTACTCAGATAATTTATTACGTCATGTTGACACATCGCCAAGAGTATCGGCAAGTCGACTTACCAAAGTCGACTTGACGACTTGTCCAGATGTATTATCTCGCCAAGTCGACTTCCGGAAGTCGACATGATGACTTGTCCAGATGTATCATCTCACTAAGTCGACTTCCTGAAGTCGAGATGACAACTTGTCGAAATAAATGATCTTGCCAAGTCGACTTACAATGTGCAGATGATGACATGCAAAAATCTCGTTCTGTATGGATATCCCGTTGTTGAAGCACTGTCGTGGATTCTCTCATGTTCGTCGGTGCATTCGAGGTTTTCCCCACCCGTTCTGATATGAACAATAAACTTTTTTATCCATTCATTTCTCGTAATAGCAAATCAGACAAGAGTTTTGCTAAATTTCCGATATTCCAATTTAAGCTGTGAGAGTCCTTTTATCTTAAATATGATCTCAATATGATTTAAAGCAAATCTTGAATTAGTTATTGTCATTTCCGAAAAGTGTGATTTCCTACAAAGCTTGGGGAAGTAATTTAAAACAAGTTGACAATAAAAAAAACAAAAAAATCAACTCCGACCCACATCAAATCTATACCCAACAGTTTATCTCTTGTTCCTCTGCCAGTTTATTGTTCATATCAGAACGAGTGGGGAAACCTCAAATGCACCTACGAACATGAGAGAATCCACGACAGTGCTTCAACAACGGGATATCCATACAGAACGAGATTTTTGCATGTCATCATCTCCACATCGTAAGTCAACTTGGCGAGATCATTTATTTCCACAAGCTGTCATCTCGACTTCAGGAAGTCAACTTAGCGAGATATTTTATATGGACAAGTCGTCATCTCCACTTCATTAAGTAGACTTGGTGAGATGATTCATCTGGACAAGTCGTCATGTCGACTTCTGGAAGTCGACTTGGCGAGAGAATACATCTGGACAAGTCGTCATGTCGACTTCGATAAGTCGACTTGGCGATACAATTATGTGATTAAGTCGCCTTACTCTCAGCGATATGTCAACATGACGTGATAAATTATCTGAGTATATAAAGAAGTGGATGGCACTCATGGAGCGCCGTAGTTTTCTAACCAAGAACAGGCTGCAATATTGATCATCTGCAGTGACTACAGAAGTCTTGGTGTCAGACTGAGTTTGAGCAAGCTGTTCTGGACAACAGCAAGTGTGGTTCTAGTAAGACTAGCTGGCCGTTACCGAGGCTGTCTACTTGATAGCTGTGGGAGTAAGCGACTGAACTGTATAAATACAAAAGTACATCCAGATTGGATACATAATTGCATCAAAGCTAAATAGTGAGTACAGTGGACCAAACCAGATACCAGATAGCTAGTCACTTTGAAACAGCCTTAGTGACTGGCTAGAACGACACTTGCTTTTCACTCAATTAATGAATTTACCTGGTGCAATAGTTCTTCAAGTGTTATTTGTGTCTTGGTTGTGGCTTCATTTGTGGATACTTCAGTTGGACTTTGTGTTATGGATGCTTCTGTTGCTGCTGCATCAGTTGTTGGCATATTTTCTGTTGGGGGTACTTCAGTTGGAATTGGTGTTGTGGATGCTTCTGTTGTGGAGGTATTGGTTGTTTGTGTCTTGGTTGTGGCTTCATTTGTGGGTACTTCAGTTGGAATTTGTGTTGTGGATGCCTCTGTGGTGTTTATTTGTATTGTGAGTGCTTCTGTTGCTGCTGCATTAGTTGTTGGCATATTTTCTGTTGGGGGTACTTCAGTTGGAATTGGTGTTGTGGATGCTTCTGTTGTGGAGGTATTGGTTGTTTGTGTCTTGTTTGTGGCTTCATTTGTGGATACTTCATTTGGACTTTGTGTTATGGATGCTTCTGTTGCTGCTGCATTAGTTGTTGGCATATTTTCTGTTGGGGGTCCTTCAGTTGGACTTTGTGTTGTGGATGCTTCTGTTGTGGAGGTATTGGTTGTTTGTGTCTTGGTTGTGGCTCCATGTGTGGATACTTCAGTTGGACTTTGTGTTGTGGATGCTTCTGTTGTGGAGGTATGGGTTGTTTGTGTCTTGGTTGTGGCTCCATTTGTGGATACTTCAGTTGGACTTTGTGTTGTGGATGCTTCTGTTGTGGAGGTATTGGTTGTTTGTGTCTTGGTTGTGGCTTTATTTGTGGATACTTCAGTTGGACTTTGTGTTGTGGATGCTTCTGTTGTGGAGGTATTGGTTGTTTGTGTCTTGGTTGTGGCTCCATTTGTGGATACTTCAGTTGGACTTTGTGTTGTGGATGCTTCTGTTGTGGAGGTATTAGTTGTTTGTGTCTTGGTTGTGGCTTTATTTGTGGATAATTCAGTTGGACTTTGTGTTGTGGATGCTTCTGTTGTGGAGGTATTGATTGTTTGTGTCTTGGTTGTGGCTTCATTTGTGGATACTTCAGTTGGAATTTGTGTTGTGGATGCCTCTGTGGTGTTTATGTGTATTGTGAGTGCTTCTGTTGTTGCTGCATTAGTTGGGTCGAGTAATTGCGTTGTGAATGCTTTTTCTGTTGTGGATCCATTTGTTGTAGATCCATTTGTTGTAGATGTTTCCCCTGTTGTTGCATTGCTATTGTTGCTTTGTGTTGTTGCATTTGCTGCTGGCCCTTCCGATGTGGAAGCACTGGATGCATCCGCTACTGTAGTTGGAATGTCTGGAAAATTTCAGGACAAAACAAAGTGATGACATTATAGATAAAATGGTAAGTATTTCTGTTTTAAATACAAAAAAAGAAAGACTTTCAATTGATCTAAATTCATGCAAGACAAAACCTTTTAGACAATGACAGATTTTGATTGTATGAAATTGACCACTGCGTTTTTCTCAAAAACCCTAACAGAGGACACACTTTGGCAGAAGTATTGTGCCAGTTAGTGACCTTAGCAGTTGATTTCATTGTACAATGGCTTGCACATCGTGTAGCTGCAATCGGCTAAACGAGAACGTGTAACAGATGCTGATTTCAGACGTAATTTGAACGTGACTCGGGAACTTTTGACTTGAAATCGACACGCTAGAATATTGTTCTTAAGCACTTTTGTTGCTTTAAACAAAACAAAATGCACAAAAGACAAATGATCTACCCTAAAGAATACTGATGATTAGTTTCAGCTTATTTGAACAAGAGATCACCAATATTCCATGCTTCCATCAATGAATGAGTGTCATTCCCCATTATCTGTCCATTGAACACAACCGATTCTTCTGTATTTCCAAACTGGTTTATCTGGGGTGGGGCTGGTGCTTGCTAATCTCAGTAATATTTTACCCAATTGCACCCTTTTTTTCATACATTTTTATTGACTGTATTCTGTCATAGCAAAAACTCATGTGCTCAGAGAGCTGAAAGAAAATACCATATCCGCGTCAAAATCATCCCAACTTTGCAGAGGCCAGAATTTTGTTCTGATGCTACATGGCTGACGGGTAGTTATCAACCGAGAAACAGACTTGGTGCGATTTCTCAGAAAGATAGCATCATAAATCTACAACAGCATGTATTAGGGCAACATTCACCTAATATTCGCGTGACAGTGAAGGCACACTCAGCTGTATTGCCCGCCCCATCAATGAATAAGTAGCCGACATTAGTTGATTCATCAACAAACACATATTCAGGTTCATTGGATTGGCCCATTAATTCAACCATGCCAGGGTCATCTATAGCTATAGGCTCTGTCCAGTTGGCTACATTCTGACCGGCGGGCAGTGTGCTGTCGGATGGGCAGCCAAATATCTGAGGGGCTGTATTATCAAGGGTAACTGAGGGAAAACAGTGCATACGATGGCTCTTTGTTGGTTTATTTCATTGTCGTCTGAGTATAAATGGCCATTATATTGTCAGCCTAATCACATGAGCAACTCTTACCTTCACTGACTGCTGGAGTTGTTGTCAAACCCAGGCTGTTTACATGATAGCATCTCAAACTCAAAGCAACAGTTACCTGTGAATAAAAGAAGGATACAATTCTTGTGAGGTAAATCAGAACATCTTTACATTACATTTTGGATCTAGGATCTATGGCCTGTAATACAATGATACTGGATGAAACGCCAAAGTCTAGCAATGTGTTTTTAATAAAAACAAAATCTTAAATTAATGTTTGATTTTCTTTCCTCCAAATTTAAATTTCTTTACCACACACCACCTCTGAAAACTGACAATTTTTTCGCTGAGATTTTTCCGGGCATTTACAGTACGCGTAACACAAAAGAATTAAAATCAAGATCTTTTGAACTAAATGATGTTCTGTCTAAAGCTCTTCAAGTAACTTCAAGAAATTCAGGGATTACTTTAACGTATAATTATACAGTAATACCTACAGTGGCCTGTCTGGTTTCTAGATGAACATCTTAAGGAAATGTTTTCTGAAAAAGTGGCCCTTCATCAATTTATCAGTAAAAACATCTGTTTAAAGATGGGAGTTGCTACAACTATTGTGATGCGCAAGTACTTTCAATTCCTAAAAAAATTGGTAATACATTGCCAGGAGGACAATTGTCCCCCCCCCCCCTCCCCAGCGCAGGTGTGCATTCATTACAAATGTGTCTTGCAATAAAACTACAACTAATCCTTACAAAAGACGGTAAAAAAACTTACCAATAGGAGTTGCCAAAAGGAATCCATGTATGAATTTGTGAGAACTCTTCCGACTGTTGTCAAATTATGAGTTGTATAACTCTGATCTCGCAGAAGTGAATGCCAGGGACTGAATCTCAACTTTCAGCCGAGGGCATTCTGAGCTTTAAACGTCACCTAAATTCTGCAAAGTGATGTTTTGCGTGCGAGGGCAGTAATTCCGTGTTCGTTGTTTGTGCAGAGGAGGCATGGATAAGTCTAGAGTGTTTTGTTAGGTCTCACGGCCCTGGAGATCAAAGTATATATATGCCGTGCCAGCGCAATAGTTAAGCTCATTATTTGTGCACTTTCAATCAGATTGTCTGATGAAAGGGGACGGTTGCCATGCCAACAGGCTGTTATAAATGAGTAAATGCCACTTAGGGCGGGAAACAGCTCTGACTTTAATGCACTTGATCTGCCCGGTGGGCCGAACAAAACACGCAGGTCTGCTTCGTAGCAACCAATCACCAAAGTCATTACTACGACTGATGACCAAGCAAATCGAAAAAGATCCAACATCGCATCCATTAGTCACAACTAGGCCAAAGAGTGGTTTTACACAGAGGAAGCCATGCGTTTCAGTGAAAGCGTTATTGTGAATTCATGTTGAATAAGTAAATCCACTGGCACTACTAGCCAAATCAACATGCAACACTAATGTGATTCCAGAAGGCAAGAAAGTACGTATGACCAAACAAATGCAAATGACCAAAGCGAGATTTGGCAGGGCTTGCAGACCCAGATCCGGATCACTTCCAAAATCTAATCGATTTGTACTTGTACCAAGGACAACCCCTAAAATAATAAATGAAAATCCATCCATAACTTTTGAGTTATCTTGTTAAGGCCTAAAAAAAAAAGTCTCCGGTTTCTGGTATGCGCGCGCGTCGCCGTAGCCATGCGCGTCGGCAAAATGAAAAAGTTTTTTTTTAACATTAACATTGCACAAAAGGACCGTTTTCCCTTTAGAATGTTGTCAGTCTCTCTTTTTCAAAAGCCGAAAAACTTGGCCGAAGGAACACGTTGCAAACCGCCTTGCGACTGGTCGGTTCGGAGTAGGTATCGACGGTTTAGGTTTCAGGTGCTCTTTTTATCAATAATGGGCCCACCTGTGTTTAAAGTGTTATTACTGATGAAGCTACCCTGTTTAACCTTTCAATTCCCAAAAAGCATACAATCGCGCGCTGCATGCTCAGCCGATACCGGTTCCTCAAGCTTTCTACCAGCTTCTCCACAGATGATAATTTATTGTTGACACACAATGTCATTTAAATTTAATTTTCAAAGTCTTCTACCATTCTAGTCTTCATTTCTTGAAACAGGAAGGTACAGACTTGTAAGTACCAACTAGCAAGTAAACACATTTGTCACTTTTATTAGTATTTTGTCGTGTTATTAGTATTTTGCTTGTTGAGGAGGGAAGTATCTTTAAATTAATAATGGGAACACAAAAAGAACTAGAGGTCTATGTCTGTTTGCAACAGAACATAGGGCTTTTCCGCATTATGTTTTTTTTTAAATTAAGGTCATGTTTTTCTGTTTTGTGCAAAACTGTGTGCATTTACGTTTTGTTTAACAAACCTCATTCAAATGGAAATTTGATTTTGGCATATTGCATTTGTCATATATAAAATATATATATAATCACAAGATGACGTCATTATGACGTCACCTCAATATTTATTGGTAACACATCCCGGCATGCCCCCATACCAAGTTTTAACCCAATCTAAATTACTGTTGATGAGATAGGGGCTTAAAATATACAAACGATGACGTCACATGTCTAATGATGACGTCATTGTAACAATACTTGGCAGTGCTCATTATTTTATTGCGGTTTTAGTCTGTACCAAGTTTGAAAACAATCGGATTAATGAAAGTGTTAAATTTGTAAGCAGAATAAAATTGGCAATATTAAAAAAATCGTAAAAAAATCTACTGATGACGTCATCGTGACGTATTTCAGATGTTGTGTACTAGTGTTATTATCTACCCACCCACCAAGTTTCATGACGATCGGACATTATCTTATATGTGTTTCAAAAAAGCGCATATTTGATGACATCATCATGACGTCACACATTTTTCAAAATTTTGTACATATACCTATTGCCTTACAAACCTAATACAAAAAGAATTTTAAATTTAACATATTGGGTTCGTGATATATGGTTTAAAGGTCCAAAACTTCAAAAATCTATATAAAATCACACGATGACGTCATGATGACGTCACCTCAATATTTATTTGTAACACATCCCGGCCTACCCCCATACCAAGTTTCAACCCAACCTGACGTACTGTTCATGAGATATAGGGGCTTAAAATATACAAGTTAACGATGACGTCACATGTCTAATGATGACGTCATCGTAACAATACTTGGCAGTGCTCATTATTTTATGGTGGTTTTAGTCCGTACCAAGTTTGAAAAAAATCGGATTGATAAAAGTGTTAAATTTTCTAAGCAGAATAAAATTGGCAATATTAAAAAAATCTTTAAAAATCGACCGATGACGTCATCGTGACGTCATTCAAGATTGTGTGTACTAGTGTTATTATCTACCCACCCACCAAGTTTCAAGACGATCGGACATTCCCTTATATGTTTTTCAAAAAATCACATTTTTGCTGACGTCATTATGACGTCACACATTTTTCCAAATTTTGTGCATTTATCTATTGCCCAGCGAACCTAATACAAAAAGAATTTTGAATTTATCATATTGCGTTAGTGAGATATGGCTTAAAGGTCCAAATCTTCAAAAATCTATATAAAATCACACGATGACGTCATGATGACGTCACCTCAATTTTCGTCTATAACACATCCCGATCTACCTACATACCGAGTTTCAACTCAATCGGACTAACAGTTCTGTAGATATAGGACTTTGTAATATGCACATGAATGATGACGTCACGTGACCCATGATGACGTCATCATGACGTCTATCTTCGCGAACGACCTTTGCTATATGTTCTGTGACTATGTTAAGTTTTGATGTCATATGACTTTGTTTTATGCCAAAGTGTTTGCTAGAAAAAACGTGCACAAAGTCTATGGCATTTTGGTTGGAAGTCCCAAGAGGAAAAAAAAAAATAAAAAAGAAAAAAAATTCGTAGAGAAACAAAGGCTTTTCCGCAACTTTGCGGAAAAGCCAATTAACAAAAACAAAGAAATGTGGATCCTGATGAATTGCCTGTCTATACGGGTATTAGTGAATGTTTATGCATTTGTGGTACATCTCAAAAGGTGTAAATTTAGGTGAAACTTCACAAATTGACTTGATGCATCTAAACTATTAGATATCATTGATATAGAAGCTAATAATTCCGACACTGAGACTGAAAAGGACAGTTTATCAAAATGTGGCGCGCAGAGGCAATTCATGTTCATGTCTCTCTTTTGTAGATGTTCATAAAATATGCAAAACTTCAGGTCGCTTACTTCATTTCTACATGCAGTGGCACAAAGACTGATGAATAATGATATCATTAGAGTGGTTTTCAATGAAAAGGTAATGTTGTGATGCAAAGCGTACGGTAATTATATTGAGCAGCTGGTAGAAAGCTTGACGAATCGGTATCGGCTGCATGAACAGCGCATAGCTTCATTATTATAATCAGTAATAATCATTATAAACCCACTTTTATAAACCCACTTTTGGGGTTAAGGGGGTATTTAACCCCCCCCCCCCCCAATATTTTGTCACCAGCGCTTACCCCCCTCCCCCCCCCCCCCCCCCAATATTTATAAACAGTGCCATTCTTTTTTTAACAAGTGCCTTTTTTTCTGAACAAGTGCCCTTTAAAAACAAAAAAAGTCATGCCCTTTTTTTGGCATAGTCCCTTTTTTATTTTGCGCACGTATCGCCCTGAAAAACACCATTATAGTGTGCATAACCGTCGGTTTTGAATAGCCCCCCCCCCCCCCACTATTTTATTTTACTGAGGCCAAGTGCCCGAAGAAAAAACGTGTCTACATTTCAGCACGGATGTGTAGGTGCCCTTTTCAAGACATTTTTACCCCCCCCCCCCAATAAAAATGACCTTGCTACGCGGTACGTCCCTGCCTCAGAGACAAACATGCTTTCGCAATAATATTGTCGTCACTTATGTTTAAAGATCAATACTTTAATACATGTACCAATAAATTTAATTGTTTAAATATGCTCATGTACATGTAGGTGAAAGAACATCGTCATTTTTTCAACTAAAATCGCTTGTAATTTGACACCCGATGACGTCATCATGACGTCAGAGTAATATGCACCACTTCAGATGAGGGTCGATATATATTGAAAGTTACAAGTTCCTATCATGAACTGTTTAGGAGAAAACCCGCGGAAACATGCCGTACGGAAAAAAGAAAGAAAGAAAGATTTATAAGAACAATTCCATACAGTGGTCGGGTTGTGCCCAACCACTCTAATACAGTTTATCTAAAATTTTGGCCAAAAGTGGCAATAAATAGTTTGACGTTGGCAATTTGGCTTTAAAAAAATCCAGGTGGTTATACTTTTATGGGCCGGGTTTTTTGGGGGCAAGTTTGCAGTTATTGAACTTCTAAAGCAATACTTTATTACTACTTTCACAGGGAAATGTGATGGGTATGCCACAGCGGCAAGAAAACCTTTCTGCTTTTACAAAAAACAAAGTCCCTGAAACCCCCCATTTTTTGGGGGAAGGGATGATTTTATATTATCTCTGGGAACATAATTTGGGGATATACCCCCTCAAGACTTAGTCTGGGGATCAGAGAGCCACGGTCGAACGTCTGATTTATCCTAATATGCAAATTTTATATGCGACCAGCTTAAATGACCAATTAGTGAACTTATAAATAAGGACAGCATAACAGACCAAAATCATGAATCAAATTAACCATCTCTGCCCACTATACTATCTATGATGAAATCAACAGGTCCCACAGAATACAAGTAGAAAAGGCATACTGTTCACATTTACATTTGAAAGCATTGCCGACTATGCCTGACGCTCACGCGAAGACACCAAGTTTGTGCACATTCAGTATAAAATGTGTGTACTACACATAACCAGTGTGTGCGTGCAGTGGTTCCTCCCACTTTGGCCTTCAAAAGTGGTCACAACTTAAAGCCCAGCTATCTACCATTCGTAGACAGAAACCATACATTAGTTGATCCATTGGTTGAGTATGGAGTCAAAAAACCTTCATGTTCAATCAGAAATTTCTTTAATAATAATAATAATAATAATAATAATTTACACAAAATAAAGAACATGCCTGTCAGTTTTTGTGTTCCGCATTATTGACCACGGCCTCCAGCTATTAAATGGTTTTGGCGTAGGCCTAAATGGATAATGGCAGAGTGTAGAAAGCTTTGCCGATTCCTGTAAAACTCAAATCCTGAGTGATGCCTCCTGTCTTAGCTATGACAATGCCCCGCAAAGCCGTTCTTTCATTTCCGGCCACTGTAATACATCACCATTTTCTTCCCATTAGCTAGGCAAACACGAATAATGCGTACTGTCAAACAACAGAATGGTCTGGTGTTTTTGTAAGTCTGCAAACACACGTCAAAAACACATTAATTAAAATCAGGGACCGTAGTTCTGGGAAGAGGGGGAAGAGGGGGAAGGCACACAAGTGACAAGTTTAGGGGCTGTTAAAGATGCGTCCCCGTGCTATTTCGAGTTCTAACATAAATTTGTTAGAAGAAAAATCTTCTTTACAGAAGAGCACACCATGCATCTTTGCGCTTGGAAAAAAGACCCGGCTTGCAAAATCAAAATGTTCTGGGAGATAAATTTGTAGTTTTGATCGTTATCCAACGCCTGTTTTTGGCTGGCATTCATTTAAAAATCGTGCCGCACTAAGTTATTCCTTAGATTTTTGTGGTGTGAAAGTGTTAAGAACCACTACATATATGTAAGACGCCGAAAAGCGCATTTGCTGTGCCTTTCCAAAAAAAAGTTAGTATTTGATTATTGGAACTTGGATTTGATTGAATAGTGGAACAATCGACCACTGAATTTGAAGCAAAAATGTTTGATGATCATTGATATGTTTTTCCGAGATACCCCATGTAGCTGACTAGCTGATACTTGATAGATATTAAAGATGCAAATCACGCTAATATTCCTCATGAGGCTCGCAAATACCACAAAATGTGGCATTCACCTCACATTTCTGGAGTAGGCCTATTCTATTTTTTAAAATACTATTCGTATTTGATCAAATATTCTGATATTTTCAACACAGCCCTATGGTTTCTATGTCGCTCTGATACTTAGAATCCGGCACAAATTCTGGAACATCAGTCTGAAGCAATTTGATTTTTAGCAAATGGGGAGATTTTCTAGTAATCTGTTGCGTTATTTGAAATTCAAGCCAAACCTCTTATTCTCAAATCAGAATTTCAGACAAATTCTTGGGTGTGTACTGACATTGTGGGGTAGGGGTAAGCTGAAGGTTGTTTGTTTGTTTTGAGAGAGGGATAGAGTAAGTCCCATCTTTTCCCAAACTCTTTAGACTCATGCTGGTGGAGTGATGTGATGCTTGGAATTTACATGAGAACAAAACAAAACAGAAAAGACTATAGGATTGTGTTGTCTTTTGTGTGAAGTTTAATTTAGGCAAAGTAAAAAAAACGACTCATTCTAGTCATTTTCATCTATAGTGGCCAAACACATTGAGAAGTGTGCACAAATATTTCCACAAACACATACAAAACTAGAAGTATCCAAACCCTGTCCTACTTCTTGGCCAAAATTATTATTTATCAAATCTTTCTTTTTGTAGACCGATTTAAAAGACATGTGAGCAAAACCTGCTCTTCACGCCACTGTTACTTCACTATCAACACTGGACAATGGACCCGTCAATCTATGAACTGGCAGACTTAACTACTGAAACACAGGTAAAATATAAATATGTTGGCTTTTTTGTTTTTGTTTTTTGTTTTCTTTAATAAAACGGCAAATATGTGGCAAAACACAGTACACAGTCCAAACAAAATCTAAACTCACACATATTACGACAATGCCAAACTGTACATAGAAACCACATGTACTTATGATTTTTCTTTACAAAACACAATGATTCAGCCAATGTTTTTAAGTAATTGGTGCAGTATTGCCATGTCAACTTTTGTGTTGTTTATCAACAGCACTTAATATTAAGCTTTCACAACAGTGACAACACACACACAGAGTTCCTCAGCGAAGTAGACTAGCCATCAAAGAAGTAACGCTCTCAGGCCAAACTTGTCTCAGAATAAAAAGCTCCTTCAGAGGGTCTTCGGAAAGGTAAACATCAGTGGGCTTAGGAGTTCATCAATTCAAAAAGGTCTAACAAGTCCATTCAATGATTTTTTTTGGAGCCGTATGAATTTGTAGAATGTTACTTTTGAGGTAACACCTAAAAGGAACGATGTGGTCTAATTGTGACGGTGTTCAACTACTGATGGGGAACATGGTGCTTGTGTTCTTGGGCAAGACTCTTTAAGTAACTTACTTTTTGCTGTGAGCCAGTTTTTCCATCAGATGTTTCTCATGGAAAAGCTCATAACATGCTAGAAAATCAGCAATGGATTTGTTTTATATTTCTGTCCGGAGTACTGAACTCATGGTCTGCAGGTGATTCTGGTTGTGGGTTCAAGTCCAGCCTGGGGTTATGGTGCATGTGCCCTTTAGAAAGGCAATGTGTCACTCATTGCTTCTCTCCACCCAGGAGTAAATGGGTACCTGTGAGGGCAGAGATGCTTATTGTGATTGATTTTAGCTGCTTTGCGCCAACATGGCAGCATGGAGCTGCATACTCCCCAGGCAGCTGAAATTGTCTTTGGAAAGTTTCGTTGGCCCAATGAGCAGGGTAATAATGATGTAGCGCTTTGGGCACCAACAATGGTGGATATATGTCCTTAATGAGAAACGCACATTATTAAAAGCACAGCCATCATTCAAGCCAACTTGTATTAAACTTTTTTGGCATCTAAAAGTAATGTTACTCAAATCGGTGCCACCAGGACCCGAACCCCAGTCTTTCAATTGCAAGTCAAGTGTTTCACCAAAGCATTTCATATCAGTAGACTGTTGTCTATGACAAAATCACATCATGATGCTGATGGGGATCTCTTAGCGACGTTGAAATTAAACAGGATAGACCTGAGATTGAGAGACAGGAATGTATTTTCTTGGCTGCTGGTCCGTAATAACTCCTGCACGATGCCCGTGATGCCTTGAACCTCAAAGTGGCGTTTGTTGGTCCTAGGAGGTTCAAAGATTGGATGTGGAAAAAACGGAGTGTAACAAGGAGAGGAACGTTTGTGCTATGCCATAAGTGGCCTATCAAGTCCGGTCAAAAGAATAGTCAGTTTATGGTTAACCATAATGCAACTATCTTCGCTCAGTTGACCACTAACACAGTGCGACTAGTGCGACTAGTTGACAAAACTGGTGACTATTAGTTGCAGTCTCAACCAAATTTACGAAGAAAAGTAGACTAGTCATAGTGCTGTAACTTGTCATGATGCCACGCCTACTCTTGTTGCTGTGGCTATTCATGACGATATAGTTATGTGCCGTGGCTAGTCATGGTGGCACAATTCAACCAATTGTCAACCAACATTCTTTGATTTTACTTGCTTCACAAGAAAAGGCAGCTGTTGAGTTTGCACACACTATGGACTACATGCAGGGGTTACAAGGCCAGTGTCTAATCATTCAAATTACACCTGTTTGTTCACATCTGTCAAGGCAGAGTGGTACCCCATCCATTGTGACTATAATGGCCCTCTATCCATCACACACCCAAGGCGTAATCAAGAACGCATCACTTATCACATCAATAACAAATTATAAAGCTGGAGAACAGGCTTTCTAAATTTAAAGAACATTATTGGCTGGACTTCAGGGAATTGAAATATATCAGTACTTACTTGATTTTGGACAGTTTCTGGAGTATAATGCTGAGTTTCTCCCAGACCTTAGGATCCAGATTGGGAGTGCGTAGGACGGTGGCACAGGCTCTGAACCAGACATCCGTACTACAACTTTCCAGAAACTCTTGCGTAAATGCTAAAAAAAAATACACCAAAAAGGAATTAGATAGTAGTAAATTTATAAGCATTATGATTTATTATTTTCATTTCTTTTTCCCTGTGCAAAATTGAAGTCATCGTTTCAAGTGGTGAAATGTTACAGTTTTTCTGTTTTTAAGTGGTTTTCATCAAATTCGTTGAAACTTAATGTAACAATCAAGTTTTTGCGGGGAAAAGATCATCAGAAAAATCAGACTTTTGGAAGGAAATTCTGATTAAAGGTATAGTCCATCATTTGCAGCAATCCGAAAAGTAACTGGCGTAATTATTGTTGAAAAACATACAAGGTTGAAAGATAGTAAGTGGACTAAACTCCCTGTGAAATTATTCTTTCTGGCAAGCTCTCATTTTGAAGTAATCAACGAAAGAAGGCCTTTCCAACGGTGCATCTTAAGACGCACCGTAGGAAAATCTTAATTAGTAGTTCGTTTTGTTATTCGGCGAAGCGCACACAAGCATTGGCACGACGCACATGCTTACGCGGTTGCTATAATTCGTCGGATCAGTGCGCAACATCGCGTAGCTGCAATGGGCTCAGTGAGAACGTGTCTCGGACGCTGAATTCAGGCCCAATTCAAAACATGATTCAGCAACTTTTGATTTGAAATTGAGATCCTAGAATGCTGTTTTTCTCGGATTATACAGCTGAAGCTGAGCTGAAACTTCATCAGGTTAGTTGTTCAGTATCCTTCATTATATTTTGAACACTTTTGTTGCTTCAAACGAACAACATGCACAAATTACAAATGATGGACTATATCTTTAAAACAAAACAACTAAAAACAAGTGTCATCACTGACAGTGCCTACCTGACTCCATAGACATCTGCAGGAAGACGTCCACCGCGCTGCTCATCAGAGCCTTATGGGTCATCTTCAGGTAAGGCACTACCACCGGCGTGGCTTGGTAGCGAATGTATATCTCCTTAGCTGTATCTTCCTTGAGATCAGTCCGCAAGACGTCAAACACCTGGGCTAAGTAGTCCACTGTGAATGACAATAAAAAGGGAGAAGAGTTAAAAGGGCTGCTCACATGACACCAGCAAACTCACAAGGCTTAAGAAATGTTCTCACCAAATTGTGCTCGCCCCCCAATAAAACTTCAGCTGATCACCATGAAATTTGGGGACTTTTCCCAACTTTTACTAGGACTCAATACTGTACCAAAACAAATTCGGGAGGATGTACGTGATAACCATGCAAACCAATTTAAAACGTTAGTAATCACAAAATCTGGTTATTTAAGAAAACAAAATTAAATGTGGTTATATGTATTTTTGTGAGGGCACAATGTGACCTCCATCCCCTGGTCATGAGAAGACCCAAAATACCCCAGTCATTATATGGGTAACACGTCAGGAAATCATTTCGGTGACTGCTTACTATTGTTGTTGAGTTGTAAATACAGGTTTCTAGCAAATATAGGTTGTATCATGGAATCCTAGGCTTGTACTATTATTTTACATGAGTCAGCTTCACATTGTGATACAAAATAAGATGGTTTTAAAATGTCAGTGACTTAAATGACACAAGCATTTAATATGTGACCGAATTCAACACAACTTGAGCTTGCTTTTGTGACTGGACTGGACTCGACCTTGTTGACCTCAGGCCAAAAAAAAAGTCTCCGGTTTCTGGTATGGAGCTTGCCCCAAAAGTGGTGCGGCGACGCGGCTTTTTTTTTTTTAACCGTTTTTTTTCCCTTCAAATGTCGGCTGATGACTGCAAATGGTGCCCGACTAAACTTAGTGCAAATTTATGGGGGTCCAGAGAGGCCACATAAAGCTTATACTCGATCGTAACCCCATCTAATAACACGTTAAAATCGTGCAGCAGCAGGATTCCAGTCAAACCAAGGAGTTTGGCGGTTTTGAGACATCATCTTTCATTAAAAAAAAACTTTTTCATTTTGCCAACGTGCATGTCGACGGCCTTATACATCAATTTTTGGCCTTATACATCAATTCAACTTACTCAATGGCTTAGAATGGCTCATCTTGACTTGAGTCACCCAATGCAATGACTCAAATCAGGTCACAAGCAACAGCGAGTGAACGAAGACAAAGAAGTATAAATTGGCTAGTCACTAGTCACAGACTTGCTGACTAGTGATTGATCACTTGAGATAACTTGTAAGGATGCGATCCCAAGTCTTGTTGATTTGTACAAAGTGTATAAGAGTTCAACCCCAAGGGACCAAACCAATCACCAGAAAGTCAACAATTATAACAGTAACTCACCTTGCGATAGTGTCTTCAAGATGATGAGACAAGACAGCATCCTGACGTGGAGGTTTGGACTCCTGAAGAACACGGCAGCTTTGGGTTTCTCGTGCAGGCCTTCCTGCATCTTGAGGTCTTCTACCACGCCAGCGAAGCGAACCATTGTGGGTTTGTACAGTTCTTCCCCCAGCCGACGGTAGGTAGAGGCAAGTGGGTTGCGTGGCTGGGAATAAAAAAAAACACAAGTATATCACTCTCATTATAATTAGAACTCTATGACTTGATTACAATCCTCAATCCTCCAAAATCAACCAGGTGCTTTTTGGAGGATGCTGGAGGATTGCGGCTGTATGCCTGTTAAAGGTGAACATTAGGTTTTTGTGTAATTTTGTTTATTTGAAGCAACACAATAGTCCAGAATCTTAAAAGGGAGTATAGACACTAACTTGTTGAGGTTTCAGCTCAGAGCAGACTATACATTTTGAGAAAACAGAGAAAATGTATGCACAATATTTAAGGTCTCGTAACTGCATTCCATTGCTAACGCACATAAAACAAGAGGTGTCTCGGTACATTTTCTGAAACCACCTTCAATGATTGTTTCCTTCCAAACGATTTCACGTGAAATAGTTTTATAGGGTATCTAGTACCAGTCCTATCTTCACTTTCAGCAAGGAATTTGATGTTAAATAGGCGCGTTTCTGAGAAATGAGAGACTTTTGTGACGTTGGTGCGGCGAACGTACCTGTCCTTTTCAATTGTTTACGTCATGTTTAATCTAAAGCGCGCAAGCTCAATATAACAAGAGCAACGGAAAAAGGACCGGCATGTTTGCTGCCATCAACGTGTCAAAGGTCTCCCATTGCAAATCCTCCTACGTGCCTTCAACTGTCCATTGGTTTGGAGGATGAATCGTATCAAGGTCTTGAGCTGTACGTTGCTTTGTTTATGCACAGCCATGCGTGAATGTAGGCCTACATTATGGGCTCAGTGCGCCGACCAAAGAGGGCGCCCTTTTACCTAGCAACGACGTCCCATGGGCGGGACATTTCGCTGGTTGACGTGCACCGTTTTTTGTGTGTGACGCACGTACACCAGGGGATTTGTACTATGTACACGCAGTGGCCGCGCTTCGCGGCAAATGAATTGCAGTCAGGCGAGATGGCGTCGGTCGGTCACCCCCAACTGTACTTTCTTTGCTGGTGAGGGGGTACTTGTGAACGGAGCGGATGCTGAACGAGGCCATTTTGCAGCCTTGATTAAGTCGGAATGGTCTGAGCACCACTGGAAAATAAGCATTCAATTGGATATTATTATGTGCTCACCTGTGACCCTTGACCTTGGTCAAGATGCACCAAGGACCAATAAATGAACTGCAGGCAAGGTAGATGCATCTTAGAACTGGCGGCTGGTAGGCAGTGTAGAACTTCAACAAGCGAGGGCAGTATCTAGGACAAATCCAATGCAGACACAAACACAATAAGTAAGCAGTAGTAAAGTCTGTCACAAGCAGAATATGGCCCAGTGTTTATCTCCAGTTTGTTTGGCATGAAACTACTGAGAATTATTTCTATTCCCCCTGGATGGGATGCCAGTCCATTGCAGGTTACTCCCCAGCTAGCTGGGGTGAAGTGGCTTGCCCAAGGAGACATTATGCGGCCAGCAGCTGGATTCGAGCCCCTGATCTTCTGATCATGAGTCACAAACCCTAACCGCTGGGCCACACTCCCTTAGCTCTAGTCATAAGGGTGGGTAAACTATGACAACACGGCCAAAAAAGGATGTTTTTTGTGAGTGGTGGAGGGAACAGAGGAAAGCTTTTTTCCGTCTCAAGTCCCAGAGATTCACTAAAACAAACAAATAATACCATAAAATCGTTCATTCTCATAATCATCATTGTTTTAGAACAATATGTAGATGTTTTCTTATCTTTAGCCGGAAAGCAGCTGAACTACATTGTACAAAATTATGTTTATTCCCTGATTAAACCATGTGTGCAAACAGCTCCATGAACTTGCGTCCTGATGTAATTCTTACCTTGGTACATCGTTCTTTAGTAAGCGCTGGTGCAGGCAAGGCCACCGTGGGTTGCTTGCTGCCATCTTCTGGCAACACATTCCTGAGATGGACGTCACTCAGCCATTCCAACAAGACACCCAGGACGTCATAAACCGCAGTAGGCTGCAGATTCAAGCAAGTTCATGCAGTCGATGTGTGAAACCGTACATAATTACTATGTGGTGCTTATATAAAGCAAAATATGGATGTCAGAGCGCTTCACTAATATTACTCCTGTTCATCGGGCTATGCGACCATTTGTCTGTAGCAGCTTGAGATCAGCGCCATCTAGTCTCCACAATCACAGGTACTCATACAAAACTCCTGGGTGGAGAGAGGCAACTGTAGTAAAGTGTCTTGCCCAGGAACACCTGCACAATGCAGGATAGTACCCGAGTGTGGAAGCACGACAGCAAGTGCTTACATTTATTGCATGTTTGTTTCCGTTTAACTCATTTGCTTCTGATACCTTGTTCTGTTTAGACACCCCAGCTGTCTTGCTTGCTTCCGTCGCGTCCCTGGTACCCACAGTTGGCCGGTTCTCGGCCTTTGCCTTTGCAGACATGCTGTTGAGAGCCCGCTGTCGTTCGCTGAGTTCCTGCTTGCGTTGCAGGTTGACCAGACGACTCTGAACATTAAGGGCCTGCGACTCCAATTTCTTATTCTGCTCCTGGATTTCAGTCAACTGAGCGAGACAAATGATGAAACCACATAATAATAATAATAACAATAGTGGGTATTTATAAAGCGCACGTATCCACCAGGACTGGTGCCCAAGGCACTACATCATTACTACCCCTGCTCATTGGGCCCATGAAACATTCCAAGTACCATCTCAGCTCCCTGGGGAGTATACAGCTCGATGCAGCCTGTTAGGCGCAAGCAAGCTAATTCAACCACAATAACCATCTCTGCCCTTACAGGTACCCATTCACTCCTGGGTGGAGAGAAGCAATGAGTGACAAAGTACCTTGCCCAAGGGCACACACACCATGACCCCGCCAGGACTCGAACCCACAACCCGCAGCTTTACCCACAGACCACGAATGAGTGCCCTTAACCACGAGGCCACAGCACTCCATACAATCCAACCTGGGCCCAATTTCATTGTGCTGCTGAACACAGACATTTCCTAAGCATAAAAAAATATTTCATCTCCAAAGTTGCCCCTATTGAACTTTCTGGTTGACATCCTGTATAAGGTTCATTCTTTAAATTTATGGTCTAAAGAGTGACATTTTTTTCTGTCCCTGTTACTTTGATACTTTGCCATGGGCGATGACTGCATTAAGGAGTACATCAGAATTAAGCAATTCTAGCATTATGAAAGAAAGTGTAATGTCAATGACAGAGCCATTTAACCATGATATCTAATTGATGACTGAGAGAAATTTCCAAAACTCCTAGTCTGTAATCTCCTGGACTTTTACCAGATGATGGATGTACAAAATTTGAAAATAAAATTCAGGTTTATTCACTGAGCTCTTAAAAGCTCTGTCACTGATATAACATAAATGCTGGAATTGCCCAATTATAAAATCATAGATGTCAGATGTAACAGGGACCCCAAATTTAAAGAATGACCCACAAACTATCCTGTATACACTATCCTGCAGTTAATCTCTTGCCGTTAATTGTCAATGTGGAGTACCACACAAATACAAATATATTTGCAAGCATTATAAATAAACTCATCATTAATCGTATAGATGTAACTGTTTGAAGCTTGATTGTGGATATTGTAGTAAGTGAGGGAAGTTTACGTACCTGTTTGCGTAGTGCATCATTAGCCTGTTTGAGGGTGTCAAAGGAGGCCTTGAGTCTCCTTGTCTCCTTGGTCTTATCCTGTAGCTGCTCACTCATCTTATCCAGTTCATTCTGGTGTTGCTGTCGGAAACAAAACAATGGAAAGTTCATTAGTTTAATATGAGGTGTTCATGATATAGGACTTAATACATTCCTTTTTTTTAAAGGGAGGGATCATAATAATGTGGTGCTTATATATTGCGCTTTATGACAAGGTCTCAAAGTGTTTCACAATTATTATCCCCTGTTCAACGGGCCAATTGAGACCAGTTTTTGCAGCAGCTCCAAGTCATCACAATCTGGTCTCTATCCTCACAAGTACCAATTATACACCTGGGTAAAGAGAGAGGCAATTGTAGTAAAGTGTCTTGCCCAAGAACACATGCATCATCTTCCCTGTCTGGGTTCGAACCGATGTACCATCGTACATGATTCAGACACCATTTTCTACTTTTCTTAATACAAAATTTGTCTTCATGGAGGCTTCTGCAGTGTGCTTGAAACGGGAACTATGCTTGCACTCAGTTGACCTCTTAGTACTGTCACGATTTTGGCAGCAGATTACAGTTCTTAATGACTCTAATTCACGGCCCAATTTCACAGCTCTGCAAACCACAGAATTCCGCACTTATGATTACCATTCTGCACTATTCAGGGCTAGCAAAAGATAATGGGTCCTAACCCTGTAAGCACAGAATATTTAGTTATATGATGTATGCATGCGCACAAGCCCAAACTCTTCACTAACCTGTGAAATATGCTAATAAGCATGGAATCTTCTGTTACAGTTAGTGGGGAAGTTTTGCTCATGGTAAGCAAAACCATGTCGGGCCCAGGGGGCAGATTTGATTAGCTTGAGAAGACTTGGCTACAAAATTGATGGAATAAATGGTTTACCAACCTCTTTCAAGACAGCCCATCTGCGCCCCACTTCTTTCTGTGCGCTGCGTAACGTGGAATCCTGCTCAATCAGACTTGCCTGCTCGCGGTCGACTAGCGCCCTCTCTCGCTCCATCAGGGCCAACTCCCGCTCGTGAAGAATGGCACTCTCTTTCTATACAGGACAATAGTTTGTTAAACTTCTTCAATAAAATTATATTTTTTCACATAGCAAGACACCCTAGCAAACTGAGTGCAAATCTTCACTATTTTAACACTCATCTTCATTATTTTAATACTCATCATCAACCAATCTGATTCTCTTAATATTTTCCTGTGCACTGAATATTCAGGTCTGCAGTTCCAGGGGCAACTTTGTTAGCCAATAGGAGAGCGCTTTTCAGGATGTCAGAGCGCGCTGCCATTTTACTTGGTAGGAGGTCAACTCTGGGTCAGGTTTTGTAAAGAGCGATCTGATTGGTCAAAAATTATGTAAGTCCATATTTGGAAGTGTTCATGAATAATTAATCCCACAAGGTAAACATTGAAAAGATAAGGACTCAGCTTGCCAGGGTACCATCTTATGACGTATGTGAGACTACTCTGGCTAGAGGATGGTTCTTCTTACCTGGAGTTTTCTGTTGATGGTAGCCAGCTCTGCATACACATCCTGTACCGCCGCCATCTTATCGTCTGGCTCATCCTGGTAGAAGGAGGAATCATCCCTGTTGATTTTCTTCTTGGTGGGTAATTTTTGGGGGGCGTGTCTAGGCACAAAGTAGTCTTCGCTCTCATACAGCTGATGTGGGGAATCCGTTGGGATGTCGTCGGAGGCGCGGAAGGAGGATTCTGGTAATTGTGGTAGAGAAAAATTGTGATGATTGGAAGAAATTGCAGTTTTGAGTATCATCTATTCCATGTTAAGCCCTCTTCTTTTAAGTGGTGTTATTACTTGAAACAAACATTAGGCCACAAAAAAAAATACTCGGTCTCTGGTCAGCGCGCGTCGATTTTAATCATGCGCGTCAACCTTTTTTTTCTTTCACATTAACACGGAAGCTACTCCTCAAATTTTTGTACCAAGGAGCACCAAGGAATGGGGAAATTGCACCAAGGCAAATGATAAAGGGCACCAAGGCACATTATGGAGGACACCAATGTATAATGAGGACACAAAAAAGCAAAATAGTACCCAACTTGTCTGTACAATACAAGCTTGAAAAAAAAAAAGCCACAAAAAAACCACCAAAAAAAAACGCGTCGCCGCATAAATTCCAGAACTTCGGTCTGACCAGAGACCGACTATTTTTTTTTTTTGGCCTTATGCACAAAAATATAATGATCCTATATGTACCATTGAAGTGTTTTGGAGGGCATTGTTCAGCAAGGGTGGTTTCAAGTTTTTGATGATCAGTGAATATTGTTCCATTGACCATACAGTATATCATCCCATACCTTCATCCTCTGCCACATCCTCTGAAAGAGTTCCCTCCCTCCGGCTCCAGTCTACCTCCCCGTCAATCCCACGATGCATTGTCTCATCCAGACGCTGGCTATCAAGACGCAGGATCTTGCACAGCTCCCTCAGGGCGCGGTTGTAGTGTCGCCTCTCCCCGCTAGTCAGTGTACCCGCTGCGCTCATGCTGGGCAAGGTCATGGATGATATGGGAGTCTGGGAACTAGGCGAGATGGAGCGCCGAGATGGGGAAGTGTCTGTCAAGAAACCAGTAAAAAGGAGATCCATAATAAGCTTTAACACTCCCAGATCATTTGTAATCCATCAAGACATTTTGGAGGTATTGCTTTTACTTTGCAAGGAACTTGTCAAGTAAAAATGTCTGGGCTGGAACTTGAAAGTTTCAGTACAAAGAGAGGTTTTTTCCTCATGGGCTCTAAATGGGAAAAGACTGCGTAAATAGTGCTCATAGGCCCTAACATTTATATTCCAGATTCACGTCTTTTCCACATTTTTGTGATGCCTGATCTTTGTTGAGATAATACGTGGTGACAAAATTTGGTGTTATGATGCAATATTCTTTCCGTTATTTATTTAAAAATTGAAATCCTGTAGGCCTGACTACGAAAAAATTGCTACACTTACACTTTTGTCCAAAACCACCTTTTGAAGCAGCCATGTTTTCCATCAAATTTGTTCCCTGAAAAATAATAATACAAATTGTAGTCAGGAAACTGCTACACTACATTCATTCGCCCTATACTAGATTATGCTTCATCTTCCTGGGATCCTCATCTGAAATCAGGCATTGGACATGCAGTTAGATTCATCTACAACAACTGAAGCACATCACCAGGTACAGTTACATGTATGTACATCACTTCTCCAAATCCATGGATGGCTTACCCTTGAACAAAGAAAACTCATTAGATTATTAAACTAGGCTCAACAAGATACTGAACAACACAGTTGATGTACTACCAGCAGAGGCCTTTGTCACTACAAATACTCAATCATCCCAGGGACATAAACACAAACTGAATCGGAAAAAAAACGTTGCAACAGGGATGTTGGTATTCAGCGGTTGTGTACGAAGTCTTTGGAGAGTCAAGACAATTTAAAATTCATGAAATTGGAAATGTTTCTCAGTCCCAGATTCATATCTTATCATCATTTTTGCAATTACTGGCCTTCATTGAGATGATATATGAAGAAAAAATGGCGTCAGGTTGCAACATTTTTTTCCGGAAAGTGAAGTCCAAGATTGTAAGAACCGTTCGGTTGACAGCTGACCCATGCGCAAAAGTAAACAGACCACCTGAGATGCTGGAGACAGCGAAAAAAATAGAGGGGTGAAAAAACTTAGTGTTACTTACCTGACCAACTAATTACCTTAACAACCAGGCCTTTTGCAAACTATAAACGACTCCGTCCTTAATCGACAGTATTCGGTTAAAAAAACAGAGGTGAAAATGAGTAAAATCTAGCCTAAATTGTCCCAGTTCGAATTTGGTGCAACACTCAAAAAATTTCCCTGTACATATAAACAGCGCCCTCAACAGTTCCAAATGACGGAAGTGCAGCAGGTGCGATGCAGGAAGCAACGATGAGTCAATGCCCTTTGTTTTGACACGTAGATTGTTTTCACCTTTCAAAAATGACGACATGAGAAAAAAAAATCGATCACTATATAAAATCAAGCCACAGTAACACAATATGAAATATTTCCAAGTAAATACAAAAAAATAACCCTAGTATTGCAAGGGAGCATGGTGCAAAGATGTGCCAAAAAACATTAGATCCTATTAAATAACATTAAAGAGCACAAATTTTGTGTTCTTCAACAAATTAGAATGTTTTTTTTTTCTCACAACGATTTGTCAATTTATATTTCTAGTTATAAAATAAAATAAAAACAACCTTGTTTTGGGCATATAAGTAACGTCCTTGAAAAGGTTTTTATTTTAGATTGCTTTTGCGCCTCCACTGTAAAAAAAATACTGGTAGGCCTACGCCTGAATTTTATTTGATATTTCACAAGTAATTATTCCTTAGGCTAAGTGTGCATGTTGTGCGTGAATTCTTTTTCCGTTCGATGTTTCTTTTAGAATTATGTAGCAATGTACAAGGGCGGATCGGGGGGGGGGGGGGGGGGGCCAAGGGGGCCATGCCCCCCCCCCCAAAAAAAAACGAAACCATTTTTTTTTTTTATGTGACATCGCAATAAAGGCAGGCAATGAGTACACCACCATCTTTTCCTCAAAAAAACATTGGTTAAAGTGGTCAGAAATTGCCTCAGATCGCACCACAGAGCATCTAGAATCCAAATTTTTTTTTTGGCCCCCCAAAAAATTGTGTTCTGGATCCGCCCTTGGCAATGTAACAAAAATGTCGGGCTGAAAATCGAAAATGCATAAGATTAAGAAAGCTAGTTTGCTTTCCTAATGATCAATTGTAAACAAAAAAATATGTTGTCGGATGCATTGCGGCGGCTAATTCCCATAAATAGAATACATGTGTTGATATTTTGTCATATGTCATCAATTATTGATGGAAAAGGCAAAAGAGTTGGGTCTCGCCATATTGTGCGGGCTGTGAGCCGCCTCTCATTCTCGAGTGCAATCCTGCTTACTGCTCCACACGGGGGCTTTTGCCTGCTGCGTTACCCGCCCTGGGCCGGTACACCCCTCCTTAGTCAACCTGGTCTGTTACCCAACCTACGCCGGGTAAACCATGCCGATGCCGAGCTTAGCCTGGACACCCGATCGTCATGAGCAGAACGACACCACAGAGCTCCCGGTCTCATGCGATCCACCAACCCCGGCCTCCTAAAGTCACTGGATTACAGGCGCACGCCACAACGCCCGGCCGACAGAGGATGGAATTTTAAATAATATAAATCTTTGATCGAGAAAATCCCATAACTGAAAGCAAAACAAAACATGAGAAACGTCGTGGACAGGATTCGAACCTGCGCGGGAAAACCCATTGGATTTCAAGTCCAACGCCTTAACCACTCGGCCACCACGACACTTGAACGCAATCCAAGCTGGCCCTTTCTTTGCAATCTGTCTGAGTTTTGCAGGCAGATTTTGCGGTGAGGCGAGGGCAAATCCGAAAAACTGTAAAGTTTCACGTCACGAGCGCCGCTATCAGGACAGTGATGCATTTTACAATAACTTCTGATTACTTACAATTAGGAGAAACCAGTCTTTTCATTACCAGCCGAACAGTCTTATTGTTTTGCCTTATAGCGAATCATTTTAACGAATATATAAAAATGCTGAACTTCATGTGAACCCAGAACTAGCAATGAACGTAGCCCCAATTGGTTGGAAGTGTGAACGAAAAGTCTGCCGTTTGATGCGTAAAATGATCCGATTGGTTTCGGGAAGTTGCCACGTGCCGTGTGGGTGGGGCCTATAATGAATAATGTATGTCTGTGAGACGCACATGCACACTCGTTGCTCACGTGAGCAGTGGGCGGGGCTAATTTAATGGTCTATTTTCAAAGTGCCGAAAATTTCAAAGGTTCTGAAACTTTCCCAAAACTAGGTCCCTCAAAAATTGTGTTCAAACACGTTTCTAGGCCATACCAGCGTGACGAATGTGTATGCCAAAAAGTGTTCATCACTTTCATGATTGTTTTAACTTAAAGCTAGATCTATAATTCTGCCATTCACTCTTAAATTATACATTTGAACACGTTAAGAGAAGTAATTAGGAGAAAAAAATTATGATGTAAATTTTCACTCCAAAAAAAAATTCAAATCACAAATCATTCATACAATCATTTATTGTATGGCAACTTTTATTCTTTACATTCTTACTCTGTCATTACCATTATTTGTACATTTCCTTTAACATTTTGCCACCTCAGCCTCAAAGCATTAAATATGAGTTGGGAAAGATCTTTTTTTAAAATCCAATCCCGTTTTCCACCGAAATATTCATTTATTTCCTGTGGAATTTCGGCACAGGGTGATAAAATACTGTGTTTTACATGTAATAAAGACAATAAAATACTTAGGTAAAGAGGCATAAGCCATGACACTACAGTGTATATGGTCATTGAAGTCTAGGCTCCAGGAACAGTGCAGCATTGTGTGATGGCACGGTATTAGCCTGGTGCCTATTTCTAAATTAAGTATGGGCTTGCCCACGAGTATGAACTGATGAATGTAGTTTTGATTACCCATCACTAGGTGCACAAGTTTTCTGGAGTACAGACAAAACTGCCAATAGGCTTTATAGATGATCCTTAATACGTGATTTTTGTACTCATTTGGACTATTAGACAAAAGAGTGCTCAGAAATAAACTTGGCAGCATATTGCTTTCCTTAATTTAAAATAGGGACATGATTTTTTTTATAAGAAATTCTTACTACTCTACTTGTAAATCTAAAACAGATACAGATTTTTTTTACTGACAGCATTTGTACATTAAGAGTGTGCGCTTGCGAACCTCACAATAAAACTTGCTCATTCAAAATGATCCTTTAAGGACAAAATATTGCATATCATTTTGAAATGTACACACAGGTTGCATATTGATAAAATAAAAACGGGTCACGCAATGAGACCCTTGTATGATTACAACTTAATTGTTAGTTGGTGTTGTAGTCAATCCTACTGCAAGTCTGTTACAAGTCATCACAAGTCCTTCAGTTCCAAGTCAACTCACAAAGTAATTCTAATAAACTATGACAAAAGATTAATTTGTAATTGTTTAACTACTTGTGATCAGACTTGTAAACTAATTTGTGATTGACTTGTGATAGGCTTGACTACAACAATGTCGTTTAGAGCAGTGAGAAAAATACCATAAATACTGACAAAAGTAAACCCATAAACATTATAACAAAAAAAGCTACAAAAATGCTTTATTAAATGTGACTCCGGTTCAAATTGCTTTTTCAAAGTATATTATTGACAATCATGATTTCATCATGTACTTACTTTTAATGCCCGTTCATATGGCTGTATGGTTCTAACTTGGAAAGTAAGAAATTTTCAGGGATGCATTTTACTTTGGCAAGTTGTCATCAATTCCTTTATTAAGGGTGGGATGACAAAACGGGACGACAGTGGTGAACGTTGTTCAGGGCCCCACACAGGGTTCATGACAATGTGCGTTTTCACTTGTGGGAAAGCCGACTCCGCGATATGGGGAAGTTTTCTATTGTTAAGGAAATTAGGACCAAGTTATGGGGACTTTCTACTATCCCCATTGTGTTTTCAGTCCCCATAATTTCATTGACATCTTAAAAAGTTAGACCTGACATTTGCCTGAAATTTCTGATTACAAAACACTGCATCCTATTACTGCCACGTTACGCAAACACTCATCATGGGTGCATAAAAAAAGGGACGGTCGCATGACAGGTGCACGTTATTAACGATCAAAATGAGAGTTTGTGTAACATGGCAGTCATAGGATGCAGTGTTTTGTCATCAGAGACATACAATGTAAAAGCATAAAAATGTCAGGCCTAGGTGTTTTTTTAATGTCTGTTGTCTGCATGGTCCGTCAGCCTGCAATGCAGTGTCCACGCGACATTGCCAGACACGAGCTCGCTGGCTGTGTATGCACGGATGGTATGGTGTCCCCCTGATAATACTGAGATTGCCTTGGACAAGGCTATGGCAATAATGAAAAATAAATCAACCATCAGGCATTAATAACATACAAATGCAATCAGAAGTTAGTCATGAACACTGTGCACCTTGAATGGCTGATCGCTGGATTGATACATGGGCATTATAAATAGGACATTATTTGTTATCCATTTCAAAAATACTTTACAAACACATGACAATACGCCACGTTATGCTTATTATAATGGTCTTACAGTAAAATAAAAAAATAATCAGAAAATGACTGTTTAGTCTGAAAGATGCGAATCATAGTTTTACAAACACACATTTGGAAAAAAAAAATGGAAGAGTCGAGAAGTATGTGAAATGTTTCCTAATATTAACATGTTTCTTAATATTAACATGTACATGTCCAATAAATCTGAACCTTAAATCTGATAATACACTTATGTGGTACCCTCAAAAATCTCACAAGCTAACTTTGCAAAAGGAAAAAAGTCTGGAGTTTTGAGAAAAAACCCATACTTTATTTCCTAATACAAAGATCCTTTATCATGGAATGGAAATAAAACTAAGACGGCTTTCAATCAATGGAAAGAAAGCAAAATCCTGCTGCGTTTCCAATGTTGCATTTCAGCCCTACAGTAGCACCCTTCCCCTGCCTAGAGTGACCAATAGATGGATTGCACTCAGCAGCCATCTTGGAGGTGCGTTTTGTTATGTTAATTCATTAACAATGAATGTAGAAGAGCTCTACTCGTGCCTGTCCCTGTTGAACAAAAGCACAGGCCTCAAAGATGGCCGCAATGCAAAGGATCTATACAGCACAACGCCACTTCAACAAACTGTGCTATATCAAACGTTTGGCAATAATGGTCATTGCATTCTATGGCACCAATTTCTCTCACATAAGGAGCCATTTGCAAGTATGATTTTGAATAATGTCTAGTATCCTGAGTTTTATATGTAGCAACATACAACTCTGGAATGGTCCGGTGTCTTTGTGCCATTCTCATTATAGTATTATGAACAATATATATTGGGATGGGCATCTCTAATACTTAACCATATAAGAGCTAGCCCCATGTTACATCATCTAGTAACATTCGCTCGTACCCCCGCCCTGCAAACAGGACGCTGGGATACTCTGATGAATTCACGCTCTGATTGTTTGGATTTTGCGTGAACTTTGACCTGAACTTCATCACGGTCATGACTCTGCAAGGTTTTAAGCGGCCGCTAAGACTGATTTATTACTCTTTTATTCCAGTTTAGAGATGTTTTGTTTTCGTTGAAAAGCGTCATAATGTAGGAAATTCTGTAAAACTTATCTTTGTTGTAAATTTACAATTTCCGTCACTTGCTCAGGCTCCGTTTCGAATCACGAACGGTCGGATTGCATTATGCGACGCTCAAAATTTTGTCCACATGGCCCGCAATGAAACAAATCACATCCGGTATGGAATGTGCGTAATTCTATGGGAAGTTTTCGGATAGCATTTGCGCACATTGTCTAACTGCGATCTTGAACAGCTGCAGCCAGATGCTTTATACATAGGTCATTGGCCACTTCCTTCACAAGATTCTGTGAAGCTCATCAGAGTATCCCAGCGTCCTGTTTGCAGGGCGGGGGGTACGAGCGAACTAGTAACAGTGCCTTTTAGTCTGGAGCATTCACATATAGAGTGCAATTAACTACATGCAAAAGTCAGTGTACCAGACATTATTTTAAATTGTTGCAGTGGGCATGGGTCACTAGGTACTTTTTGTGAATATGATGGATGTTTAGTGACGTTCTACTGTAGCGGACGTTTTTGTTGATTTCTTGGACACTAAACATTTCTTCAATCAGGGCTGATGAATAATGCTGATAGGGCAAAGACTAAGAAGACAACACCTCCAACAAGAGTGACTGCAAAGAAAACACACAGACAATAGAATCATTAAATAATTAGCAAGATACAAAATACCTCTACAGGAAATCTTAACTATAAGCATGTCACATGATGTCATTTTTTTCAGATAAAAGCAAACTGCCCATTCTACACAATTTCATATGTTTAAATGTGTTGATGTGACATTGCGCAAAAATATAGGAGAAAGACGGGTGGTGGTTTTGCTTGTCAGCAAATGACAGGCATGACGTTGTCGTGTAACACTTTGCATTTGAGATTCAGGAATAACAGGGTTCAAACACGGCAGCCCGCAATAGATGAGTTTTACGGTTAAATGCGGTGAGTTTGTTCAAGTTATTTTCTGGTTTAAAGTTTTCCAAAACATAACAGATGTATAGCCTGTATAGAACACGCTACTGACAGGGCCACAACAACAGCTGAGATAAAGAACATAAACTGCCAAGGAGATATACAACATCAGGTTTTGAAAAAAATGTAAATGTTAAAACTGTTGTATAGACACAACTAAGAATTTTTATAAAAAAGTGTGAAAGAGAAACTGTACATATAATGAAGATCTATCATTGGGACAACCTTCAGGCCACCCTCCTAGTTGGAAATCGATATTTATTGTAATATATGTAAAACTCTTTAAACCCTGCAGAAAGCATAGCACTGTGGAGACCAGTAAAGCGTGATAGAATCCACTCACTCGCCCTGAACTTAACCACACAAGACTGTGTAAGGATTTGAAATGTTAGCCATACTCCGCAGGTTATTTCAGGGGAATTTGAAGTGTGGGTGCTAATACTTACGGGCAAAAATGGTTTTGCAAAACTTCGAGGGTTTTGAAGTGCGACCACAATGAGAAAACATAACTGCGGTGGTACTACACTCATACAACCGTTGTGCATGTTCTTAAAATTGAGGTACTTTGGAAAGTAGGATTCCAGCTACAAGTGGAAGGAGCACCGAGTACCACCTTATTCATGGCTCCTACTTGTGGTCGCCATTTTGTATCCAGAAACTCACCTGTTCTCGCTGATATTCTTTGGGCTATCATTCGACCACCTACCACTGCCAGCGCCGTGCATAACGCATGCCCTAAGGTCCCGCCAATAGTAACACCAATTACGTCCTGGATTAAAAAAATCGAAGAAACAATAGTGGAATCAATAAATGAATTTCTGAAACCCAAACAGTACCATGGGATGAACATCCCAAATATTTAAAAACCAAATGACATTTCTTTGAACTGATAATATAACTCAAAAATATGGACTCTCAGTTTGAAATCTGTCGGAACAGAATTCTAATAGACCGTTTCATCTAGTCCAACTCATGGTGTTTTGACCAGTCAAAGCTGTTATAACTGTCCAACATGCGAGCACGTGCATAAGACATCTTTTGTTGAAAGCAGTTCGTGAATACAAATGTTTAGTCTATGGGAGAGTGTTATAGAGACAAAGGGAAAAACAATGCCCTGCCCTCAGACGTAATGGTAAAATGCGACTATGCGCACACGTCTTTGTCCACATGCACTGTGGGTGGACCTAATGGATCGGGTCTATTGGGAGTTAATACATTTATGGTGTCTGTGTGAACATACACACATATATTAAAAAGATTTTGGACAAACACTAACTGCAGTCCTTTTTTGTACACTTTTAGATGTTCTTATTTCAATGCGGTACAGTAATTTTTGCAAAAAAAGGCCGATTGTTTATCTCTCTTCAGATAATTCCAGCAAAATACAATTGTTGCACAAGTCATTGTTCTCTCTTTATCTTTAGTGGTTTTTTTTTAGTTTTATCACATAGAGACACCTTTGGTACTACATGTATCTGAAGCTGACTTCAACGATAACCTGCGGTTTTTAATGGCATATTTATCTAGTGTAATGCAAATACTCCAGGCTGCATATTTGCATAGACAAGCACGTGTGGTCGAGTTAAACTCGTCCACGTGTCAGTGAACTCGAATGAATGAAATCTTTGATCATGAAAACAGTGAGCAAAGTGCATGCACGGAGTGTTATCGTAAAACAGCTGATATTTACGATTCCGAATATCATGGCTCTGACTACGCAAGACTGAGAATGCAGCCACAAGATCTTATTAGAGAAATCCATGAGGAAAGTATTATGTTGAGTACAGAGAGAAATCCCAGTTACTATCACTTTAATCCCCAACCCAGAATATCATGATAACACTTATGTCTATGTTACATTCTTTATATACTGAATGATATGAGTTGATAGAGTAGCAAGGTCATTAGTAATAGAATCACTGATTTTTTTTTACAATCACTGATTTTTCATTTTGTGTTTTGCAATTTTGTTAAACTTTGTGTGCACACTGGAGAATTTTTGCAAAAAGTTAAATTCCATTTCAACTCTTTTCAGAACAATGAACTCAGGGGGCTTTACATGGGGCTTCATGTCCAAATTTATTTAGGTACAAAGAATGAGTCCATGGTTACTTCTTAGTATTTTTTTTACCAGAATCCTTAATTTCTAAGCAAAAACACCCAGGTGTAAGAGGTAACTTACGATTAAATAGTTTATTACCCCACCATTTATGAACATAAAAAGACGTTTCTATTTATGTTAGTTTTACCAGTTTTCCCAAAGTCCATTTTATTTGTTCCTCAATTCAAATATTCATACAAACAAATGTTTGTTACCATTAAATGAAAACAGATATTAAGCCAACCAGAATTAAATAACCTAGTTCCCATTCACTATGTGCTCTATGTAACTCACATCATGATTATAACATTAAAAAGTTAATCAGGATAAACTTTATTCTTAATCAGGATAGACTGTCAGAGACAGTTATTGTTACAGAATATCATATCTCTGAATGATAACTTATCTTGTTTGGAACAATGTTCATGTTGAAGAGCAAAGTACACCTTGATAGTAGGACAGTGACACTACACATGTTCTTCGGTAATAAAAGTTCACATTCTTTTCAAAAGTAAACTAGTTTATACAGCTTCAAATTTATTATAAAAAAAAAAGGAATTCTTCGGACCGATTTTGTTTTTTTTCAAGATAGTAATTTTAAAGTCAACTAAATTTTCTGTCAGATTTTGAGCCCTTGTATATCTAAACAGGCACAATTTGAAAGAATATGGACTGCGTTGGCACTTTTTGAAAACTTTCAAGAGCACCAGTGGGAGGACACACTGCATGCGCGTACTGATTCACGCGTGTTTTGTGCCAAGTACGCACAGCTAATATTATTCTGAATGCAGGATGTTAATTGCTAAACCCGTAGTGTCTTCACGTTAGCTTTAGGTGCTGTCGGCAATGCATTCGAATGTTTCTCCCAGTGGTCTCCCCTAACTCTCCATTTGTAACCGCTGAGGGGGTAAGAACCAGCCCCTAATCCAAGGTTGCATTCATGGAGTTACTAACAACTGAATGTGCTTAGCACAAATAGTATCTGCTAAGAACGAACCGGTAACCAACCAAAATGTTGCAGGATGTTAATTGCTTGTGACTGGTTCTTGGCATATTTATGCTTAGAGCATAAATTCGCTAAGCATTGTAAGCACTATTTTCTGTTTGGCCGCTCCATCAAATGACATGTAGAAACAACACAAGGCCAGCATGGTAAAACTGGTTCAGAACGGCTATTCACTGAAAGTCTTTTCATGCGTCTGGTGCACGCAATGCAATGGGCCAGGTTTAGCCCTTTCATTGGCATTACGGGGTAATCCTATACAACTGCACTGCCCGGCTAACAAGTGACAGTGAGTCATTGTGTCAGTTAGTCGGTCAGCAGTTTGATACAAAAGGGAACTGTTGGTGTGAATCTGGTGTACACTATGGGCCATGTTTAGCCCATTCATAATAGCGTTACGGGGTAATCCTATATGACTGCACTGCCCGGCTAACAAGTGACAGTGAGTCATTGTGTCAGTTAGTCAGTAAGTCAGTATGATACAAAAGGGAACAGTTGGTGTGAATCTGGTGTACACTATGGGCCATGTTTAGCCCATTCATAATAGCGTTATGGGGTAATCCTATACAACTGCACTGCCCGGCTAGCAAGTGACAGTGAGTCATTGTGTCTGTGTGTCAGTTAGTCAGTCAGTATGATACAAAAGGGAACAGTTGGTGTGAATCTGGTGTACACTATGGGCCATGTTTAGCCCATTCATAATAGCGTTATGGGGTAATCCTATACAACTGCACTGCCCGGCTAGCAAGTGACAGTGAGTCATTGTGTCTGTGTGTCAGTTAGTCAGTCAGTATGATACAAAAGGGAACAGTTGGTGTACACTACGGCCATGTTTAGCCCATTCATAATAGCGTTACGGGTTAATCCTATATGACTGCACTGCCCGGCTCACAAGTGACAGTGAGCCAATCAGTCAGTTAGTCAGCCAGTGAGGTACAAAGAGGACACCAGGCTAGCCTCTCTAGGCCCAGCAAACACTCACCTCTCTAGCTGCTAAAATGATGGTGGTGATTTGCGATCGGTCGCCCCACTCCGCCAAAAATGTCAAGGTGAAGGCCTGCAGAAATATCGGCGAGAACAACCCGAATATCTTCCGTGGCTTGCCACCGCGTATTATACCTGACTCAGGGTCTTGTGTGACTGTGGCTGCGGTGGCTTTTTCCATCTGTGTGAGGACAAAAGGGGGCGGGGTTTAGAAGGTATGAAGGGGGTATGAAAGAGATTCAGGACTAAAAGAAAGAAAGTCTAAGTAACACCTGATTATCATTTGTCACTTGTAATTTGTAATGTTAGGTTTTGCCCTTCACCAGTGTAATTTTCATAAGTACATGTTAATATCTGCAATTACATGTAAATGATCATGTCTGACAAAATTCAATCATTGTTTAAGTTGATATGATATTATTTACTGGTACATGTACCCAATGTTAATTTTTTCCCAATCTCAATTAATGATTGCAGAATTTTTGACAAAGTGAGTGACTATTGACAATGAATGAATAACTGAACATGGTAAGTATGTGTGACCACCAGTTTTAGAGTTCGTCTGCAGTGTCAAACATTTTAATAGAACATCAATTTGCAATCAAACAATATTTACTGCTGGGGAGATTCCTCAAATTTGGGCAATATCACTGGTGCGTATCCACACACAGGCAAATTCTTCTAATGTGAAGCAAACTGAAGTACAGGGAACAGAACAGGGAGTAGAAATGTGGGCAACTTTTTGCAAATTTACAAATATTTTTCAATGGCAATGTTTTGACAACTTTATATTTGTACCAACTGTTAGACAACGTTAAAATAAGGAACTTTATCAAAGAGCCAAGGTTAAACATTTTTGGAAATTCTCATCAAAACCATTATCCTTGAGGACCAGCCTAATGAAGTTGGTTGCATATTGCTAGATACTATTGGTAGCATGTATTGCCGTGTACAGACGACTCTCATTAGAGCAAATTCCCAGGTCCCAAATCTCAGGTTCTCTTTGTGTTTCTTGGTTTCTTTGTCCCTTTATAACGACATTCCTGTTATAAAGAGGTAATTTCGCTAGTCCCATCGACCTTGTTATATTGAGAGTCGACTGTACATCACAAAGCCAGGACCATAAAAATGGTACTCAGTTTACCACAGGTCTCAAATCTCAGGTGCTCTTTGTGTTTCTTGGTTTCTTTGTCCCTTTAAAACAACATTCCTGTTATAAAGAGGTAATTTCGCTAGTCCCATCGACCTTGTTATATTGAGAGTCGACTGTACATCACAAAGCCTGGACCATAAAAATGGTACTCAGTTTACCACAGATAATTGCACATTCATACTAAAAGGCAGACACAAGATACACTGTACATCACAACGCATTGGGATCAGCAGTTTTGTACTGCTTTTTGTTTGGGCTCTGGACTGTTCTCAAGAGGTTTCTTGCAGAAATGGAATGGTATGACGCGTGACATGTACGATTCCGATGTATGTAGGACGCATAGCTTGGTGTTGTATGACATATCTGGGTGTTTATGTGAACCTACTCACATGCGAATCTGGGCTAATGCCATTTGAAACAACATGACCATTCATAGGTTTCTGCAAGAAACACATGGACATGCAAATGTGTACACAATCCAATTGGAAAACTCCACAGACCACACCAAGCACGCTAATACCGTACACTCATGGAGATCTGCTTCAATGTAGGATATAGTACGAAGCAACTACCCAATGATGGATTATCTGAACAATAGCTTGAACAATGCTTCCACCATTGAAGGGGCTTCATGAGTGTACACTGACAGTGTGCTCAGAATGGTCTATAGATCACAACAATTACCCCATCCCACCCCACCACCCCAACCCTACCCTATTCCACAACACCCTAGAAGTGAAAGTTTATCACATAGAAAATCTACTGAACGTGTCTTTACAACACACTGCATTGAAAATTAGATGATAAGGTGTGCACTACACATATCTGAGAATAAATATACAAATAAGGAAATTGTTCAGTTCAAAATACAAGAACCTAAATCGTTTCCAATCCAGTTCATAATTCGGAACTGAGCTATAATGTGCTCATTTATTCATTATTTACTAGGTTTTTAAGTCTATATATATGCAGTTTCAATGCCCCCCCCCCCCAAGAAATCCTGTAAGCAATAATTGAAGAACAATTTCTTGGAGTTGCTAAGCATACAAATTTGAACATTTTTAAGAACGAAAAAAAAAAAAAATTGATCTCATGACTGACCTCTTCATCGCGTCTTTTGAGATCAGCTTGGACTTCCTCCAGTTCCTCCTGCCCTTCATCAGCAGACATGGTCCATCCCTCCCGCAGCATCCGCAGCCCAAACAACGCAAAGAGGAATGTGGACACGTAGTAGGTGAACCAGCGTGGGATGACGGTAGTGGCATAGCCGAGAAGGGCTGAAACGATCAGTCAGTTACAATGACAATTATGTACATAACAGTGTCATTCAAAACCAAGTCATTCCAAAATGTGCGTGTGTACATACGTGAAAAAAAGAGAGAATTTGAAACAGGATTGACCCAACGAATGACATACTGTTGCAGTTGTTAAAATCAATCCAGAGTCTTGTCAATTGAAACTTAATAGATACAGTTTTGCCTGTTCAGTATCTATTTTGGATATAATGTACTACCCATAAATGCATACCATTAATCAGTGCCAAAATAAAAAATGATGTTTACAATAAGGATTAAAAAAGGATGCTAGTTTGATAGGTTCAAAATCGAGTAAGGTAGTAAAGGTTTGAAACATTCACATCTGTTACAAATGGTACTTGCATCAATCAAAGTTTTCAGAATCTAGAAAAAGGAAAAATGCTACGAACATTTCTGAAACAATGATGAATATGTCAGATGAATAAAGATTTTGGAATTAAATCATAAGTTATCGAGCCTTAAGATTGAAATAATCTGTCTGTGCCCCCCCCCCCAAAATAAAAAACCCATAAAACTTTCAAAAATCGCTAACCTGATAAAACTGTCATAACAGCAAGAGCACCCAGCGCCCCAACGAAAACCGTGATTCGTGCGTGCCTCATGGCCATAATGGCAGCAATGAAGAAGGTCTTGTCCCCCAGCTCGCTGACTATGATGACCGACAGCGATGCCACAAACGCATGGACGAAACCCAGGTTGACTCCTTTGTTAACCGGAACGGCCGCAGGCATCTGCGGGTCTGGTAACTTGACTTCATCTGAATTCTTATCAGCATTTTCCTGCAGGATCTCCTTCAGTAAAAGGAACAGTGGACATGCAATCATTACAAATAATGCAACAACAACAAAATTGGGGGGAGGGGCAAAAGTAGACACGAGATATTTCTTACATTCAATTTTCAAGAATTTTTATGACATTTTCAAGAATTTTCACGAGTATGTTTGACATTTTCTTACAAAAATGATGATATCTGTTAATATGAGATTAACTGGCTTCCTCTGGGCCCTTCTTGCAGGGTTTTCCCGACATTGTTTTTGAACATACAGCTTTTTGGACATTGTTGGTTCTTAAGGCAGTAAGAGGTTTGGGTTAAAATCTCTATGTGTGTCACTTTTAACGATCATCCCATTTTCGAAACCATCACTTTTCCAAAAAATTAACCCAAATTTATCAAATAAAATCGGGACCAAAATTTTCTGTCATCACCTCACCACAAATTTTGGGTAGAAAACTACTTCATATTTGAAACAACGATCTGGCTTATTGCATAAAGTCTTCCACAAAATGCCAAACTGAACCATTAAGACTAATGAGAGGCTTTCTCCGGCCTAATTAACATGCTTCAGAGTACATAACGTCAGTCACCAGTACACTTACATTTCCATCACCTGGAGCGTTCCCGACAACCTCTTCCCCGTTCTCAACCTTGTCCTCGTCATTCTGCCGCACCAGCCTTTGCACGTTGTATGGTTCCTTAGGTTCAACTTCGCCCTGGACTATGCTCATTTGCATACTGGAGCACAGCATGAGTATTAACAGCGTGAGCAAGGTACCAGTCTGCCGGTACGGGCGGTGAATTTTGGCCGGCATAGCTGGATGTTTTTGTAGCGCACTCTTTGGTTCAACGAAGGACCAGTATTTCACTGTTTTTTTCCCCTCAATAAATAGCTGTACACAATTGGAGAAATAGGTCGCACCTGCAACTACTACAATCCAATGTTGGTCTGGAGCTTGTTTTCTTTAATTACATCAATGAGACCTTGGTTAAGCTGTAGAGTTGAATCACTCAAATGTTCTCAACTGTTCTCTTGGTCTCGGTGTGCTTGATATTTGTCTGAAATTTAAAATTAGAAACAATGCAAATTTAAATTAGCCTATCAATTTTGTTTCCCCTCAAAATTACAGATAACTAGACGTCAAGACTACAGTTAGGGAATTTGAGTTTTCCTGCCTTTTAACCAGGTAGATACTAAGTAAGTTCAATACATAATAAATATCACTTCTTAAGTGGAAGTCAAAAACATTAATAATGTCATAGAATAAGATAGGGCATCGTTAAAACATCGCATCGTTTAAACATTAACACGAGTTGGAAATGTAACGTGTTCATGATCGAACGATTGCGAGGGGAGCTCTCGGAATTGAACAGGAAATTTCACTTTTCATCCGGTTCGTAAGTAAACTTCAGTACAACCATCTTAATCGTCGATGTCTATTTGTACCTCAGGTGGCGTATCTAGTAATTTGGAGGCCATTTCGAGGGTGAAATCTGATCTTAATTGATGGGCAATGTTGGGTTTTTGGGTCAATGACAAAATTGTGTCGACCAACTGATGCGATTTAGCTTGGACCCTACTATCGCCAGACCATGTCCGAATGTTAAAAAGGCAATAAGTTGGGTCCAAGTTACTCGGACTAGAGAGAAGTATGCTTTAGGTTGAGAGTCAATCATTTTTTAAGAATATAAAAAAATCTTGATTCTAATTTGATTGAATCAAAACAGGGACCCTACACTACCAATCGCCATTTAACAGGGAAAATATTGAAGCATTTACTGAGAAAACACTCATTTTTCAGACCAGTCTCATAGGTTTTGTGCACAGGGTGTCAAGTGATGTCCAGGTATGGAACTCTTGGCGATCGTGTAGTGTAGGGCCCGGTTCCTATAAGGGAACAAAATCCACTTTAAAATTATTGGACCAAACTAGTTGGCGACATTCTCAATAAACAGGTATGTCATAGATAGAGTAGGTTGAACCACCGCCACGGACATTGGTGGCGCTATTTTCATGCCCAAAATGACCATTTTTTTGTGACTCCCTTTTTTGAAAAGGTTTGACATGGAGTATCACATACAGGGATACTTTCGTTTAGCTCCAAACATCAATAAAAGAGAATTGCAGGGTGTAGTTGACCTTAGAAAGTTTGGTTTTTTAAGCAACTTTAAATTTGAAATAAAGTCAGAACTGCTTGCCCTATGATAGGAGACCATTTGTTTAATTGCATTTTGAAAGCTCTTTAAGATAAATTGAATTCTACAACTATCATATCAACTTTGAAGTTTGAAATTTGATGATTCTACCTAGATAGAGCCTAGAGGGCAGGGTTTTTATTTTTTTTAAGGAAATTTGAGGTAAAATGAAGATGACAGTGCGGCGAAAACACGCAACCCGAAAATAAAGATGGCGATCACTGCGCGATGTTCCGTGAGCACGCACGTCACGCTGAATCACAAGGCACAAACCGCGCAGGAAAATTGTGATTTCCACGGCAAGATTGAATCTGTTCAAAATTGCAAAAAGGGTGTCATTAGAATTGAGAAAATTCTGCTTTTGATTGTAAAGGTGATTTTTGAGCAATAAAAAACATTTTGACTCTAATTTGATCAAAACAAAACAGGGGCCCTACACTTCATGATCGCCGAACTCTTTCCCATACATTACAATACAACACATGAACGGTTACCGGACATCGACATCGTGACGTACCGGCATGACCGGCAGGATGTCTGTGACTTTGCTTTAACATACTCATCATTACACAAACAACTCTATATTGAGCCTACTTTCTATTCAGTTGATTTCCTCTATCTTACCGGAGTATGACTTGAATCGAGAGCAAATCCGACAAGAAATGTGTCAAGAAAGTGAAAGATCCTCCTCCGCGCGTGAATGTTGATGAGTTGGTGATACAGTCGGTGACCCACGTATCAAACCAATAATCACAATAACTAAACATCACAATGAAGCCTGGGTATCAGTCAGCATGAAGAAAACTATAAATAATTTAGATGAGGGCGCTATATAGGTTTAGTTGATGTATTTAATTAACACTTTCTCGGCGAGTTCCAAGAACTAGAATGGGTTGGGATAACTTGGGAGAGAGCCTTAAATTTCTTCAGGCGCTTTGGGTCTAGTCATAAGTTGTTATGTGTTTTCTTTGAATGAAGTAATGAAAGATCAGAGGATGGGATCTCTCTACGACGTCAAGCATCCTAGGGAGGGGGGGGGGGGGGGGCGGCATGGGCGCGTCGCCAGGATTTTTTTCTAGAGGGCGGCAAAACACAGTTTGCCCCCAAAATCCCTGTACTTTTCCAGCATATTCTCGATTTATCATTTTTTTCGAGGCTGGCCAGGGACATTTGCTCCCCCAACCCATTCAATTAACAGCAATATGACTGTGCGCCGCTTTTTCTTTCATTTTCCAGAGGGCCTTGCTACCCCCCCCCCCCCATGATGGCCATTTAGTCTTCATATCAGCGAGTTAAAAGGAAAGTGCAACTTGACAACGTCATTTACATTAAGGGGGAAAAAAGAGTGTCCTATTAATTGTGCGCCAATAAACCAAATATCAGTATATTCTTTCTTTGGATAACCAATATACAAAATGGTTTAATCGATTTTCCCAAGTCTCAGCCGAAAAAAAATCTAACTATAATCATACACTACAGCGCGGGCAAAGGGGATAACAAAAACCTATAGGCTTCTATATCCGGTGAACACGCACTATTTTATTTTGTTTTCCCTTTCTACCATGGTTGTAGCTCGTTTAAGCGAATGCAAGATTAAGAATGCATTTGTCGTGATACACGTAAAAGAAACGTTTGAAAGCCAAAAGTTTTGACATTAAAACTTTCAAGAGAAGAACAAAAGAGGGCGCACTTTCTATTTACTGGTGTCAATCCTTGTAGACTGGTGCTTATCATTATTGCGTGTATTATCTAAGGGAAGAATGTGCAGACGCCATACACGTGAACACGTTGAATTGAGTGATCGAACGGAATTTTGACAGTGTGAACTGTGATCAATCGGAAATTGTGGGATTTGTTTTAATTGCAATAATGGTTGAGGCCAATTTATTAAATCAAGGATGGTAAGAATATTAGAAAATATTTTAAAGATAACAATCATATGAATATGAGTTTAAAGAGCAGCTAGTGACAGTGTACACATGCCGATGTAATTAGCTGATTAGGGGGGGGGGGGGGGGGGGCAGGGGCGGGGGGGCAGGGGGTGTTTTGCCAGGTGATTTTGAATAGAGAAATGAGTTTTTCAGTTTTATTGATCAGTCCATGATTGAAAGTTAACAAAAATATTGTTTCATTTATGCCTAGGCCTAACTTGTTATAAGAGAAAGAAAAGATCAGCAATGTATTTTTGTTCAATTTATTTTTGCAACAATTTGTATAGGCTAATTTGCATATTATTTGATAAATTGATCATTTGGTCTGAGTTGTGCATTGTCACCTTTCAGTTCAATTCATTGATAGGGCCCTCCTAATCTGATTTTTGTTTTTACTCCACATGAAATGCTCTGTTGAATCTGTTCATCAGGCATCTGTCCAAAGAAGGTCTGGAGCGATGCAAGAATGACGTGTCAGACTCCAGGGTGGAGGCAGTTGTACGCAAGGCTATGGACGTAAGCAGTTCTTCATCTTGATAAGCACAGTTTCTGTTTGGTCAATTGAGGCCTCAGCAAAACCTGTAAAGCCTATAAACACCTATATGTCAACTTGGATGGCTTCTATTCTATTTCTAGAAATACTTCATTCTTTATTTCATTAAACAAAATTCAAAATTCTTGTCTTTGACAAAAATCAAGATCGATGGTTGGATTTTGATCTGTTTGCATACTAATGACCTGTGTTAAACAATTAATTTTTCTTAAATACTAAGTATTTTTTTTACAATTTGGAAATTTATTTGGCTAGATGAGCTGATTTTGTCATGGAATATCACATACACGTATATGCTATGTGCTTTTATTAACATTGATTGCATTTTTTTTTTATTCCTGATCAGATTGACCTGCGACACATTGCAGTTGCTGCCATTCCAACAGACATCACTAAGGGAAAGATGGACAAGGTACAATGTGTACCAACTTAATTTGCATTTTTTTGGGGGGGAGGTATTTATTCGTCCACTTTTACAATTTGTAATCAAGTCATCATAAGTCAGTCACAACTGCACAAGTCATCTAGTGTGAAATAATCTGTCAACCTGTTTATTGTGGTGGAGGATACATGATCTGATGTGTGTTTTGGACTTGTGAATGACTTTTGATAGACTTGTGATTGAATTGTAACTAACCTGTTTGCAACTTTGACCAAATGAGAGCCAAAAGCCAAATTCCATTATTGCTCTGCTTTTTTGTTATGTGTGCTTGGTTTTTTTGGGATCTTTTAAAAAAAAAATTTGTCAAAATGAAACCAAGAAAAAAATTCGATTATAGAATATCACAAATAGTTTTTTCCCTGAGATTCTATGACGCCAATAGAATTTTGCAGCATGCAAGCGAGCCCTCTTGTCTTATTTACCCTAAACTTGAAATGAGAAGTGTATACTTTATTCTTTGTTGGTTAGATGCAAGGTCCGATGGTGTTACAAGTGCAGAAGATCAGGAACATCTCCGCCCCCAAGGCCAATGAGGATTCTGGTGCAGCCCCGCCTCTCTTACGCATACAACTGACGGACGGTCACACCATGGTCATGGCTCTGGTTCTTAATAGCATCACAAAGATAGAGTAAGCTTAGGAGGTGTCAATTTTTGGAACTGTGTCATTGTTTTGTATATCGATCTACTCTAGAATTTAAACATTTCTTGAAAAAATATTAAGCTTTCAAGAACATCTTTTATCTTCTCGCAGTTTGTCCACACCGCCAGGGAGCAAGTTGAAGCTGATGGGCTCTGTGGCCTGTAATCATGGTTTCCTACTCCTCGCAGCCAACAACTGCACCTTCCTGGGGGGTCACGTGGAAGAACTGGTGCAGAGATGGGAACTGGCTAAAGTGAGTTACTTGGTCTGTCTGTCTGTCTGGTTGGAGTTTTGTGCAGGTATCTTTATTTATTTGTTCTGTTGGTAGACCATTCTTTTTTTTTCTTTAGAAGACATTGGATTTTACTCATTAAAGGAAAGAGAATGTTTGCACCATGATTTAGTATAGTGCCACGTCCCGATGGTTATGATGTCAGACAAATAAGCAACAGTTTGTGAGTTTGAACCCTGGGATCATGCTGGTGTTATCGGGCAAGACACTTTACTCTAATTGGATACATGGGTATCTTTGAGGATAGCTACAAGAGGTTGTTGATCTTAAAACTGCTTCATAACATGGATGTCGTGACTCGTTGAATAAGGGTTCTTGGGCAAGACACTTTACTCCAATTGGATGTACATAAAATGGAAACTTGTGAAGAAAGATAAGAGGTTTCGTTGATCTCGAGACTGCTCCATAGGATTGATGTCATGACCTCATGAATAGAGGTGACAAACTATCAATACATAAACTGCTATATCCTTTTGTTCTTGGGCAAGACACCTTACACCGATTGGATGTACACATAAATATATTATTGTTATTATAATTTTACTTTTGTGATTTATTTTCCTAGAGTTTATACCATCACACAAGAGCAGCAGTCAGTGGTTCTGGCGGACCACCCCCGTGGGTTCCGTTTGGACAAAGAAATAGACACGGAGAGGCCAGCGAAAAACCAACAAAAATCAGTAAGAAGTTTAAATAACAATATTTTAACTTTTGAAAATCAAAATAAGTGGGCCTAAATTCAGGCCTCCATACTTCTGACATCATCTGGATAGCATGTACAATGAGACACGATATAATCAAGATGACCACAAATCAGTGTGATTCCATAATTTGTCCATCATAATAAAGTAATCACTGATTTTGAAAATAATAAAAATATGTCCTTAATTTTTGTTAAATTGTCCACCCCTGTAACAACACCACAGGGTGTTGCATCATTCTTGAGATTGGGCCACAAATTGCATTTGGAGTCTACTTAGAGAACTGTTCCATCTTTGTAGCATTGAAGAAATCTCTGGAGGATCCAAAACCCAAGGAGCAAACGGAACAGGACAAGGAGTTTGCCGAGCAGCGCAAGGCGGCCATCCAGGAGGTCAACAAGAGCAAGCAGGGCCAGGGCAAGACCTTCGGGGGTACCAAGGCCACCCCGGCCCTGCATGCCAGGGACTCGAGGGAGCCCGCGAGGAAGGGGTATGAGAACAATCGGAGGGACAGCGGGAGGAATGCGAGGAGAGATGAGCAGGGGCCACCTGAAGGGAAGACCAGGGCTGAAGGCATCTACAGGGATCTGGATTATGGAGTAAGGAGTCACATCATTAAATATCCGTAATTAGTTGCGGACACCCAAGTTTACACCCAACAGGATCATTGTTGAAGTAAATGATGTTAAAGTATGATGGATGAGAGAGGGAAAGGCTAGACCACAAGTAGAGCACAGGGAGGAAGGTATTGTTGAGGGGCTATTTTCATTACAGTATGATACAGTTTTCTAGAAATCTTTTTTTTTTAATAAGTAATAGTTGAAGGTGTTATCCGGGCTGTTATGTGTCCTCGGCAATTGTCTGCACTGTCTGGAAAATCAGGGAAACCTTGAAAATGAGTTCCAATTTTCCAGTTAGGGAAAACTCAGGAAATTTGGGGAAACACCAAAACTCAGGGAATTTGACAGTGACCCAGAAGAGAAAGGGTTTCGCCAGTTTAGCGTATGTGTGTCTTGTGCCATGTGTCAAAGTTGTGTCCATTGACTGACTAGTTGTAGTGGGTTGTTGTGCTTATGCAGTGTGAATATTACACACTTCTCCAGACAATTGACTGTGCTACACCACCTCCTGATTTCAAGACGACCTTGTTAAAGTGAAACTATTTCTCATGGAATTTTGGAAGTTTCTCAGGGAAATTTTAGGGAAAAACTTGGGGAATTTTGTTTTAATAAAGTGCTGGGAAACTTGTCGCAGTTTGAATTTCACTACACATCAGCAGTTGGACCTATTTTGCCTTTGCTCTGTGAGTTATAATGAGAGAGTGTACCTAGTATTACAATTCTGAACTCTTTTCTAGGGTTACCAGCCCAGTGACAGGGACATTCAGCAGCTTGTCAACATGGGTTTCAAGCGTGATGCTGCCTCCAACGCTCTCAGGAAAAACACTGGCAATGCAGATGCGGCAGTGGAGATGCTGCTGAAGGAGTCTGACTCCTCGCAACCACAAGCACAGAACTTTGGAAGACAAAGACCGGATACCAGACCAGGTAAAGACAAGCAGCTCGCGATGTAGCTACTCAGGAGATTGCAAAACCTTGGCTACATCAGTTCGGACATTGGCTTCATCTCTGTAGCTTCGGAATTATTGAGAAGCCATGAATGTCAAACATGCACACACAGAAATTCCAAAATCTGGCACGTGTGTATGACGCAGACGGTTTGAACACGCACTGTGGCATTTTAGCAGTGCACGTCTATTGATCAATAGATCAAAGAATCAGCAACTGTTGTTACCAACTGCGGTATGAGTTGTATTATGGTTTGTCTTTCCAGAGCGTAACCGTGGCAATGAGAGGCGAGGCAGACGTGGTGGTGATGATGAGGAGGAGGCAAGTGCTCCTCCTGCAGGACCTGCAACTCTCTTCGACTTCCTGCAGCCTAAACTAGGCAAAGGTATGTAAGATATCATCCAAAGAACTGTGTGGTTTATTAACTGTGTGTGTAAATTGAGGACAAACATGAGACAATTCCTTTCCAACTGAGGACATGTAGCCAGTGAAGGGCGTCCTCAGTTGGAAAACATTTACAAAACCAATAGGATCTGTTGCTCAAAATATTGAATGAGTTGCTGGCATTGTACCAGGTATAAGTTTCAGGGTTCTGAACAACTTTACCGCAATCTTCCTGCAATGAAGCTACCAGTATTGGTGAGTCAAGCAGTTGCTAATGGAAATTTTCCTGGAACATGTCCCAGACAAATGCAGAGCTTCTTCCGGACAAAGTGAATGATTCTACCCACAACTTATCCAGAACTCGTCTCGGATATCAATTAAGATGGGCCCTGACAGGATTACAGGATTAAAACATCACCATACTCTACATCCTCCATAATTGATGCTCAATATTCTCTCACACAGATTCAGAGAAAGGTTCCCAATCCACAGCAGAGGTCACAACTAGGAAGGATATGGGGAGGTCAAGAGATTTTTCCAAGGAGCAACCCAGCTCAGTCAGGGAAGCTGGGATAAGTTTTGTGCACGATGGGCAAACTTCAAACTACAAGCAGCGGGAACAGCAGCAAGGTATACAATTAGTAGAGTGTTTGTCAAGAACATCAAATAGCACTTCAAAATCTACCAAACTGATAACTTAACCAAGACAGGGCAAGTCTAGTAGAGTTGGTCTCCCGCACAACATTGTATTTAATTGATTCACAATGGTTATTCACTTGAAGGTTTTTCATGCATCTGGTTTAACACAATGGGCCGGACTTAGCCCATTTGTTATTGTTACTGGGTATTCTATGCAATAGCCCTGCCCAGCTCACAAATGACAGTGGGTCAGTGTTCAGCCCGGTACCAAGAGGACACTTATCAGGTCCTCTTGGTCCTCTCAGGTTTTCAGCTCTTTTAAGTTTTCCACAAGATGAAGAAAAGGCCCCATACATTATAGCATAGTTGAAAACAGGTGAAATTGCTATGCTGCATATTGGGGCAGACCCATGCCGCATTATTTATTTTCTTTCAAATTCAACGATACTCTAGATCGCATTTTACAGGGGTGTGAAATCTCAGCTTACAAGCTGATTTCAGCTATTTTTTAGTTTTGGATTCAGCTTTTTTCAGCTTTTTCCCTCACTTGCTGTGTACAAATGTATAGGAGATTTCCAAAGTTCAGCTTTTTTACACCTTTCTCAGATGTTTTCAGCTATTTTTATCAGTGGTCACTCACATCCCTGATTTTAATCAAGCTATTGATAAATGATAATCCATGTCATCTTTCTCATTTTTAAAAGGTCGCCAACAAAGAGACAATAACATGGATAGGGGTAGAAGGAACTACGAAGAGAAGTCTGGCCCCAGAAGAGCTGAAAGTAACTCAGCACGGAACTATGCTGGAAATGAAGGTAGAGGCAGGAATCAGGACCGTGGCTATGGAAACAAGGAAAATAGCAATTTTAGGGACAGAAACTCTGGTCAGGACAGGCGTCATGATAACACACAGGGTAATAGCTACCCACAGAGAAGGGACGACACACGGGGTGAGGATCACCGGTACAGTGAGAGTAGGGCAAATAACAAAAGCCAAGGATTTCAGCGCGAGTCAAACTTTAAACCCAGAGATTTGCAGGACAACCGACCGCCAAGATTTCAGAAACAGAATAACTCGCAGCTCACGCAGAAGGACAAAGTGCCCTATGACAGACCCAAGAGCAATACAGACAGAGAGGGGAACCAGCGAGGTGGGAATCAGTTTCAGCCTGCCCAATCAGTTGACAGCAGTGCCGGGTTTAAAGGGCCGGGGCCATCAGCGCAGCAGAGACAATTTCAGAAACAGAATAACTCGCAGATCCCGCAGAAGGACAAAGTGCCTTATGACAGACCCAAGAGCAATACAGACAGCCAGGGAAACCAGCGTGATGGGAACCAGTTTCAGCCTGCCCAATCATTTGACAGCAGTGCCGGGTTTAAAGGGCCGGGGCCATCGGCGCAGCAGAGACCCATCCTGAATCCTGGAGATCAGTGTCAGGCTAAATATTGGGAAGACAACCAGGTATTCAACTTTCCTCATACTCATTACAAAGTTGAGATTGGTTAATTTAAATAACTCGATATTTGAGTATTCAAATATCCATTCCAATGAGGAGTTATTTATTCTGTGTTATAACACACTTATGAGCCAAATGTACTCTGTTCTTTGGTTGATGTAGTTGATGTAGCTAGTACCCCTAGACTCCCAACTATGCAACAATAGCAACTACAGGTTGCTGATGGTACCATACTGAAACCTTAATGACAGTCAAACGATTGTACACACATTTTTGATGATGAAACTAAACATGTACGAGGTGTACTAAAACAAATACAACATGATGTATTTCGGGGGGAAAATTGAGAAAAATTTGCAAATGCTGGCTTTTTTTTTCTTCAGTTTTACAATGCAGTACTGACTGCCATCCACCCCAGTGGGAAGACCTGCGTGGTGCTGTTTCCTGAGTATGGCAATCATGAAGAGGTCAAAATGACCGACATCAGACCTTTAGCTTCACAAGCCTTGGTAAGACAACATGGATTTCAATTTTACACGCCTGTGATGAGCCAGTTCATTATTTCACAGCAAAATTATTTCACAGTAAACTCAGTGAACATGGGATAGTTCCTGTGAACACTGAAGTGTTTTTAAAGGGAATAAATAATAGCACAAGTGTTCTGTCATGTTATTTTATTTATGTAATCCTCATTTTCAGGCAAACCCCTCCAGTTTTGCCCCTGGCCCGTCAGCCCCTTCCCTAATGATGTCTGGCAAGGGCGGAATGTTTGAAGGCTCCACAGCCACACATCTAGAGTTCCGTCAAGGCGGGGAGGGAACTGCCTACAACCGGCCCAGACAACAGCGAGAGCCGCGCAAGAACGTCCGACCTGCACAAAACTTCTACCAGCCTCCAAGCTCAAGAAAATGAAGGGAAAAGCTGAGGTTATGATGCAAATTTCTTTATTAAGGCAATAAATGGATCTATTTAAGCCCCATTCCTTGTTTTGGTCAATCACAGCAATAATTAATAAGGAAATAAATGTGCTTGCCCAGTTTTAAACAAGTTTAAAACTGGCTAGGAGCCGAAGGCCATTAGCCAGTTTTAAACATACTTGTTTAGTCCTGGCCAAGCACATTATTTTAGTCCCATTCATAAATGCCTTTTGGTCAAAAAGTCTAAACAAGTCAATATTCACAATTTTCCAATGTTTTCATTCAACAATTTTACCTATTTTGTGACACACCCCTCTGGCCGTGTATGGCATGTGCCTCGAGTGTGCAGTGCTAGAAATATCCTTTTATGGAGATTGTCGCAGAACGCAGCGGTGTAGTAGTAAAGTGTTTAAAACCAGCAAGTCTTATATCAGCGGTTTAAAGCCAACCACGTGATGAGCTCTCGACCAACAGGAATGGGTGAACTCTCTTAGGTATTTATGAATGTTTGTTAAAAGTCTGGCATGTGTGCACTTGTGTGGCATTGAGGAGGCATAGTTAGCTGCTGGTAATAATACATTAATATTGTAGACGACAGCGAATGGTATACCGAATATCAATATGTAATGCATGAATGAAAGTGGGCTGTGAATTGAAGTGACATTATTGTAATGAAAAGTATGATTATAATTATATCTTAGTACAACCTCTGTGCTGTTTCACTTGTTCGTGAATGAAATATCGAGATTCAAAATGCATGTGTTGTTACGCAAGTGCCTTTAGTTTCTACTTTCCTTGTGATGGTTAATAATACTTAAATTTGGTAATTTCTTGAAAAATATGAATTGTAGTCTTGGTGCCTCTTTTGTGAACTGTACACATTCAGACAACTCTGTGCCCAACATCTATAGATTGATTGCATTCAGAAGCCATCTTGGAGGGGTGTTTTGCTATGTTGATTCATTAACAATGAATGCACAAGGGCTCTACTCGTGCGTATCCCTGTTAAACAAAAGCGCAGGCCTTCAAGATGGCTGCAGTGCAAACAGTCTATACAGAAAAATTGTAGAGGTTCAGTGAAAAAGTGAGAATCAAACAAAGGAAAATAAGGATACATATACAACTTACCCGTTGTTTGATTTATGACAATTTTAATTTTGTTTCTGACATGGTAAAGCGTCTTTTACATACAAATTGATCCACCACTAATTGAATAATACACAAACTAAAGTTATATCTACCATTAAAAAAGGCATCAAAATCTGAAATACACACACATTGTATATTTGTCTCAGTTAAATAACCCAACATTTAACACAGGAAAGCTTTGCGTGACATGAAATTTGTCATCTCTGAGTGATATACTGATCTGTTAGGCCCCGGCCCTGTGGCGTTTTGACCAATCGAAGCCGTGATTCATGTCCAACATGCGTACAAAAAACCTCCAATATGACTGCACGTACGTAGTTTGAACATGCAGTTGTAGCCTTTGTGCAGTGGGTGATGTTGACGTTATCAAAATCGAAAACTGAGAACTCTAATAGCTAAAGAGATTGCAATCTTTGATTCTTCAGGATTGAAATATTGGAGCTTCTTATCAGTGTGTAGTTAAGTCTGGTAATTGGTGCATCCGTATACATGCCACCTGCATCTCGAAACTAAAGGAAACATGTAAAATGGTTCAAAAATGTATGGATTTGAAGACGCATGTTATATGCCTGGCTTTGCTTTAAAAAAATTTGCTTGAAAGTACACACTTTGGTCAATTTAAAATTATAATGGAAACACAGCCGGTGTATATACATTGTACATGTGAATGAGTGAGTTCAGTATTCCAACTGTACATGTGCACATCAAAATGTTCATGATTTTTAGTTTGGGATAAACACAGCGCATAAATGCTCACAATTTTATGGGGAAAATGGTACGCAAATCTGCAGGCTATAATTTTCAGGCAGTCTAAAGATGGAACGACAGTGTGCACATTCTATGAGCTTTAATATTGTTAAATATTTTCAGATTTTTGTACTTCAGAACAAGAACTTTTCCTGAATTTTATTTGAAACATAACTGCCATAATTTTGCAAGCATATGACGTAGCGTTTCTGCACATGCTGATGTGGGCATGGGCAGTTGGCATACTAGACATGCCAATTAATTTAGAGATATATGTGGATTTTGAAAATTCTCCGGAGTACATGGGTCAAGAACAGCTGCAGCAACATATTCCTGAAATAATGACACAAAATTTTACACTTGTGTAAAATTAACTTTCTGTTAAAAAATACCCATAATATACACACTAACACTGAAGTACATGTACATTACATCCAAGAATCTTATCCTGAAGCATATGCTTTAAACATCTTACATTCACAACCGAAATGTATGTACATGATTGTGCTATAAAAATAAATACACATTTCCATCGCAGTTATTCCAAAATGGTAACGATAATCCACAATTGTGATTGACTGCATAACAAGACTTCACACGTATGCAACATTTTCAAACATTTTACTGCTAATGTAAACTTCAAGTGCAAGCACATAAATTTGTACCATTAATTTATCATAGTGAAATATTTTCAATTATTAACTTAATCTTTATAAACCTTTATCATGCTTCCACCATTTTAGTCATGTTCCTTGTATCCAATTACAGTACTGAATGATAATGGTGTTTGTGCAAAAAGGAGCCAGACTATTTGTCCTTCCAGCCTCACTTTGGTTTGGTTGATCTGAATGGGAAAAATCAAGATGGCGGCAACATGATAACGGTCTATAAACCCACGTTTATAGCATTTTTTAAAAATCCATGTCAAACCCCATGCCACAACCGTTGACATACCCCTGGTCAGACACTGAGTCAATCCTGACATAAGATTGATGAATTCTTACCATAAAATTTGTTTCCTTTGTTTTTTTGGGTTTTTTTTTCCAGATAATTTGAAAGTCCACTCACAAGTGGTATAGTACTGATTCAACCTTCTTTAAACACCAGAATATAAACAAGTTAGTCTTAAAATACACCATACAATTCTTAAATTTAATGTGTTTTTTTAATGGCTAAGTCTAAACATCTTTATTGAAAGAAAAATTACCAATTTCTGTCCTGGTTGTATCGCCGCTGCAAAAAAAGTCAAACCAAATTTGTGAAATCACATTTCAGAAACGGATGTGGGTGTTTCACTAAAGAAGCCAAGTGGAATAAAAATGTGTCTTTTTTTGGGGGGGGGGGGGGGGTACGAAATTACGATGTAGGCCTAATGAAAATAATTTTGAAACATGAACAGACATTGTGTGATAGATGTCTTTCCATGTTTATTGCCACCAATGATCAACCAGTTTGAGCTACTTACCGCCATTTATTATAGTTCTGCAAATATGGAAATAGGGGAAGAAAACCAAACCCTATTTCCGTGCTTTCTGCTGTACTTTTAGAACTATACATGATGATTGATCACAGTCCATAAACAAAAAACTAGCTTCATTGATATAAAAAAGTTGTTGTTAAAAAAATCCTTCTAAGGACAGAGAAAGTAGAGAGTAATCATACTATTCTTCTACTTTGGCCATTTTAAGTAATTACCAATATCCATTGGTCATTGTACCTTCCTGACGGACATGAGACGTCTTCATGCGTTGTGTTCAGCTCACCTCTTCAAAAGGATTTTCTGGTAGGGCGTCGGGACAGAGGTAGTTAGCTAATGCCATATCGTCATTGATGAAAACAACCTTCTGTGCTGTGATGTCACTCAACCTGATAAGAAACAATTCAAAGACACATTGTAACTGTTTCGTCTCAAAGATGAATCATATTAACATGTTAAACACAAGTCCATCACATGTCAGACACCAGACCCTCATGTGTAAAACACAAGTCCAGCACATTTTAGACACAAGACCATCATGTGTCAAACACAAGTCCAGCCAATGTCAAACACAAGTCCATCGCGTGTCAAACACAAGTCCATCACATGTCAAACACAAGTCCATCACATGTCAAACACAAGTCCATCACATGTCAAACACAAGTCCATCATATGTCAAACACAAGTCCATCACGTGTCAAACACAAGTCCATCACATGTCAAACACAAGTCCATCACATGTCAAACACAAGTCCATCACATGTCAAACACAAGTCCATCACATGTCAAACACAAGTCCATCACATGTCAAACACAAGTCCATCATATGTCAACCGAGGTCCATCACATGTCAAACACAAGTCCTTACATGGGTCGTATAATAGCCCAGCATCCCTGGAAGACCATAGGAGCATTGATGATCAGGCACACGCCTAATCTCTCTGGGTATCGCGTGGACAGCAACCAGATCAGTGTCTTGACAAACTCATAGTCCATGCTAGCCAAGCTGAACTTGCGCATGTCAAACAGAACACAGACGTTGTCTATGACATCTTCGTTGCACTTCTTGCATGCTGATTCCTAGAAAAGAGCATAGAAATTACAAGTAGGTATATAATGTGTGCCTTTACAATCAACAAGTACACCCCATGTAAAGTTAGTAGTTCAGATACAATGGTAAGTTCAGTTTGTCCCCCAAAATACAACTACATTGAATATAGAGATAGGTACTTGTTATACTTTGAACGATACTTCATGTCTACTCATTTGGTTGAACGATACTTGATGTGATGTGCTCATTAAAACACAGCTGATATTGCATTAACGGTTCAGAGAGCTATACACTGTACACATTGTAACTCTCAGGGCTTCTTGACATTTGTCTTAATGTTGGTATAAATTACCAAAACGACCGAACTGCTGCAATTTTACTTGTATTGGTTTATACCAATATTAAGTTTTCATGTGGAAGTTCATCTGTCAAAAACCACTTTACTTTTGTTTTTGTTTTTGACTTACCAATATATACACCATACATTTCGTCAGGACCTCTTTGTTTCTCTCTGCCACTTTGTGGTGTCTTACCCGTAACATTATCATGGGTCTGTAACATTTAGACAATGAAAAGATGCTAGGATGTAGCACATATCAAAATGCAGGAGAGGATTCAGACCTTCTTTTACATTATTTTTCACATTAAGTTATTTTACCCGCTGAAAAAAATGAACTAATTGAAGCAACAAACTTAATTTAGTCAGAGCTAAAATTATTATCCATAAAAAAATGTTGTGAACTGTTGATAGTGCCAATGACATATATTCATCTCTTATGAAGTTGACACAACATCTACACAGATACCAACAAAAATCATAATGTCCATACAGAAAATAAAAAACAAAAATTAATTTAAAACCCTAAATGCATTTGGGTTTTCAATGAGAAAACAATAGATCAGTCAGTATACCGTTTTTGTCACGCATCACTGTACAGAGAATTTGGCCAACTATTATTTAATTCGTAGTTCATTTCTTTGACCCCGATCCTATATATCGATATCAGGGCCCTATGTAAGACCACCGAATGGTGAATATAGGCTACCCTGGATAAATATTAGAAATAAATAAAGAAATACATAAGCGTTGCACAATGAACGCCTTTCAAAAGCGTTTGACAACGCACCTTCCATGTCGGTCGCGATGCCGAAGCAGCTCCACTTTCCCCGTATTCAACTCGGCGTTGACTTCGGGGCAAGACGTTGGACTGATGGTCTCCACTCCGTAGTCTTTCCTCCATTGGTTGCACTTTAAGATGGCAGCGAAGGAGTCGTCTACATTCTTGAAGGCTTTCAGGAATCGGATTATGCTTGGCTCCGTTAAGTACTGAAAGAATCATATCAATATCTTTATTTGTCGGGGTGTTTGTTTGTTTGTTTGTTTGACCATGGTTGGATTGTATGTAGGCATTCTTCAATTCCTTAAAAAAATCACACAGACCCTAATCTTATATTTAATATTGAAATGGGTATACCTGAAACATGCAAAATAATAAATTATGAGTAAGATAGGTTTGACCATGAATTTCTTTCACATTCGATAAATTCTTGAATCGCACTGAAATGATAACGTGATAACTTTGCCGAAGTTGATTGACACTTCTTGACAGTTCACGTGATAATTATTAAATTGGAATTTAAGCAACAATTAACGGGCCGCTTTGAAATACTGTTAAAAAAAGAAAGGTGATATTGTTAACTCCTTGTTTTATTTAGAACACTGCTGGGAAATATTGATGCCACTGACCTGTGATGGATCTGCGTTGAAGATGATCTGAAAAAAAAATTAAACAGAAAGAGAAATATTGATTTCTCCGCCGTCATGTTCATTAAACACATTTAAAATTTATTGAGTAGACTTACAGTTCATTTATTCAGAAATGTGACGTGCATATGCCAATTTCTTCTCATTATGATCAGTTTCCATGGCAGCAGTTTCGGGCTCTGAATTGGCAATTATTGTCTTTATTATAACGCCTTTTCATACGCCTTGGGCAATGTGCAGCAACAACCCTTTCAGTGCGAGATGTCGAATTCTAGCCGCTTGCATTTTGTTACGCCGTCCTCACAGAGATGGCAAATATAGAGTGAATATAATGTTCACTGTCACGTACTAAATATAGAACGTTCTGTACCCCCCCCCCCCAAAAAAAGGGAGTGCAATGTTCCCGAAGCTGGCTATTTTTATCACCAATAATGATGAGGATGAAATGCCTTTGTGTGTAGCAATTTGCATAACTCATATCGAGAAGCGAGAAATTCATCGTCATTGTGGTATTCATCAATTCAAACTTTTTGAAATATTGCGGCCAGCCGTGCCCAATTCAAAAAATGCAAGGGGGGGGGGGGGCAATTAGCACCTAGGGGCGCTGTTCGTGATACGAAACTTATTGGACTGTTTTAAAGTAGACAGTACGTAGCTAGCTGCGTTTCTAGTAGGCAAACCTACATGTGAGGGTTTGAAAATACTTCAATCTATGAAATTCTACGCGTATATTGGGGGAGGGGTATTTATAGGTAAAGACGACTAATCGATATAGATGCATTAAAAAAAAAATTAAATCAAGTAACTTCACCCCAAACATAATGACATCAAAAATGAATTATAAAAGAATAGGTTCTGCTGTATTTTCATTCAAAACTGCGTTGTTTACGACTCAACAAATATTTTCTTCTATAATACTTAAGTTCATAAGTATGCTAATTTCATTCCACATGCGCATGCGCACTGATCGAATCATGCTCCGCCTTCTGCTACGCCACAGAAATCAAACATCATGCAGGTTTGTTACCCATGATGTACGAGTCACGCCGAGCATGCGCAGAAAACTTTGAAAACGAAACCAAGCATTTGAAATTTTTTTAATAAGATGCCTGCCTGACATATCGGTAATTAAATCCCCACACCCATTCCTTATTTAGTCCAGAGCATGAACATTATACGGTTGAACAAGACCGTTTAAATCATAATCATTATAACAAATAAGACGTCAGTATGATTTAAAAACAAAAACAAAAACCCTCCTTATCGAGCTTATTATGGTTCCATCACGCTGTTTGACAGACAACCCCCCCCCTAAAAAAAAAACCGAACCACGTTTTTATCAAGAAACTAGAACAATAACTTCACAGTTTGTGACGACTATAGAAGACGTGGCCTTGATTGTTGGTATTCATGCAAAACACATGTATTGTTTAAATATTCAAAGTGGTTTCTGGTAATAAAAATGTAATATGTAAACAGGCATTATTAAATCTACAAAAATGCGCTTCCATGGCATTGTATTAAGTGCTATTTTTTTCTGGATTCAGTCTAAAGCGCCTAACCACTATTTTTTTTTCAACTTGGGCCTGATGTCACAATTTTGTTTTTGTTTTAGTTCAAAGAATGCTTAGCATTCGTTTGCTGAACAGTGTAGGATGTAACAAGAACTGGGGGTTATAGTTATTAAATGAACCAATGTTATAATAACTGAGCAAAAATTGCCCAAACATTATCAATTATTATGTCTTTGGCACGGTGAAATTTTCCTGTTTTTATGTTGCCTATCCTAAATTGGAAGCCAGAAAAAAATTGCACAACCACGATGCTTAGCATTAAATAGTGCAAAATAATATTACATGTAATTTGAGTCGGTATTTTCAATACATTGCAGGTACACAAGCTAGTGACCGTAACATATTATAATATCTAGGCATTGTTTATTAGTACCATCATCAATACTGCTTTATTATTAACTGCACTATATCATAGATATGCATTGTAATTAATGAGCATCGTTTAATATTACACCACAGTACTCCCAAAATCATTAAATGCGGACATCAAACATCGAGTATGTGTTACTCACCTCACAACGTTCCTTTAATTTGACGAGCTCATTGGGGTCGTACTCTATCGGGTTTCCCATTATTAATTTTGTTTCCTGTGTTCACTATTTGTATGGAGTATATCTCAAATGTAAATCAAAACCAGTACACAAAACCAATTGTCAGGATAGCAATTAGGCTCGGCTTGACCTCGTTGCGGTGAAACATATGGCCAGTTTAGCTAGTGAGTAAAACATGGCCGTCTCCGTATTCCTGTGTAGTGTGGATGCTGCGACGTCTTGAGTTCGAAGGTGATGCTGTTCGTAAATACATCCACAACCCGACGGCAAAAAGACCTCTTCAAATATCTGCTGCCTCAAATTACTTTGTGCACAGATGAATTCATAGGGAAATGCCGCACAAATACAAGGATGTTCTCTATATAATCACCGTCTTAATTTGGCAAGGATGAGAGGGATGTTCTTAATCACTGCAGATGAAAACAGGAAAAACATAAAAGACAGTTTGTAATGATGATGTATATGCGCTCTCTTATACTCAGTACACATGCATGCCGTGACTGCTGTTCTAACCGGTACGGTCATATTACACGGCGTACGTTATACGACTTCAAGCCCGCTGAAATACATGCAAAGAGTATGTGTGTGCACACAGTACATGTACTGACGCCTTAATCCATCCTATACGGCATGCATCTGATTTGGCTGATACGCATAATTAATTTGAAAAAAAAGTTGATGTGTGTAAAAGTTATGAGTGTAATATGTGAAAGAACCATTGTACATTGAAAGTTTGATAATTTGTTTGCATCGAAACATGGAGCAAATTAAGTTCAGATTATTTCAACGTAGGCAGTAAAACGTCGTTAGATTCTTAACAGCAGCGATTATATGGAGAAAATGTATCAATAAAAGTAACATAATACACTGTCGTCTTATGCTCGGATTAAGAGTAACAACACATTAACCAAATGACTGCATAACAAAGGAAATTTTCTTAAGCTGACTTGACTTTATTTCCATATCAATTCATTATAATGATGTTTGAAATTATGGTGCTGCAGTATTCGAGTTTTACCCTTCTCAGCGATAGAGCGATGTTGTTTATTTTTGTATAACTCTCAACTTGGTTTAGGGGGTGTTGCCTTTCCCATCTTTCAGTTTTCATAATTTCCTAACCCCCCCCCCCACCCCCCAACAAAACAAGAGGGAGGAGGACCTGCAAATAATTTCCCTGACAATTTTTATATTTGTAAATATAAAAACATTTTCGTAACCATCAAATTTCATGAAAATGTTCCTGTGGCATGTAATTACCTGAAAGTACAACCAAGGTAGGTTCTACTTGATGAATTGATCAGAAACAAAAACAACACGCAGCTGATATACGTCTGATATATCATGTACCGTTTTGTGTATCTGATGGGGCACTATTTGCATTGTACACACAATTGCGTATATTGCGTGTATATACACCGCTGATTGCACTAAAATATACGGCTGTATTGACCTTCAACTATTCTGCATGTATTATATTATACATCATCTGGTATTATATACATGTGTACATGTATTTATGCAAATTCTCACCTTGCATTAAGTTTGCAGGCAGCTTTCCCATTTTCTATTTATACAGTGTTAGAATTAAATGTAATTGTCAAAAAGATAAATGCCTAAAACAACTAAACAGGTGTTATTCTACAACAATCGTGTTAAATTACTCTTCAAACTCACTTTCACAGTGTTCGAGTGCAAGAATATTTACATTTATAAAGGAAAATAGACGCTATCGTGAATACAATCAAACTATGTGATCAGACATACACACGTTTTAATTGGTTAAACCATATATTCCATACTTGAATTACGATGGTAGCGATCCCACACCCTACCTAAAGCATGTGCGAAGCATTTTATTTGCGCCAACAGTGCGTACACGTGCATGTAGGCCTACTCGAATCTGAAGTAATAAGTATATGTACATCTATTAATGCTTCAATCATCGTAAAGTATATTGATAATGTACCTACCTGTGTACCGAGATCAAACTAACGTTTCATGCAGATCGGATGCCCGTAAAGCAGTACACTGTGAGTAAACGAAGGGCGACGAAAACCAGTCTACTTTTACAAATACGTGTACAACAAGCATTACACGTACATACATGTACATGTAGATATCTATGCAGTTAGCTGTTGAATGAACATTGACAATAAGAATCCAGTTTGTACTGTACAACCTATTGTATTGATCTGGTCATAGATGGCCTATTCCACTATTGATCGCACGTTTAGAGCAACTGTCCATATGTGCCCATGTGATATCATCCAGCCCAACCCATTGTGTGCTTTGCACTTGAAAACTAGTATTATTGACCGCGTTATCTTCCGCACATAGTTGTGCGCTTGCGCTAACATCACTGGTGAAAGACCAGGGCAAATTTCATGGAACTGCAAGGCACTGAATCTTCCCAAGCTTACCATATAAGTTTGCTGAACAATTAAATACAAGTTACCAGCCAAATTGCCATACGGTGTATGCAGATTAAATGTGTCTGTCTCATTTTCAGCTATTCATATAAGGGCAAAACCTTATACTGATTCATTTTCAGCTGTTTTACCACAAACACACCCTAAAAAAAAACATTTTAAAACAATATTTAAACTCAGAGCAGCTGCATACAATTTACATCGAGAAGAATACGAATATCCTCACAAATACTCGTTAGGACTCTTTTAAACCAATCACGCCAATTATGAGATCAGATGGTCCTGGTTATTTGTATCATCAAGAAAGCAGCAAATAACATACAAATTATACAGTAACTCTGCTTTCAGTTTTTAAATACAAGATTTCCATTACAAAGAGTACAAATATCTTTGACATTCCAACTTTATCGGTATATTGTACGACTTAAGCGGTAACTGCTTGTTGAACATAAAACTATCGATTGCAAGCAAATTCCCACGCAGCTTGCAGGAGTGAACACATTTTCTCTTCTGCATGTTGATGTTTCGCATTTATAGTTAAATCATCGAGCGCCCTCTATCGCTGCAACAAGTTAGGGCACGGTTTACTCTACTACAGGTTGCAAGGTTGTTCGAACGCATGAAGTACATTTTTTTACAAGAATACACAACTTTCATTAAAAGGTTTCAACAAAAGCAGCTAAAATATGAAAAAAATATTAAGTCTCAACAAAGAAGGTCAAGTATTGGTAGCGGGTTTTTAATTTTTTTTTTTTTTACAATAATTTGATATTCTGTCAACTAAAATATATTAATGTAGAAGTGTGGTTCTGAAAAGAACCGGTTGGTCGAGTTCTTTTCAGAACCACACTTCTTTCAAGAAGAGATATCTTTCCACATGGTGTTACCCGCAAACTTTATAATTTATCTCATCCGCCATGCAAAGCTTCAAGTCATATATAGGAAAACTATACTCATTATGCTAATTAGAGCGAAACAAGCCGCTAGAATTATTTTTATATGACATCGCACACTTTTTTTCGCACGAGTATCACACTTATCCAAGCCGGAATTCGCGGTTTTGTTTTGTAGGGTTGCAACATCGAAGAAGGTTCCTTGCCCACACGATGTAGTATTGGACACAATTATTGGAACTTCTCATTGACCACTCTGCTTACTCCATAATACGTGGATAGTCATGTAGTCCGCCACGCCAACACCTCCACCTAATACAGGAATTAAAAAGTACAGGACATTTTTGCTTTTTGTGCATTTTTTTTTTCGTTTGCAGGAACAAATGTTCTCAAAATCCCAACTAGGACGCGTAACAACTAATTTGTTGAAGTTTCAACTCACTCAACACTATTGAGAAAATGAGAACACATAACTACGCCCAATTGTTTTGGTCTAGTGTATGTCGTGCCTACTACCTACAATGCACTTCCGATCCAAAGTTGCGGTTTAATCGCACCCTTTCGTGTACATTCAATAAATCAGCACTCGGGACACGATTCTCATTCAGACAGTTAGTGTACGTGACCCCAAGGTTCCCGTGGATGGGTAATCTCCCCAGTAATTCAATGAACTCGCCCAATGAACACTTATTTTAAAACCAACTTCAATGACTGTGGTACCTGTACCTGAAATGCCACTCCATGTCGCAGCATATTTCGTGGTGCTGTACATGATGGTGAACGGGTCTACCCAGGAACAGGTTGACTTTGAACCAACAATGAAAAGCCATCCCATATCACCTACGCATTCCACAGTAGCCCCGTTGATGAGGAAGTGTCGTCCAGGCCTGCAAGAAATATGGTCAAGCAATTAGTGAATGATGGGGGTTAATTTTATAAAATTTTGAATTTCTACACTGTAAAACTGTGTTTAGAGTTTAAATACATTTCTAAATACGTGTTTGAAACTCCGGTATGCTTAAGTTTATGGATGTGTGACACGATGAAAGTCTATTAAAAGTCCATCAATCAAAAACAAAAAGTAGAAGTAAATAAAAATGACATCGGGTTGAAGTCGAATGACAGGCTAATTTCACTCTCATTACTTTTTTATCACCCGTTTCAGAAAAACGAACTTGAACATATTAATTTGACTTTTTTTTATAAGTTATTATTGATGGTACTGACAGGCTTCCATACTGTGAAAAATATCTAAACGTGTCCTAAGTTAAGACGAAGCATCAGTGCGTCTAGTTTGGCATTTGATCGTTCGAGATTCACCCGTATCATCGCTTTGGATTTGAATGGGCGAACTTTTTATAGACCTATACGGTTTGGCTAAAGCCGTGGAAAGGGTGTACAGGGGAGTCAAAATACTCGCATCTTGAGAGTGCGAAGCATAAGCCGAAGGGAGTCATTTACCAGGATTGGCTGCCTTCCATAGCCATGAAACCAACGGTATCTGTTTTAAGATCCAACCAAGGAGACCCCATAAGACGGTCTATGCTGAACCAGTTGGTGATGTTGGAATGTACCCCACTGAAGATCAACTGAGCTGCGGGTTGCGCTTCGTCAGTGTTGAACAGGGAAAGTTTCACCTTGACGAGAAAAACAAGACAGTGCAAACCTAGTAAAGGTCATCTCAGAGCTCACAGTATTCTATTCAATTGATTCATAATCATGATGGCGAAAATGTTCAAAGACGTAAATCTTTGCTTACCAACTTTAGCTGGCTGCTGGTGTGGTTCCAAGCATCGTAGATGGTCTGGTCCCGGTAATTGCCTTCATTTACCAGGGTGGAGTCCCACTGACGGTCGGTCCATATCTCATACAGGCTACGGTTGGACTTCTGCTGGCCTCCCAGTCCCTTGAACACGAGTTGCCATTGCAACGCTACCAGATATAAAATCCAGGCGTCTTTTTATTTTGGTAAAGATAGTGATGATAAATGAAGTAAAAGAATTTGCCTAAAATTTACTGCTGAACAAAAAGATTTTATTTTTCTGGTTTGCAAAGACTTCAATTTCCACATTTGTCTACATCGTTAATGATCGACGGATATACAACAATGATGACAGCTGAGGCACGAAAACGGCCGGGCAGCCGGTCCGTAGAAGCACCTTCGGAGTAATTGCAGAATATTCCGCAATTCAAAAGGGACTCCCTCCCCCTTAAATCACTGGCTACTGGCTACGAATTGTGCTCCAAGTTTCAGTGCCCCTTCCAAAAAAGGTACTGAGATGTACACCACTGGCCTATAATACGTACCATGCGAGTCCGAGCACGTGTGGTTGGTTGAGCAGCAGTAGGCCTTATTGGTGACAGCAGGCCGAGGTGTGGTGGGTATGAGACTCTCGTCCGGTCTTCCTTCCACGATGTAGTAACACTCTCCTGGGGCACCGTAGTATGAACCACACGGTGTCAACTTGGCATCTCTGCCTTTAACGTCGATCAGGGCCCAAGAATCATCGGCGCGGCCTGCTCGGTAAGCTGCTTTCAGCTGGGCTAACGTGCAGAGCTGCATGGCATACTGCGAACAGGCGCGCCTGGCCAGAGACAAGTCATTGCTGGGGAATGTCTCAATGGTTCTGATGATATCAGGAACGTCTTGAGAAATAGAAAAGGGCGATAAAACATGTCAATATTTATACATGCATGGTATGAGATCACTAATGTTCATTTTACCCGGTGGAGGGGGAGAGGGTAATATCTGAAAACCCAGGTAATCTCTGAACACATTAAAATAGTTAACATCATTACCAATAATGTACTTCATTTTATAACCATGATTGGAAGTAGGCCTAATCGAAAAACGTGGATCTTGTTTACATAATTATGTTACAGTGACTGCTTTGTGGGTCCACATGATGGTCATTTACCGTTGGGGTAGTTTTCCAAGCAGGGAGGTTCTTGATTCTGAGCAGTGACAAATTCGTCCCTTGGCTGGAAAAAAAGAATGAGAAGCTAAGGTTTCACAAACAAATTGAGTTCAGCATTTCCCGGTCAAATGCAACAAAATAGTGTTCATTTCCATGAAAACGCTTTCAAATTCACACGGTATCCGTTGTTGTGTAGGCCTACACATGAAAATGTTCTTTTCGTTCAAATCTCATGATGCCCGAGTATCCACACTGTTAGAGCTATGCATGTCAGCATTTTTCTCTAGCTTCAATCAACCTTTCCCTATCCCAAGGGCACTCGCCTGAGGAGTGGTTTTTTGTCATAATTGTTAATAAATTACCTGAATTTGAGTTGTTGTTTTTGGTTTTATTCCGTTTTGTATGTTTTTACTCTTTTACTTATTGATAGTGTATGGTGATGTCGGTAATTGGCCTTGTTTTTAGATTGTTGTTATAGATTCAAATTTACCTTTTATTTTGTTCTTCTCAATTTGGTACTGAACGTTTATTCCCTGTATTTTTTTTATTTGCATACCTCGTATTGTTTAAATAACTAGAATATTTATTCGTGTTTTTAAGAGTTTTAAGAATTGTAAAGCGCACTTGAACATATTATATTATGGAATCTGCTCTTTAAAACATAAATATATTATGATTATTATTTATTAACAGTCTTCATCTCGCCTCGACGTTAGCCATCATTCTGACTCGTTGCCATGGTTTTATTGTCAATTACCGTGGCTAATTGCAGTTTGCTGTTTACTTTAGATGTACTGCCAGTGATTCTATTTTGAGCGTCTGCAATACTCAGTAGAAAAAGGAAAAGCCTTTTAATTTGTCACTGATGATTATGTTTTATTGTTTTGCGTTCAAAAACATCCTCTCTCCGCGTGGACTGGCCCGGATCACACCACCAATATTTGCCAACTGAACTGCCGCAAATTATTTTTATATTTTGCGAAGACATTTTTTCCATATCCGAAGGTGGTCTATTAAAAGTTGAATAAATTATATATAATTAGAAAGCAACATGCAATTTGAAAACATTATATTTTCGGGATGAAACTCAAACATACCACGGACATTACATCTTTAATAAAGCACTCTCATAATTTAGGGAGATAATTGTCATCTCGTCTTTTTGAATTGTCGTGCAAGGATATGCAACGTTAATAATTAATATCACACGGGCTCAACACAGTCTAGCCTATACAATGTGTTTGCGACAGACTAAAGGCATACTGAGAAAAGCCATGCCAAATGGACAGTTTTATGAGTTTTTGTCTGGATTTTTTTTTGATTGTATAGTACCTCAGATCAAAGAATATTCAAAATTCGAACGTCTATAGACCGCGCCCTATACACTAAAAACTGTGTCAATAGTTTTAGCACATTCTAAAGACTACATTGTACCCGCTTGTTTAACTTTTGATCTACAATACGTTTTGATTGGTTGATGTCTGTGGCATGTGATAAGCATCGTACGAAAGGCTGAGTATTATTGTAAAAGTAAATTGACAAATAAAATGACTTATCGGCTTCAAGTCGAAAGCCCTTTAAATACCCACTTTCCTCTCTCATTGTTAATATCCCAGAATGTTCAACTCCAAAATATAGACATGACCCTTTTGTACAATTTATTCCTGATGCCACAAACAGACCTACACATTAATATTCATTTTGCAAAATTGTTTTGCTTTTATCACGTTAACAAAAGACTACTTTACGTAGCCCTTTGCTCATCTGAAAAGTACCGGCAACTGACCTTTGCAATTTCAGTCGATAAAGTAAAACTAATTTGAACTTGATTTTGTTCAATTTAAATTCTGTTGGTTCAGTTCTTTCCTGAAACCCCGTTTTAAATCACAACCAACCTTCGAAATGTTTCCTCTTAATCTTATACCTCATGCGGAGCCCCCAAAAGTACAAGAACCACGCAGATGCTATTTTGTTCCCGCTAACTGATATTTCGTTTCCTCCAAATAGTGGGTACGGAAGCTTAACGTTACCATCCATGTTTCCGCGTCATTTCAAAGATAAATTATAGAATGACGGAAAATGTAAGACTGTGAGATTCCATAGGCTATACACAATAACACGTCGAGTCACGGTTTTAATAGGCCCTACCAAAATATAAAACTTTAATTTTGACGATGTGTACTCATTTATTTATCTTTTTATTTGCCACATCCAACAGCAGAAGAAGCGCCAATTACCGGAATGGGATCAAAATAAAATCAAAACTTGGAATAAAATATGTAAATTTACCTCTACGTCGATGTAGGAGTAGAACCAGCCTCGTCTCAGGGCCAGACGATCGGGGTCGCTGTGGTGAGAGGCGTTATAGACGAGATGGCACATCCCGGTCTTCAGCTCGTAGTTGACGGAGCGGCACCGTGGCTCGGCCGTGCACGCCCCGTGGCAGAGCCCCTGGGTGTCGGTGCGACACACGCTGTGGTTGAAACCAACCAGCGCAACACCCACCATACCGCACCATCCTCGCGGGCAAGTCGCTGCGGCATCGCCTAGGGCACTCAAGGCGATTCCAATCAAAAGGGAAGCCGCAAGAGCGCGAAATGAACCTCCTCCAATGCTGTTCATTTCTGTAATAATGTTGCAGACACCAGTTGCCGTCGCTTCATACATCAAAGCGCCCAAGTTTATTGATGCGTCCTAAAGTATATTACCTTAAAGGCGCAGGATAGCGGTAGAAACAACAGACGAAGAAGAGACTTTTTCCTTCAACTAAACACCTTAGAGGTTATCTAAAGAATGTTATCTAAAACAGATAATGACTTTGTATCTGTTGTGTTTCAGTGGATATACATGAGGATCAACTAGGCCTATACGAGTGCAATTTACAGAAATTTCGGTGAATTTCAGCTGAAAACTTCTTTTAAATACCAAAAAACAACTAACGTTTCTGTTTAAAAATTATTTATCATTCAGATTATCGGGGGAAAAAAACACACTTGAGAGTGTGCGGTAGTCTTCGGGGTTGTTTATCTGTTGGAATTACTGTAAATCATGTAAAGGTTTGCTGAGTTGAAACTTTCTAAATTATATTACCAAGCTTTAATAGTGTTCTTTTCGTTTCTACAAAATCATGATCACTGCTTGTTGACATAATAAAGTTCATAAGTGGATGGACATCCAGGTAACTGAATCACTTAATACAAGGGAAATATTCTAAAAGAAAAAAAAAGCGGGGTTAAATGTTTTTTTTCAACGATGAACTTTCGCTTTAAGCTTTAATAAATGCGCAGAAATAAACACCGAGGCCGGTAATACACAATCAAAACAAACCTACTTTCAGTACAACATCCGTCGATGTTGGTTACCATGGCAAATGTAATGACTTCGTTGCCACCTTCAATCAAAAGTGTGTAACAAATTCAGCATCGTGCACTTGTTTTGTGAACCGTGAAACGCAGTTCTATCGCGTGACTAGAGCCTGAAAGTAAACAGTTACGCGGCGAGCTTCTGGAACCCTCGCGCAGCCTGTCTATGGGTATTTTACACTGGATCACAGTGTCCTTTCATCTTCCATCATTTTTGACGGAATGATTTTTAACTGTTACCACCCCAAGAAACACTCATGTTGGAATTTTATCTTCAGTTGGTATTCTTCAAATATAATTGAACGAAAAAAATTACTTGATGGGTAACACCGAATTTCATTCAAGACCTTTGACATCCGACATTGTTGTTCCTAGGTCTCCTGGTGCGTGCACATTAATTTTGTTTTCATGTTGTGTATTTGGTCTGCTTGCGTGAGAACTACAATGTATAATGTTACGAAGATTTACACACCTACAGCCGATGGGTTCTAGATCTAGCGGGGCTGGCTTGAACAGATCATGGGTGCAGTCCTATCAAAGGTAATTTTTTAGTGGTATTTTTTCGTTAATAGGCCTACTAAAATGAGCCCTTTAAGTTTATTCACACAATTTAAAAACCGTAAAAGACATCTTGATCTTCTATTTCACTTTCCGTTTTCACCCGACACCACAAATTTCAGAAATTCTCATCTACGTTCCCATTCAAAGGTTCTGGAAGAGCGCCACCACGGGGTGAACTTTCAGGATCTCCATCAACAGAAATGGTAAACTTCAATTCATTATTCATGGCAATGACTTGTTGAATGCATACAGTTACTCCGTAGCCAAAGCCATAATATATCGAAGAAACAAAATTCAACACTTTTCTTACTATTCACAAATGAATTTACACGAAGTTTGCAGCCAAGTTCTTTTAGATGCGTACATTAAAGCAATATGGAAAACCTAGTAACGCTGCTCCCAGAGCCTGCAAAATTATCAGTTGATTTAGAATGGCTAATGGGGTCAATAGGGGTAATCCTATACGACAGCACTGCCCGGTTCAAAGGTGACATTTAGTGATTGAGGTACAAAGAGTTACTACAATGCCTTAAAGGAGCTCTTGACGAATTTCAAATTGGCATCCGTGCCAGCCAGTGCTATAGCCATTGTAGGACCAGTTATTACTTTTTTTTACATCCTTTCCACAAAAGAAACTACTCAGTCCCTTGGACTATATGAGATTCAGCTGTCCATGTATAGCTTCTATTTGCATAAGTACGAACGGGGCTCCCCCCTTTAAACTCCCTGATTTTACACCTATTGTACGCCATTCGAGCGTGTCGTCACAGGCCTATAACGACCATTTTCGACCCCAACGCAAACAGTTCAGGCATTCAGTGGCAACTTCCCGGTTGCAGAAATGCTCTGGAAAAAACTGTCCTCCTCCTCGCACATTATCCAAGTTTTTGTCAAACATTTTGATTCTTCTCGCTGGACTTCATGAAGTAAACTCTTCACTTTACAAACGAAAGCGGAGGTTTTAAAAAATGGTAACTTGTGTGAGAAAGGCGGCGGTGTTTCTCATGAGCGCGGCCGTGTTGCTTCAGCCGACATTTGCCAACCACCACAGCAACCAGCAGGTATGTGGAAACGATATTGAGGTGTTGTCAACAAAGGGATACAAAGTTCAGTGTTTGTTAAGTTATTTTGTATGCTACACGTAGTCAAAACAGCATTCGATGCCAAATATAGGCGATCATGCTTCACTAGTTCCTTTGAAAAGTATGCAGTGGTGCCACGGTCTTTGAAGGTTTTAATTATGTGAATCTAAAGAGAATTAGATTTTGTGTGCAGAACTAAACAGTATGAGTTTTAGTTTTAATCACTTTGGTTTCTGGGACCATGGCTATTCTTTCCCATTAAGATATGTTTGATGACAGAGAAACTGCCAACATTCTTCAGAACAGCCCACACAGTTTCAAAAATGCAGTGCAAGCATGACCATGCACTCTTGAAGGGAACAATCGTGGCGCATAGTGATGTGTTGAATCATCTAGGTTATACTGATGTTTAGTCTAAAGTTTCTTTCGTTTTTGACGGTTGCAGTCGTTTCTGCGTCATGTTTTTTTTAAAAGATGAACATACGGGTTTAAAGAACATGTCCACAGATTGTAAAGCTATATGAATAGATGTGATTGTGTATATAGCAAAAGTTTTACCCAACCCAACCCATTCGAGCCTACACTTTTAAAGTAAAAAAATAGTTCCTAATCTTTTCCTGTTTCTAAATTTACGTCAGAACAACTTGTTTTCCACCTTTTCTGTTATTCTGACATGTTTCCTTTATAATGACGTTAATAAAATATGTTAATCGGTAACGAGAGGAACAAAGAGCGATCCCAATATTTGCATTGTCTGTATAATGAACAATTGTGGATCGAAACTACCTGATAAATACACACACCACACCACAAGCATTGTTAGATATTGCCTAGAAGAATTCAATAAAAACCTTAGTTTCTAACCTCAAGCGATAGGAATTTTAAGGAACGTGTTCCTGTTTCTGTGGTTAACACTTAAAAACCGAAGGGTCCTTGCACAATGCATAATATTTCAGTTATTATTCTAAAAGGAGACTTTGGAGATTTTAAAATTCCTCGGTTAAAATTGTTGTATCCAATGCAGCTATCCGTATTGTGTTCTAATATTGTTACAATGAATGCTTGGAAAGGATCTCTCATATCTGCAGTCCTAGCGATCCAACCTATTTCCCCCTGGTTCCGTCTTAACGCAAGAGGTCTATTGGTGTTTTTTTCACGCTCATTGTATCAATGAGGAATAATAATAATATTAACATCCAAATCAATGTAGATATTTGTTATTAGGCCTTCATGCAGACGCAATTTTTTTTTTTCGCCAAAAATTCAGATCTGACACTGTAGACGAATTGACACATAGTTTACAAATGTTCCCATTCGGACATTTGGAAATCTGGAACGGATTTCGTTATCACAATCATTGCAACTATTACGTTTCTTTCAAAATATTTGTGAAAGGGTTTGTTGTTTATAGCAAATCACCGGCACTAAATGGCCTGGATAGGGCGGTGGGCTGGGGACCGGGCCGGCGGGGCAGGGCAGGGCGGGACGTCATGGGCAGTTTAAGGTTACGACGTTTTTGGGGGTTTCGTGGGACTCCCCGTGATGAACAAAGTCCTATTTTGGTTTGGTTGTGTTTATTTAGCTAACAACATGAATATATTGACAATTTTAATACACAATGGTGCTAGGGGCCTACATATAGACGGACTTCGAAATGTATTTGACAGCTTAATGATTGAAAATCCCCTAATAACCCGGAAATGTTGCAATATCTGCGGACGTGTTGGGCAACAAGTTTTGACTGCAATGCTATAATGGCAAGGCAGCGCCATGCATCGGGGGATCTACAAGAGCTGTATCTCAATTAACGGGACACTTGTGTCAGGCAATGTTTTAACAGAAAATAAGAATAAAACAAAAATATGCAATAAAAATTAAAAAGGCAGGCACAATTTAATAATTTTGTTTATAATCTAGGATTTTCCGTAAACTCTTTGAACATTTGAGTAGCGGATCCATGGCCGCACTCGAATCTCGTCCCGGCTCTCGTACTTCTGTACCTCTGTGTACCAAGTACAACGCTAATTCAACTTTATTACCGGTATTTTCCCCCTTGTTCTCTGTTCTTTATGTTTGCAACTAATGAAACCCGTGTGTCCTTTGTACTTGTCGGTACCCCTGCCATTTCGACTTTGACGAAGATGATCCTGTAATGATCGAAATGTAAGGCCCTGTAACTTAAGTTGGATACAGTGAGCAGTTTGTAGCAGTTTTATCCATTTTCCCTCGTTTTATATTTCTCGGTTAATAAAGGTCGGGAGCTGTAGGTATGGCATGTTCGACGACCGGCAACGCGGAGCGGAGCCCGGCAGGCTCAACTGCCGGCCCTGCAGCCGGTGTATGCCGGGCTACGGTGCCAGCCGCCTCTGCATCCGGTACAACGATACGGAATGTTCCCCATGTTCACCGGGCCACTACTCGGCTACCACCAGCAGTCTAGATAGCTGCATCCCTTGTACTGTATGTGGGAGACGGGAGCCCGAGCAGCAGGCTTGTACGGTCAAGTCGGATGCCGTGTGCCGTAAACACTGCCCGATTGGTATGAAATCCTATCAGATTTTGGCCCAATCTGGAGCTGCCATAATATTAAACTATTGGCAACATACCCCGCATTTCAATTGCCTACAGCACTATACTTTCTGTTTAACTCCGAAAACGCAGAATTATAAGTAACAGGATATAAACATTCGCATAGTTAGCAATCTGCCCGTGGAAAACCCGTTGGCACAAAATTCTACAACCCTGTCCTCATGACGTTCAATTGGAACCGCTCTCGCCGTAGTATTAGATTATTTTTATTTCAAAAAAAATCTCGTACATAATTTAATTATTTATGGAATGGTGTGATACTTAGGGCACTGGACTAAAGCAACTAATCGTGACGTTGAATCGGCAAAGAAAGACATTGTTACATGTGATAGGAAAAATAGGGTTGGTAGCAGTGTTGAACTTGATGGAGCACATTATGGTACAAAATGTACTTCTCTCTTAAATCGAAGTCAGTTTCATAATTACGCCTAGATCATTATTAAGTGATCGAGGTACTAGACACTATTTTCTGGGTCTCAAAACCCTTTCAATCTATTTAATCATACTACTTTATCAGACTTTAATATAATCGTAGAAGAAAGATTTTCTTAACAGTTTGTATAGAAAATGCAGATGGAATTTTTGTGACATCACCAATTCCTTTGGATCACAGGGTCTTTTTACAATCCCTTCGATGAAGACTGTCTTCCCTGCTCGTCCTGCCGCAACTACCCAAAGGACGAGGCAAACAGCGTACGCGTACAGCAATGCGTGGAGGATGGGATGGTGCCCGACATGCAGTGTTGGCCGCACCCAGATCTGATTGACCAGGATATGTCATCGGTCATGTCTTACGACTATTCTGAAGATCAATCTACCGATTACGGTGAGTTAATAAGCAAAGATTTACCTATAACAACGCATGGCGCAGATTACATAACTGCTGTTGGAATATTGACAACTTTATTTTTGGTATAGGCCAACCTCTCAAAATTAAAATGGACAGACTTACCTCTGAGTTCGGGTACTCCCTCACAGACAATCGCTCGTACCCTAAGACCTATTCATGCGTGCTGGTGCAGCACCTTCCCCAGCTCCGGGTTTTAGAGTGTCAGTAGGGGGCCATGCACTACAAGATAGAACAAACACACACAATTACTTTTACGCTTATTTGTTTTTGCCGATTGGAGGAGGGGAGGGGTGGGCAGTTGCTCGGGGGGGGGGGGGGCACTGCCATAGTCCTGGGCTGATGATAGCTAATTCCTCATCAAAATGTTGTGAAGGAAACGCAGACGTCACAAAGCATCCCCGTTCGCCTATTATGCACACCAATCTCGACCTCAGGGGTTGTGCGCGCTTTCTATCGCATGAGGCAGAGCTCAAACAAATCACTATTTTGAATGATGGAATTTTGAGGTCGCCAAAGAAATGAGGTCACCAGCGCCCATGGGGAATAGGACGAGTCAAAATAGACAGACACTTTAACACCATTGCTGTTGCCCATTCACGATGTTATTGCGCATATTTCGTACAAAACGCGCTGGTAAAGGTAACCAGGTCACAGGTTTACATAGGTTACATAGCGCCATCTCCTGTCCCGCATTGAGTTCAGGGTATAAACCAAGAATCAAAGATATAGATTTGGGGTTTTTTTCTTCAGATTCTTCAGATTCTTCAGATAAGGAGCCACCAACCACCGTCGCCTACTATGACTACCGCGTCCGGCCTGTCGGCCCATCACCGCGACCAGGCCAAGTCAGTAACGAGGACACTGAGCCTGATAATACCGAGGACATGGCGCGGATGTACACCGTCGTCCTACTCACATTGCTGATAGTGGTGGGACTGTGCGTGTTTCTCTCCATCACCATCCTTGTCTGCCTGTGTCGAGTAATGAAGATGAGTTCCCATCGCTCATCATACCAGCGAACCAACAGCGGAGGTTATCATTGCATTTCAGAAAAGACTTCCAAGTTGCTTGTTAGGCAGCCAACGACATACGTATAAATTTGTATTAAGATACAATGTTGGCCCGTGTGGTATTAAAGTTGGCATTATGGACTCATAAAAAATCATTTTTATATACGATTCAAAAATCTTGCACAAGTATGCAATTTGGTTAGGTTAGGTACGAGATATTCTGGTGTCTGGCCGTGAAAAAAAAATCACTTCGTCGCGGCCTGAGATCCGAAAACACGATTTTTTTCCAAAGTTAAAATGATACAATCCTTCTAAATATCACATAACTTCACATATTACTTTGAGCAAAATGAACAAGGGAAGATTGTTAAATTTGAGGCGGAGTGAACGTAATAAATTCACAGTGGACGTTAAAATACGTAATATACCTTGGACCTAAAACACCAGTGCCTACACAATAAATACCATTAGGCCTAATATGTGCACTACACGATGTATCGAATCAGGATACAGGAAGCAAGGTTCCCAGTGCACCCAGGGGTTACTATTGGAAACGAGGTTGGAAATAAAGTAACCTCTGGGGACAAGGTAACGCCACTCTCGAGTGAGGCCCTGAAGTCCCCCCCCCCCCAAAAAAAAATATGAACCCCAATTCACCTCTGCACTTCACATTGGTAAAACCAAAATTTCTCCTTCGCTGTGCACACAGTTGTACCCCTCCCCCTATAACTTCTTGAGGTCGGTGTTTCCTGGCATTTAATAATCAGTAGCTAGGCTAATACAATTCAACATTTACACTTCCCAACTAAATTTCCTCAAAAAGTTTATTAATCTTCCGTAGAATCTGAATCTATTCCCAAAGGTTTTCAAAAGTAGCTCTGAAACTCAGCAGCAAGGATTCATGTAGACCACATGTGACATAGTGACAGTATATGTCCTTAAACAAAATTATCAGGGTTAAAAGCAAACTCTCCGTTAACTACTAGTGGTTTTTTTAAAATATGTTAAAACGTATGTAATCATTAAGAGCAGCTTATATGAAGTATATCCAGTACAGGTATAGCTGATGTATTGTTTGTATATCACATTATCCTATACAGTTTTGTATTTTTTGGGCAGGGCCACTTTATGAGGTTCTTTTTTTAAATAATGTTTTATTTATTATTTTGTACTGTTACTTTTAAAGTAACATTGATAAATTATCGATGTATGTACTCAGTTTAGTACGCATGCGTACACGTATCACCTTTGGACCGTAATAAAGCTTGATATTTGGTATAAATATTTGTTGCGTTGTTTTCTGATGCCACTGCCAAGGGAAGTTCCATATACATGTACAATCAGAGCGGTGAAGATGCATATAAGGTCCACAGCATGAGAAGAAGTGCTTGACACTATTTTCTAAGTTGCATTCTCCAGTACCAATTCTTAGCATAAATCATTTCCCCAAGAAAATCATTTCCCCAAGACTGCAATCTTACACTACAAAATAAGCATTGTACTGACCATAACAGTTTCGAGATAGTCACGCTCTTCCATTCCGTCTACAGGTTTCACACCTTGATATATCAACAAAATAAGCTTCAAATGAGATCCACGAGACTCATCTGGTGGTCAGGCCATTATTTCACATCAACACGGGTTGAAGATATTTTACTCAGCCTCTGAACATCAATCACTGCCAAATCATCGCGCCTCGTTGCAAAAATTAAAATGGCCGCCGAACTAAAATTCCGCTGGTACTTTGCGAAGTTCACACCAGCGAAACTCATGTAGTTTTAGAACTCGAAGTTTGGCGCGCATCAATTCTTTAATAATGGCTGCAGCGGCCGTCGTTAGTGTTCACCAGGGACAACTATGTTATCCGAGCAGCCAGAAATAAAAAAGCACATGCGCGCGAGAATATTATTTTTCCATCGACGTCCCCGATAGAAAGGGTGCATAATGTTGCAGGGGGCAAAAAGAGGGCGAATTCTTTTTTTTTCTTCTCTGTCTCGATTCTCGATAAATTACTGAAAAATACTCCCAAATCTTTATGTTTCAAGTAGTTATTGATTCAGAGATGCAACCCCCCCCCCCCATTTTGCTACTTCAATAAAACTTCAAGCAACTAAAGCTTGGTTAAATAATTATGTTTAATCAACCTTCGTATTATCACCATCGATAACAAAATATACACAATTCACCTTCAAATATCAAAACTTAATTCTGATTAAAAGGACACTACCATTTAATTTCAGGAGTTTGAAAATCATTGATGCTTTTTGATATGACAGAATTCTGCTACATTTGGTGCAATCATATAAATCCTGGTGACCCTTCGTTCTGCTCTGGGCTGATAAAAAAACCCCAAAAAGGTTACATTTTCTCCCAAAAAAGATATTCATCGCAATCAGGAGGATAAGAAATGCACATTTGGATAAAAAAAATGACAGCAGTTTTTGTGAAACTTTCACAAGATACAACAAAATGAAAAGATTAGCAACATTCCCTTTGTAAATAGACCTGAGATGTAATGACGTAATGGCTTTGTTTACATATGCGTTTTCCTATGGGCGCGAAGTCGGGACGCCAGACAAAGTGGGGACCGTCTACTACATAGGAAAGCGCAAATGTAAACAAAGCGTGACGTCATTACGTCTCGGGCTTATTGTATGTAAGCATCTGAACAAAATGAAAAGTGATAAGGGAAAGCTCCATACAGCAAAAACATAGGTGTTTTTATATGCATTAGTGTCAATATTCCAGAATTCTTTTGAACAAAATATAGTTATCTATACATATCAAAATTAAAACATAATTTCAAAAGTGTGATATTCTTAGGAATGACTAACAGTTACATAATAATTATGTCTTTCACAATCTGCTTCAAAGATAGTGGATTTAAACAATTCATTTTTGTTCCTTTATAAAGCTAATCATTTCTCTCCATATTAAAAAACAATTGTTACAAAAATAAAATGTTTCCATATCAAAATTTTCAACATCATCTTGATATCATAATGGTTGATACCACTAACAATTTACTTATCTACATATGTATAAAATATAAAGGAAAGACAATTGCAGAAATAGAATTAACACTCTAACAATAACTGTTAGCATTCAAATCCAGTATATTTCCTTGAAGAAAAAGTTTTCAATGTTTTGCATGTTAATTTTCATTAATCTGATGCCTGTTAGTGGAGATAGCCTCCAAATGCGAAAATCTTCATTCAAAGATTCTTACATTAAGCAATAGTCTAAATTGTTAACGTTAGAAAAAAAATATAATGAATTGACATGTTTTTAAACTGGACGTGAATTATACATTAAAAGCACATGCATTTGAAAGTATAAACACCAAATTTCCTCCAAACGAATCAGAAAGACACAACATACATTGAAAATTATGAAAGCTCCTTTTTGTTTGAAAAACAACATCGAAGAATGTAAAGATTACATTTTTCACATAAACCACAACGGATAACTGACAACACAAGAGTAAATCATTATACCTTTGAAACAAACAAAAATACTGCAGCATTTGAACCTGCGACCTCAGAAATACTATCCCAGCACTCTACCAACTAAGTTATCTATTGCAACATGGCAGTACAGGTTGCAGGTTCAATTTCTGCTTCAGTCCATTTCTTTATATTAACTTTATACATGTTGGAAGTCCCAGAATGCCCAGAGGTAGATCAATTAAAGAAAAGGGTTATATAAGAGCTGAAAAAAGAGTACATTTTGGAGAATACTAAAGGATGCTGTAATTGCCCTTCCACTACTACAATTACACTGCAGTCTGGGTCAAAAGAATGGATCCGTGTTTTGTTATCTCGTCTCTGAAAAGCATTTGTAGTGGAGACTTAATACTCGCTAATCATTTTACAATTATGGTTACTGCTACAATAGCAATACTTTTGTCATCTGTACTTCATGACTTTTATATCCACATGTAACTCTTCTTGGCGCTTGAAGAGTCATGTACATGGTGTTCTTTGGAATATTACTATCACTCAATGCACCTATTTGGGCAGTGCATATTCGAATAATTAAGTATGCGACTATCCCGACTTGGATTAATCAAATAATCAAATACACGAAATGCACTGATCAAGATTAACATGTGCCAGCCTAAACTGGCTGCCAATATGGATTTGCATGTGCATGTGCAGGCGCTTGTTGAAAATTGACAAAGAGCATTTGAAGTAAAATAAAGAAGCGGTAACAGAATGGTTGATATTTGACCAACTTTAAAGAAACTTTTGGAGTGAATTTTTCTCGTGGAAGCTCTCAAACCATGGGAAAAGTGGTTTTCGAAAAAAGTGGGACACTGGACATACAATGTAACCATGCATGTAGACATTTTTCAACATCTCTAGACCGCTTTCATTATTTGAACGTTTGAGTAAAAAATACAAATGCTATTCAGATATTCTGTTGATGACTGAATATTTGACTATTCGGTATACTCAGCACAGCCCTAACACCTATTCATGATGCCATTTTTAGATTGCACAATTCCATGTTCTGCAGTCAAGGATAAGAACCATAACAAAGAACTGGGTAGGTTAATATCACACTGTGTACTATTCCTTCAAGCTGTCATATAGAAAGGTATGTTCTTGCTAACTGGCTCCACCTGCTTCCTCTTTCTGCTTCTGCTCCCTCTTCTTGGCTGCTGCTTCTTTCTCCTGTCTCTCCTGGAAGGCTGCAAAGACAAGTTGTAGAGACTTGGCATACTCAGCCTTCTCCACCTCATCACTCCCTGTGAGAGAAATACAACAAACAGATTACTTAGTTTGTTACGTTTGTTAAGCATTATGGTTCAATGGTTGCAGTGTCCGACTCATGTGCAATGGTGTGTGGGTTCGAACCCTGACGAGAAACATGGTGCTTGTGTTCTGGGGCAAAACTTGACTACACTTCTCTCCATCCAGGAGTACAAATGGATACCTGTGAGGGTAGAGACAAGACTGTGCTGATCTCAAGCTGCTACAGAAAACTGGTCTGCCGAACAGGAGTAATAATTGTGAAGTGCTTTAAGACTTTGTTATGAGTTACAGAGGATGAACGGTAACAAAGGAATGCATTTATCACATTTCATTTGAATAGCTTGTGAGTTGACTTGGGACTGAATGACTTGTGTTCCTGCACGGAGTCTGTAACTCAAATGTAACCGAGACCTTTAGACTCATTTCCTGCAGTTGGTTTGTTTTGCCAGTGTGAAGGAACTAACCCATAAGTTTCTTGGCTTCTTTGCCGTCCACCAGTGGGTTCAGCCAGGTGGATTTTCTGGTTTCCTGCAGCTTCAGGTTACTTCCTTGAGGCACGTAGATCATGAAGGTCACCTCAATCACTTCCTTCTCATTGAGTTTAGCATCCAACTTCTTGCCATCCTCTGCAATGATAAAAAAAATTCAATCAAAGTGGTTCAAGACACTACTACATTTTCATTTTAATAGAAATTTAAGGTTTAACACAAAAATGTTGGTAACAAGGAGCAATGAAAACGGACTCACTTTTAGTAGCTCCAGATATGGCATTGAAGATCTCTCTCTTGGATGGGTAATGGTCACACTCTTTAAAGAAGCCTTCTAGATCTCGGATAGTGATGGAGTCATTGGGTTGTGCTCTCTTGGCAAAGACATACTCATAGTCTGGCAAAAGCAATCAAAAAATACAAACATATTTTCAAGACCGGCAACGATTCCCCACAGTTAAGGTATACTCAGAACTCCCTATTCCAGACACAGAGGTCGTGAGGCTGTGTTTAACAGCATTATGAATATTCTTACAACACATGCCTTGCTTATATCTTGTATTGCTGACATCATTGCCATGGTGGGTTAAACTCCCTAGGCCTAGAGTTCAAGAAAATAGGGCCCTTCAAGTGCATTGACTATTGACTCACATCGTTTGCGATCCATGAACTCATCCATTTGCCACAGATCCAGGTGAATGTTGGGTTTCTTGACTCCGTGCCAGCGAGCGATGCGTTTCATCAAGTATGCGTAATACTTCACGAAAGCCTTGAAGGAACCTGCATGGACTCGAGACTATGGAACAACAGGAAACAGGATTTCAGTTTATTTTATCCTGATTTAAGTTGAAGGCTTCATGATTGATGAAATGTTATGATTACATACCAAGCCACAAAAAGCCAGTTGAGTATTCTAACTGTGTATGTACTTGTGCATATCAAAATTTTATAATTTTACCTTTTGGGTAAACAATAAGTTGTATGTATGCAAAGTCATAGAGGGTACCAAGGAAATATGCACAAGTGAGTAAGTTATTTTCAATTTACTTTTTTACTTTATTTTACTGTTGTTTTTAAAATATATCACCAAAAACAAACAACTTAAGACTTATGTAATTTAGCAATTTTAAGTGTTATAAAATTTAATATCTGTGTCAGATGTGCATATGAATTCATTTTCAACAAGGATTCAACTCAAATAATGCAACCTAAAATAAATTGTGAAGGCTTGCATGAAAAACGGACTGAAATACAATGATACACTGTACTCACTTTCTGTTTGACTTTCTCCAGCATGGTCCTCACAACCCAACCTCTGACATATCTTCAAAATAAAAAAACAAAGTAGGATTATTAATATTTCCAAATCAGAATTTGAATAAAAAGCGTACGTTAGTAGTTCCTTTACACTTTGTAAGTAAAACTGGTTTCTCTACTGCACATATTCCGTTCTTCATTCAGCTTTTGCAAGAAGATATAAAAGAAGGCATAATTAAATAGACGGCATACTTCTGAATGGTGACGGCTGCTTTCTTCATCTGTGCTTTAGTGACACCCCTCTTTCCTCCGTGGAATAGTCTAGTGGAAACAAGCAACAAGAAACAACATTCATACAACAAAACAGACAATGAATCAAAAACTTTGTACTTGAACTTGGCGTCGTCCTTTTTCCTCTTTTGTTCCAATGTACCACTGCTGCCAAAAACTGACATGCCTTATGTAATTTGCACAACATTTTTTTTCCTCCCTTTTTTCATTGTGTCAGCTTCTTTAAACACTTTAACCAGATGCCTACACAAAGCAAATTTGACACCACAAAGGCTTGGAAACAAATTTTGCCATAATTAACATGTCTTAAACTTTTACAATTTGCAGTGCTAAATCTGGACAAAGTTGCATTTATAACCGAAATTTACTTAATTATTTTACTAATAAGTACGTATGCAGAAAATAGTATAGTATGAAACCAGTAGTGATTTTTTAAGTGTTTATTATTGTTATTATCATTATTAGGCCAAAAAGAAAAAATATTCGGTCTCTGGTCAGACCAAAGTTCCGGAATTGACGCGGCCACGCGGCTTTTTTTTTTTTTTTTTTTTTTCTTCAAGCTTGGATTGTACAGACAAGGTGGGTACTATTTTGCTTTTTTGGTGTCCTCATGTACATTGGTGTCCTCCATAATTTGCCTTGGTGCTTTCGATCATTTGCCTTGGTGCAATTTCCCATTCCTTGGTGCTCTTTGGTAAAAAAATTGAGGAGGTGCGGAAATAGAGGGCGCTGTTGGAGCTACCGCGGAACATTTTGGAAAAAAAAAAGATCGACGCGCATGATTAAAATCGACGCGCGCGCTGACCAGAGACCGACTTATTTTTTTTTTTGGCCTTATTATTATTTTTTTTTTTTGCAAACTTACTCCCAGATATCCACACTGGGTCCAATTCTTTTGAGAAGACTTAAGGCTCTCCTGTTCTCAAGAGCTTGCCTGTGAAGAATTAAAAGAACAATCTCTTTTGTCAGGAGTGTTTTCAAAACTTAACAGAAGGGGGAAGGCATATGAACACAACTTTACCTGGACATTAATCTTACAAGTAACAAGAAAAGAAACAGAGATATAAAACAATGAAGTACTAAAGAATACAAAACGTGAGAGAAACCTCAACAGAAAGGAAAGAAAGAACTGGATGAAAACTAAAGGGTCATAACAGAGATCATTTGGAAGGAATCTGGAAAGACAGTAAATTCATAAAAGCTGCTAATCTTTTCTGAGGAAAACTAACTTGCACAAAAATATTCAACTCAGATACACTTAAATCTTCCTTTAAGCGTATCACTCATGTTTCTACAAAATCCATCTGACGCAAGAGCCCTTCAGGGTTCTGTGCTGTCCCTACAAAATCCGCAAGACGGTTTTGGAGAATATTTCTGGATTGAAAGAGAACAGCCGATCAATTTTGATTCTACCTGGTACTTGAAATTCAAAATTCGAAGAATACGATATTTGTTTCACACACAGTGGAAGATTTTCAAGGATTGAGGAAGGTTTCTTGAAGAATGTCAAGTGGTTTAGATGTACTCATAAATCACATCAGAATTTCCAAGGATTCTCTCCATAACCCAACAGATTCAACCAAACCCATAACATACATTTAAGATATATGCTGAATTGGTAAGAATTCAATTGCAACAGACCAATGGTTCTTTTTTATACGAGCCGAAATGAAAGGATTATACGTGTCAATGATGGAAGGAAGAATTTGTATCCTCTTGTACTTACTGCCTCATATGCTCACTCCACTTGTCTTGTCTCATCTTATCTTTCAGCATCTTGTCAGACATGTACTCTCGTGCCCAGCCACGGTCCAAGATGTCTGGGCGCTGGACCATGGCAATCTCTTGTCTCATCATGTGCTCCCTGTAAAATCTGAAAACAGAAGAGCGGAGATACAAGTTATAAAACAAGAAATTATGTTCATTTACTGCATTTATGCATTTCAAATCCCTTTCTACAGTTTTTATTACATTTCATCATTATTATTGTTCCATCTGTTTCAGATATTGAGCAACAGCATCTGTGCTTTTTAAAAGGTCCCTTCAGTTCCTTTATCAGCAAGAATAAAGAAATCTGGCTTCTAGTTGAAGTACAGAAAATGGATCACGAGTCCATCACAAGTCAGCCATTAGTAACCTTGTCCCATGTCAACTCAAAAGCTACTCAAATGAACCATGGCAAAGGCATGTCATGATTATTGCTCATATTACATGAGCCTGTAATTGTGAATTGACTTCTGATTTGCTTGCACCCAGACATTTGATCCATCACACACTGATAAGCCCACAGTGATATTTTCCTGATTGTACCTGTTGAGGTGCTTGTTATCTCGCTGCATCTTTTCCCAGCGTTCCCGTTCCTGCCTTTCCAGTTCCTTGCGGTGCTCTTTAGCCGCTGAGCCACTGAATAGCTCCCTGATGTTGACAGATGACTTGGCTTCTTGGGCAAGTTGAACTGCCCTCGCCTCTCTCTCCTAGGTGAAAATATTATAACAAAGTACTGACAAATTTTTCAGAAACACAAAAGAACCCCCTGAGCACTGCAAAGAAATGTTGTTTTCATTGGGCAATAGCATTCCAATTTGCCAAAGTAATGGTAGATCTCTTTTATGCTGGGCTTATAAGATCTTCCTTACAGTTGCTCTTCCCTTTCTTTTGAGTTTAGCCATGAAAAGTGCAATCATTTTTAACTTGCTACAGCCAAGCTTATCTGAGTAAGCTTGTAAATTTTTCTTGCAAGCCCTCAGATAACAAGTACACACAGTGTTTATAAATATGTTTGTTAAGCGCAAAAACCCAATATATAATTCACATCTTCCCGACGCAAATTGAATCTGCCAAAAAGAATTCATACACAGATTACAAACTTACCACAGTTCTGGATCCACCATAGACTGGCAACGGTCTGCCTTTCCACTCTTCGCCTTGGCCCGCCGACGAGACCGACCTCTGTCTGTTTGGGGCTGTGGACGTCGTCCCCATGAAGGGCGCCCTCTCAGTGGAGGCCCGGGGCCTGTGACCGACTCGGGCCGAGGAGGGTCGCGAGCTGGTGACACTGGGGGAGGAGTCAGTCCGCGTCAGGGGGGCCGAGCTGGGCCGCTGGATCTCAATCTGGGGTGGGAAGAGTTTGTGGCTGGGACCAGGGCTAGCCTCAGTCTGTACGTCACTCCAACTTGGTTCGCAAAAGTTGACAAAAGTATCATTAAATCAAAATTCTGCAGCCACATCACGAATGTTTTTTGCCCGAGTAGCGCAACATTCGGTTATGACACATTTCACACAAGTTTCACAGTGCGCAAGTCCGTGACTTACTCAACACATTATGGTGTAACTAGTTTAGTAAACTAGTTTAGTTAGTAAACTAGACTACTTTACTAACTAATCATGATCACCAGGGGGCCTTTCATTGCTCAACCCATAAAGGTTGATAGTAGAAACTTACCAAACACATTATGGCGCAACTTGTGCAGTCGTTTTAAGTGGTGTATGTTATGGCCAAGCAATGGACTACGTTACTGAATAATCATGATTTCACTGCTTGGTTGAAAATAAGAAACCCACACTTTTTATTTTGAAAATGAAATGCAATTTTTAGAGTTGCCGCCATATTCCGAAGAAATTCAAACCAAACTATTTTCAAAAGAAGGGCGGAGGTTGATTGGACGAATGCTTTGCGACTGCTATTAATTTTTTCAGCAGGGAACAGCTACAGACTCTGTGCACAAGTATTGCTGTTGCATTTTTGAACTAAAGAGAACAATGGTGACCTACAAGCAAGGGACATTCATAAGAAGAAGGATGATAGGAAAACAGTGCAAGGTAACACACAAACACCAAAATGTATACTCCTTACCTGCCATTGATGGATGCCGGAGGCTCTGGAGGCCCTTCGTCAGTGAACGATGGCTGGCTATGGCTGTGGCTCATCATCTCCTTCATGAGGTTAGGCATCATGGCTTCCAGGCGACCAGACTCCTCAAGGTTGTCTAGGTGGGCATGGAGGACTGTTGTCATAGGGCTACCGCTGCGGCTACCCATCGGAGAATCTGATAATTATAAAGTTCAGGAGAGTGTGGGAAAATGTTACAAGGCAATGTCAAAAAAGGGGGTGCAGAGCTAAAGCTACATCTATTACCATCGTATTCCCATGCATCTGTAATGGTCAAATACCTTGACAAAAGCAACAGATTCAGTTGCAGCCCTAGAAGATGATAGAGTAATGATGCAGACTTCGCAATATTGCAAGTTATTCTTAGAAAATAAACTACAACATTTTCAAAAATTAGATTTCTGAGGTTAAATGAAGCTCTAAAACAAAAAAACCTCTGGATATACATGTACACCTAACAGTGATCTATTTATAGTGTTATTCAATACTTTGTGACAACTCTTACATAAATGCATCAAGTAAATTTGTTGATTTATGCTTAAATCTGCAATTATTTTACTAGATATTTTGCTGAATTCTCCAAAATCCTCCACTGTGCAATGGCAACATCATATTCCATGTACTTTCAACATGCAGGAATCAAGTTTTTTTTCCTGTGTCATACAAAAATCTTCAAAAATTCCTGCATGATTTTATTCTGTCAAACAATAGCCTCTATTTCTGGGGCAAAAATACATTATAAATGTAAGGTCCATTTAATTTTTTTCTAGTGTTGCTTGTTATTGTCCAGTTTTTTTCTTCGATCACACGTGTTCTTGTTTTCTCAAGTTTTTTTTTTGTTTATTGTAGTTTTCTTCGCCGACGCTTCAGGTGTGTGGGGGTTGCTGTAAAGCAACTTATAGTGCTTGCACTTTTCCCACTCTACCTGATTCGTTTTGTTTAATAATAATAATAATAATAAACTACTAAACTGACTTAGTCCTTCTAAAATTATGTGTTTAAAGTAATTCCTACTCACAGACAGAGTTTTCCCTGGTAGTCGCTGGTGACAAGTCTATACTTGGAGCAGGGGAGCCACTCCTGTCGCTCCCCCTGGGTGACATCCTAGAGCTGTGTCTGGCTGATCCCCTTGGTGTCAGGGGTTTCTTGGTGACCACAGGGGACATAGTGTGGTGGCCCCTGTAGTGGGGTCTTTGCTGGTCTACTAGGGGTAGGGCACGTTGCTGGAGTTGGCTTCTGTGCTCATCGCTCAGGGCCATGTAGGCTGTTTGAAGCAAAAAGAGGAAATTTAGATGACCTTTGATTCAATGGTGTATCAAGAAGTTGGAAGGAGGCACCTTGCCCCCCCCCCCTCCCCCGCAACATTTTTTCCTTTTTCTTCTTCAGGAAATGTGCCAGCACTTCACAACTAGTACTATCAGTAAGACCCTTCCATGCATTAACCACCTCACAAACAGGACAAACAAATGGGGACACTAACCCATTTCATCCATTTTGGACCCAAAACCTGCATACTTTGATTCTTATATCTTTTGAATATGTATTTGCAAAATCAGTAAGGTAGTTTGGTATTCTTATTGCACATGAGCATTTCAAGATCTGGTGGTTCCCACTTTGAGATAAACATCTACAGTATCCATGCAAAATCATAGAGGGTACCAATGAAGTACAAATTCCAAAACACATGGACTGTGTTATGTTATACACTCCTATAAATGTCTTGAAGCTTTGCATGGCGGTTGAGTTAAAATAGAAAGATTGCGGGTTACACCATGTGGAAAGTAATCTCTTCTTGGAAGAAGTGTAGTTTGAAACACTGTCCGACATCGAGCTCTACACTCAACCAAGAAGTGTGGTTCTTTACAGAACCACACTTCTTCAAAGAAGAGATTACTTCCCACATGGTGTTACCTGTAATCTTTCTACTTTTACACTCCTATTTATTTTTGAACTTTACTCAATACACCATCTTTCTGATTTCAAGAAAAACTTCGGATTTGGTTGTCCATTCTCCCATAGACTTGTGTTTTTTATCTTTTGTGTTTATCCCTGAACTGCAAATCATCAAATTTTGATATGCATATGCGTAACTGGACTACCAAAGTGACACCTTAAAACAAATTCAATCGTAGACTTCCATGCCCAATCTTCATAAAGAAGCAATGCCTTTCTTGCATTGCATCACAAGAGTTTTAACTAAAAATAAATATGTACTACCAACCTCTTTTGATCAGTGGCTTAGGAGGAAAGACAGCCCACACAGAATACTCACAAGACATGGCAAGCAACAACACTCATTCACATTTTAACAAAAATGTCCTAGACCTCAGAATGTTGTTATGCTTTAACTACTATCCTCCATATAAATAGCAACAGGCAGGTCACATAACACTATGGAAGAATTTTTATCTCACATTTCAGTGACTAACTACTGATACTAAGCCCTTATCAACTGTCTGTGAATACTTTAAATATATTTGATCTGTTGATAATGTGAATCATAAAGAACCATCTGCAGTGGTTCTGAATAGTCAGGTAGTGGGATTATCTTGTTTACATGAACAGCCGGACGAGTTGTTCATTCAGTGATGTTTAGGGCAGAATATTTGATAAAATTAGCAGATGGAAAATGCGGTAGGTTTTCAATGAGGATCACCTGGCCTACCAAAAGCAAAAAAAGATAGCCACCTTCCCCAGTAATTAAAACAAAGAATGGTGCACAAAGACGCATTTCCCTGAATCCTGGGCCATAATTTGCCTGTTTGTTTCAAATATCGACAGGGTGAAAATGTACAATTCATTTCTCTGTATTGTTGAATGTAATGTCTCATCACTTCTATATATTTTTCATCCTAGGAGTGGAAAGAACACGTTGGATAGGGCTGTGCATTTCAAATAATTTAGTATTAGATCATTAGAGCTTGGATTCAATCAAACATTCAAATATTCAAAATCGAATACCAGGTTATTCGAAAATGGACAGCCCTAGATATTTCATGGATCACCTACCGATTGGAACTGTTTGCAGTGATCTTGTAGAATGTTCATCGCTCGACTGATCTATTTCAATGGTGAAAACTGAAGGCACCCCCTCCTCTCTTGCTGAGGAAGGTCTCCCCTTTTCGTGGTAATGGTTCCATCTCTCCCCGCCAGCGTCATACAGTCTTGGGTTGGCTGATTTGGGCCGATGCACATGGTTGCGGGTGACAGCTAGAAAATGCCGGTTCAAAATTTCTTCCGGCGCTGACCCACAAGAAAGTAAAGCGTGTCAAATTGTGGGACTGTGTATGTATGTATTTTACATGTGAATATTTCATTTAAATAAAACTAAAGCCTAAAATACTGAAGTCATGCTATTCTTCCTCAACAATGTAAAAACTGATGAAACTTGCAATGTTTGTATATGAAAACGCTAATGACAATAATTCTTGCAGTGTCAAAGAAAAAGAGTTCTGTAACCAAAATACTTCAAATCACTGTAGGTTTCCTGTCTATGGGGGCTCCGATCAATAATAAGCAGTGACCAAGTGTTGAAGTGTAGAATGTCGTGCACATTGCATGATGTAGGAAAACAGTTTCTAACTGAGATGAATTCAGTGAATGAGTCAAGTAAGTCATCTCTCATATTTGTGGGTGAAAATGTTTTTGGTGGAAATATTAACTTCGCACGACCTAACTCAAATCAACACATGTACATGTGCACCACTGTCTCAAATAGGAACACGATTTTGACTGGAGTACCACAGACAAAGCTTCAACTGACCCTCAATAACATCACTGTTTTCGTTTTTTGCTGATGTAGTCATTTTACATAATCAGTTAGTTTTTTTAGTTTTGTTAATATTTTCCAAGTCCAGCGGGGGAAAATATTATCAGATAATGTACATTTCCCCACCACAAATAAAAAAAACCCAAAAAACGATGTTGCTCATTCAAACTGAACAGTAAAAAAAATTGTCAAGCTTTGCATGCCACTGCTCAAAACTGATTACACTAGTTCAATTTGTCCTTGCACTTTTTGTATTTAATTACACCTTTTGTAATATGTTGAAATAAAAACATTTAAAAAGCTTACAGCATGGACCATGCTTATGGTTGGTCTCGTGCAGGAGAGTGCAGTGCAGAAGGATGTTCAGAGTGCAGGAACAGAAAGAAAGAGGCGAAGCATCAATGAAAAGTAAATTTGCATCATCCATGAAAAGAAACCGAGCAATAGATACCAAGACTGGCAGAAACTAAGGATCAAAAGCTCAGGAGTGTTGACAATTATGTTGGGTGCAATCGGTGTATCTATGCTATCACCAGATCACGCAGAAAACCGTGCATTTGCCCGATCAGTCGATCCTGTAGGAAGTCTTAGGCCTACTGCCCTTTTTCAAACAATCCTCAAGAGGAAAAAATTAGGAAGCAAATGCAATCGACTGATGGCGATGCGATTGACTGATCGCAGCATGATTGACCGATCGCACAGATCCACCGATTGCACCCAACAATAATATTGCTGCCCTAAAAGCAATAAGCAGTGATGGGTGGAACGTAAAAATGTTTGCGCTAATAATGTCAACTTTTATTACCAAAACAAACGTTCAATTCATTCATACAATGATTTTAAACAAAAAGTATAAATTTGTAAAGAATTCAATTCATTTTTTTTTTTAAAGTTTATCATTGAAGGATAAAAAGTATGAAGAAACATTCGTCTAAAAGAAAAATATTTATAAAAATAGATTCAACATTACTCTGATGTTATATGTTGACTGAAACGAGGCTTTTTGTACTTTACTATAGTATTAATTTGTTAAAATTGTTATTATTACGCTACAATTGTTAAGTTATATATTGGTTAACTCATTAGTAAATGATTTATACATAATGAAACAATTTAAGACTTCAGATAAGAAAATGTGTGTTAAGTTACCTCTGAAGGCACATTGCTTTCTAGAATGCACTTAATCATATTAAGATTAAAGATTGCTGTATCTTTGCACAACTTCCTACTTGCTGAAATCAAACTTCGTACATGTAGTTGCTGAAGGCACGCACAGTCTTTACAATTAATAGGTTCAACTACTGATGTGAATTCTCTATCATAAATTTTATTTGAGCCTACTCTTTTCTCTTCTCACTTTGTTTTAATTGGTCCATTTATTTCAATCTTAGTCATCTATCGAAACAACAAATACAAAGAATTCATCGAAAACACACACTTTTTTTGTAACATAAAGCCCACATTTTCCTTCCTTTTGAACAAATTTCATTTTATTGCTCAACCCCTTCCTTTAGTGAATTGGAAAAGTGATGCATTTCAACATATTTTAATGCACATGCACAATGCTTCACTACATGTATTTGACTATTCATGCTCTACAGCATGCCAGAATCTGCAAATAAAAACTAACCCCAAAATTAAATCAGTCTAAGTCTTTGAGGTCAACACCGACCTAGACTTTAGCATCAGAAGCATGCACTGTTAATCTACTCAATGTTAAACATTAAGGTTACTTTCTAGCAGTATGGAAAGTGTGAACAGTTCTATAGAATTCCGTTACTCATTACATGGCCATCAACTTTTGTTCTAGATCCAGTTTGTGTACTCCTTGGGTTTTTCAAACTTGGACTTTGTCTCCAGCTTTGGCTTCATGAGATTTGAGGCCTTAGACTCGAATCTGGTTCAACATGGATCCATGTTCTGATTCCAACTGACAGGTTGCTTGCTCGTGAATTACTCTCGACACCCTTGCGATAGGATAAAGCTGCATGCGCATTGCACTTGGTCACATTGCTTGAATAGTTAACGTTGTAACCTTATAAGCCAGGCATAAAATGGCTGATGCAATATCAGACGGTCATTCTTCATAAAAGAACGTAGTTTTGATGTGGAAAGGCCATATTATTGAGTGAATGACGCTGCTGTATCAACGCTATTTTTGGGTTACAAACGGATGTGAATCCCAGGTTTAACCATAAAAGTTTATGTATTGTTGTATTCAAAAGTAAAATTGTTCTGCTCTTTGATATTTATATTGAGGTAAAATGGTTAAATTGCTTTGATAAACAAGATATTTCAACTGTTTATATTTGGAAAATAGACTTGATACAGTGCCCGTATTCACTCAAAAATCTGGCGTATTGATAGCCTCAACTGTCCACCTTCCATACAGATTAGTGTTGATTAATAAGCATGAGATGGGCGGCCTATGATGAAATTATATCGTGCAGTGTTAGCTATGATGACTTGGGTGAAGCTGAGTGTTAAAAGCGGTTCAATGTTCACCGGTACCTTGTCTCATCTCTTCCTCACTGCTCGTTCCCTGGTGCCCGTCAGTTCCATACTCGATGTGGGACTCACTGTAGTTAGAGATGTGCGTCAACCTGTCGTCATCTTCAACAGATGAATTTGCCCTGGCGCTGTGTTCGGACGAGAGACCTGCATCGCTTTTTCCTTCAAACTCAGGTTCGTCATTTGGCAAATCTACTTCAACAGCACCCAACGATGAGGCAGTGTCTTCAAACGCAGGAGTTACAAAATCTTCGCTGTCTGCAGAATGCTCATTGACAGGACGGATGCCTTCTGCATGTGCGACAACCTCATCATCACTTTGATTTTGTTCCTCTTCAAAATTATTTAAATCAGCTGCGTCAGTTTCTTGAAGAGGCACATCAGTTGAGTCAATATTGACAGGATTTGGGATGTGGTCATTATCCATGTTGTCTTGGGGGATTGAAGAGTAATCGTCAAGATGTAGGGAGCCAACTCCACTGGACTGCAGATCCGACCCAAGGTCCTGAGAATCGTGGGATTGGTTCAATGCGTCGTCGTCATCCATGTCGTCTAGATCTCCGAGGTCCTGCGACAGTGATCGGTCGTCCGTTCTCTCGCTCCCAGCGTTGAGGGAGTCCGCGTATCCTTGCGAGGAGCCCAGCATGTCGTGACCCTCTGTGATGCCGTTGGAGCTGCCTTGCTTGTACAGCCACTCCTGACTGGGGATGCTTTCCAGGGGAGAGGCTTGGGAGAGTGGATGGAGGGTTGTGATGTCTGAGGAATGAGTCTCATCTGTAGGGATGCTGATAGCTTTGTCTATATGACCCCGTGCTAAGTGAGGAATATCATAAGAGAAACAAAAGAAATATATATTTAACCTTTACTCTTTCGCTACGGCTAGCCACTCACAGCGGCTCAACAAACTTCCTTCTTTAAATGGTGAGCCACTCTCTCGATGTCAACACAATGTAAACTCTCTGTGTATTGGCGTTTGGTGAAACAATTGGCCATCTCAAGCAATGAAATGGCTCGTTATATACCTTGCTCACTTATTTATTATAAGCTTCCGCAAAAAAACTTAGAAAATTACATAGCAACCAACGTAGCAACTGGAGGTCAGTGTGCTTTGCAGGTGTTGTTCTGATACTACAAAGAGGTTTGGAAAAGTGCAATTCACTCATTTCAAATTGAAATAGAAATAAATCTGCATTGCTCTTTAGTATTATAAAACAAACTCGGTGATTAAAAAAAAAATGGAAAAGAATCAACAAGTAGCTAACAATGCAAAACTTCCATTGTTCAAAAATATCCACAATGCAAGCAATGGTCAATACTGTTCACATGAGGGCGGTATGACACATTCATGACAAGACAACATCTTTAATTTTTTTTTAACTCACATGTTAATTTTGCTGGGCCTGTGAAGGACATGTACTCCATTGTTGGGGGTGAAGACTCCACATCCTATGGAACAATTAAAGGGTTACTTTTTTATTTCAATTAGGAACTATTGTATGTACTGAGTGAAAAAAAGGAGATAGCAAAGTTTTGCATTTTGGAACAAATGTTGCCCCTGAGAGTAGTTATGACTTTCAATACTTCTTTGTGCAATGTGCACGTAAATTTCCGTGCAGTGCGCTGCTTAAAACACAAGTAGAAATGGCAAATGAGTGCCTGGAAATTAAACATACTTTCCAATTCTGTCATAGACTCATTTGATATGTAACAAGTAATTTGTTTATTGAAGTCAGATTATTATTAATGATAGACTGAAAAATGGTACTTTACCTCATCTAAATAGTAGCCGTGGCCGCCCATCCTTGCCCTGTGTCAAAAGAAAAATGTTAAATAAATATCATTTCAGAAATACTTTAAAAAAAAATAAGAGGCAATATTTTCTGAAGATAATTACTTGATGGATTAAATAATTGCATGCAGGTAAACTTGTGATGATTTTAAACTCAATGGTTGAAATAAATTCACTTGGACTTATTGAATGAATGTTTTTTTAAAGGCACATAATCCATGCTTCCAGAAAAATCCATTAGCTTGACTTCTCCCTGACAAATCTACTACAGAAAACTTGTTGCAAATTAGTTTTAAAAAACCTACATTCAGCCCTCAATTTGGTCTTCCAAAAACATTGTTTTCAGTATCCACAATCAACAATTGGCAATTTGAAAATGTGAGTTTTGAGTTTGTCTAAAAACAGACAATAGAACTTTTGATGATACACGGACTCTAGTCAGGGTTTCTAACCTTCCTCTTTTGTGCTCGTTGCCAAGGTGATTGACCACCATGAGAGATGACAGAGTCTGTGGAGCGATGGATACTGTGTTATGGCTGGCTGCTTGAGGTATCCTGGGTTTACTCTCAGTGGCCTGCTGGATAGAATTAGAACAGGAAATCAACAGATTGATTCGTTAGGCCCTACCCACTGTGCAACCGCCTGGCATCTACACATGCCTAACTGTAGTTGAATACCAACCTTGTGTTTGCTCCATTCGTATCGTGTGGATTGCTCAGTAGCAGTCTTTGGACGGTAACCAGCAGATGTTGAACCTGCTGATCTCAAATTGCGCTTCCCTGGTGCACTGCTTGCTCGGCTAGTAATAAACAATGTTGGATGAAAAGCTTTTTGAAAAATCACTTCACATATGCAATTTTCGAAAGTTGAAATTACTGTTAGAAATATCCCGACTGTTCATAAAACAGAGTAGTTAGACACTTGGAATTGGTGGAAATATTTTGGAAATTTGCAACTTGTGATGAGGATTTTTAGATAACACAATTATTGAGTGCAAACTTCCGAAGAACTTAATAACTTCTGATCATGGAAAACACAATTTGTTGGAGCACACTTTGTAATCTCAGCCCATAGTTTCATGTTAGTGACTGTGGCAAATCTGATTATAGTAACTACTTAATTAGAGTTTCTGGTTAGTCAATGATCCCTTTGCCCTGTTAAAAATTATCATTTCTCAAAAATCCTACACTGTTAGTTAACCTCAAAATTGAATCCCTTGCAAAATATAGTAGTGCTCTGAGTTCCATGTTAGAAGGAACAATCCCATAACGAGACATTAACCTGTGTGGGAACTTAGTGCAGTTTAAATGGTGCTTAACCAATGCTGTGATTGTGCCGGTGGCCAGTGTGTTGTGCAATCTTTATAAAGAACTCAAGTGCAAAATGTCACCTGTGTTAAATTCAATGCAGGTTATTATGAAGATAAAACAAAATTTTTTATTTTACGATTGTTGGTTACAATTGTATGTCTCCATTTTTAAAGTATTTGTTTGGTTTTTGAGGGTAGCAATTTCTTAAGTCGGGAATGGTGGAGCCATACAAACACAAGGATGTGAGAGGCTAACAAGCACAATTATCTTGTCATTTGGTGATATGAGTACGTTAGGTTTAAAAATCTTAGTTCAGTGCACACGCCTGACTTTTCTTTGTGGGAACTGTGAACCAAGAAAAACACAAGGGTGGAAGTGCTCAACAAGCCAATTTACCTGGGAATTTGGTAATATGTGAGGTTTCCGAATCCGTCATCTCTCCATCTGATGTCATTATTCAAAATTAATGATTACTATGGATTATAGTGTGGGCAGGATTACATCAGCCTATGAAAACATCTCCTCGTGATGAGATACCATTCAACACTCCAGACTCAAGAACCATTGTGATTGAATTTTAAGTCAATAGGTCTGTACACTAAACAAGGCATGTTCACACTCACCTATTAGACATTTGTCTGTAATGAAACAGCACTCGCTGTCAGATTTGGTATCATTAATTTACAAAAGTTTTTTGTTATTAAGTAATCAATTATGTTAACAACTTGTGAATGGCTAAGTGTTATGCATTATTGTACAGAAAAAAACACCTTTTTGCATAGAAATCTGTAAAACTTTGTATAGCAAAAATTACAATTGCTTTGTAATTTGTGGTACAAATCAAGGAGAACTGGTCACTTTTATTTATAAATTTGATGTAATTATACAGCAGCAAATTTCTGCTCAACAGTAAGCTGACAAGATTTATCAACACTTAGTAGAAACTTGTACTCACTTGTATCTCTGTTGGTCTGGTGTCACTCGTCCCTGCTTGCTGATGGCATGGGGGATGTAAGCTACCGTCTCGGGCCTGTCTTTCCTCCTGAAGTGCACCGTGTACTGTGAGGTCTCTGGCAGTAGAATGATTGGGTCGCCTCTCTTGTTACGAGGAGTGAAGTCTGTCGAGCTGTTAATGTCACTAAAGTTCAGAAGTGAACAGCCATGATTGTCAAGTGGGAAAATAAAGAATGAAGTTGAGTGAGTACTTAAAGGTTTACAAACACCGAAATAGGAAAATGCTACAAATGGTGCTGAAAAATGATGAATACATAACTACAAAAGATGGCTTGCAGTTGCTTCGGAGATTTGCACACAAATATAGGCACGTTGGATTTACTGAGTATATGAAGATCAGTGACACAGACACCTATGAAACTTCCCCCATATAGTAGTGGTCTGTATTGTATGACCCTGATGTAGCAACAGCCATGTTGGGTGGCCAAAACATCACTCAAGCTAGCTTCACATCTTTGCGCACAGCAATGTGCACATACACTATCCAGTTATTTGATTACTAACTCAGTGATTACTACACAGTAAAAAAACAAGCGCTGCCTACCTGCATGTGGACTGCCTGCTACTATTGGGAGGTGCAAACAAGACATTGGAGGATTCCTGGAGGGAGGTTCCAGACTGAGAGGTAGGGGGAGGCGGGGCTTGTTGCTCAGAGAGGGGAGGTGACGTGGCGACTTGCTTGGCGGAATGAGGGCGGGGATGGAAGGGGCTGATCTTGAGCATTGGCTGCCGGTAACCGTGTCGGGGTTCAGGGGTCAACTGAAAGGGTCAAAGAGGGTTAGGGTTTGTCTAAAAACTTGAAACTATACTGAGAATCCTGAGTTGGTTCAGTGTTGAGTCCAGGGCCTAATTTCATGGCTCTGCTAACAAAGAATTCCGCGCTTACAGTATCAACTCTATGCTAGCTGTGCTAGCAAAAAAAATACCGTACTAACCCTGTAAGCACAGAATCCTTAGTTCCAGGATATACACATGTACCTAACCAAAATTCCTTGCTAACCCGTGAAATATGCTGACCGCAAGCAAATAATTTCCTGCTACAGTAAGCAAGTTTTTTTCACTTATTGTAAGCATAGCCATGAAATTGGGCCCTGATACATTTATATTCTGTACACAACTTATGTTTTGAATAATTTAAACAGCTTTTATCATCATGGTTTTATGTGGCAAAAACATTATGTAATTGTCTACAGAAGTAAAATATAAATTGAATTTGGAAAACGAGAATTACATTTTCTTACCTTTTCCTTTTGAAAAGCTAGCTGGTCACCGACCTGGTCAGCCAAGTCAACCACTGACTCAAACTTCACTGTCTTCTCTCTAGAGGTCCCAGTCACCAAGCTGAAATACCAGGGAAAAATTAAGTCATTCTGCATTATAACCAACCATACGTTTTCTCTCAAAATAGAAATAATGAGTGAATTGCACAGAAGTTGACATACCCGTTTCTTAACTGTGAAGCCACGTCGTCGGCAATATATCCCCTTACAGAAGTGGACTGCTTGTTGGTGGTTGTGTCTGTGTATTTTCCTGATCGAGACGAAGGCCGGGGCTGGGGGCTGTGCCTCTCTGTCAACTCGTAGAACTGCTCAAGGGATGGAGAGGTGATGGCATCAGAGGGATGATGGGATACTGCTGCGGACAAATCAGAACCAAATGCTCATAAGATGGATTTTTTTTTTGATTTATAGAACCAAATGATTATTTATTAACGACAAGATCAATTAATCAATGTGAAGAAATAATCTGCTTCCAGATTTTTGGATCTAGAATAAACAGGATGCAGCTAGACTTACATTGAGGTGAATTCATTTGGTCGTCTTCGGCGTAGCTGGATATCATGTCCTGCGTGTAGAACTCTGGCATCTCGCCCCCGCCGTGACTGGCGTACCGCATGTTACTCGGTAACCCGCCATGTCCGTAGAATGACTGCATAGCAGCTACGTCCTGACCGTAGTCCTGCCTCTGCTGAAACGCCATCCACTTCTGTAAATTCTCTGCTTTTTTATCATCGGCCGTCATTGGACGGGACTCTCTTGCACTGTCAGCTGCAGAGAGAATAGAATTAACAATAGGCTTTATTCTTAAGGGCACTGTAACAATGCTATTTTAGGCATACAAACAGACATGTCTCCAAAGTCATTGACGTAAGTTTCAGCGGTGAGATTAGAAGAAAATGAAAAAAATAGCAGGCTATATTTTGAGCAAATGAGGATGCTGAAACAGAGTCATTTTTTGGGGTACAAACAACCAAGTCAACAAAATAAGGCACACAAAAAACTGAATAGGGCGTTAACTAAGCATCTGACAAAAATGATGGCATAGGCAAATTTGGAGTCATAATTTAAGATGCCGTATTAATTTCTAAACGTTGGGGTGAAGTGGCTTGCCTAAGGACACAACATGGTAATAATTTGACAGACATACTTGGAATGTCTATGTGCATCTGCAGCTTAATTGGCGACTTGCTCCTCTCGTCTGGTGACTGCCCTCCATCGTACAACTCCTCATCAAAGTGTATCCTAGCAATGGGATTCACCAGACTGGATATCGGGTGCTTGTATTTCAAGATGGCCTCCATGTCGGCATTGGAGGATTCTGATTGGCTCTCCAGACCCACATGAGAATTCTGGGGAGACCGGGGGCTGTTTGGGTCGGGCTTGGAGGACTCCGATTGGCTGTCGTCTTGCGGTGAGTGGGCGGGGCCTGATGAGGGAGCACTGTGATTGGACAGTGTGGAAGAGAGATAATCCTCTGGGGATACGTTGGTCTTCAGGCCTCCACTGAGGCTTTCCAGATCCTAAATAGGGAAGAAGCATGCATGTATGATGAGGCCATAACATATTATTACTTCTTCATCAAGGTATGAAAAGTAACTTGTAACATTTGACAACTGAACAAAAAAACAACACAATTTGTGTGTGTGTGTTAAGAACATGGCAGCCTTCTCAACATAGCTTCCAAATTACTTCAGCCAAATTACTTGTGCATGAAGTCAATGTGTATTCCCCTCAATTTTTACAAAAGGGAGAGTTAGGGAAACACATTGCCAACAAACACCTGAGCTCAGGTGAAGATGCTACGGTTTGCTGTACATTCAAAATAAAATGAGTCATGCAACTTTGTACCATAGGCGTATAAAACCATTGTCTGCATGAAACGTGTCCCTCCCACTAGTATGAACATCTTCATCCCTTAAAAATTCATTAAAAGTCCATTTCTCCGTGAAAAGAATCTTTAAGAGATGTTTCACGGACATTTACATGGGGCTTATATAGGACTAATCCTGTAAGGGTATTTTCACGTTTTTTTAATGACCCTGGCCACTGAGGATTATCATTGGTTATACATAACGGTACACTGGGTCTATCTCCATGGGTAAACAAAGGACTTTCTTAAGGGTGTTTTCACAGACTCCTAATCTTGCTTAATACGTTGACAAATCCGTGAAAATTTAGTTAACTGTAATTTCAAGGGAAAATGGTTCTTTAACAAATTTTTAAGGGATGAAGATGTTCATAGGCTGGGATCTTGAAAATAATCACAAAGCGCCATCTACTGCACATGCGCAGAGTTCATAAAGATCTGTGGTAGTCTATAAAACCGCTTTATTCTCAAATAGCTTACGCTAGTCTGTGCCTGCCTGATGAGACCCAGTGCTGAGGAGGGCCTCTGCATCATCTGGAGATCCGGGGAAGAGGTCGAGACGTGATCGTTGACAAACCCAGCAGCAAAGCTTACCTCATCCTGAGCACTCCCTGGTCTAGAGGATTCGGGGCTCTTGTGGAGACTGTTGCTCACCTGCACAGAAAAGAAAAGGGTGGTATGGACTCAGAATGGAAACAATTAAAACCTGTCTGTCACTGGTGCACTCTTTGATTTTGCTTCTGTGTGTTTTTTTCGAAAATTCTATCTTAAAGCAAAGTCACTACGGTTTAGGAAAAATGGGTGGAATACTGCTTTTTGTGCTACAGCTAAACCACATATTCCATGGGTCTCATTTGTGCATTTTGACAAATCTATACATGAAGTTATGTTGTCACTCGATGCAACAGAAGTGTCGAGAAGTATTTTAGAAGGTTTTAGAGCATTCGAATATGAATTTTGAGGAAATGTAAAAAGATTCATATAAAAAAAGAAATAGATTACAGATGTAACACGATCATTACACCATTTTAACCGCATTTGCTTAATATTCTGCATGCGTGTAAAGGTCAATTTATACTTTTTAACCACAAATGTGAGGCAATTTTGACATGATGAAAATATTCCCAGTTGAGTTTGCTGGCAGTGTTAAGCTTCTTTTGTAACTGCAGTAAAAATACTTGCAGCAATGTCACAATTTAATATTTGCATTATGAACTGGGCTTAACATCATTGTTCTACAATTATATTTACCTTTGGTCTGTGCAGCCCCGCTGGTGCAGTAACAGGCCTCATCCCGCCCCTCCTCCCATCCTCAGACTCCGCCCCTACCTCCTCAAGCAATTCTTCCTCCTCTTGCTTATCTCTCTGTCTGGATGACTGATGCCTCCTGCGGGCCTTGCCGTCCCCATCAAATGCCACCCTCTTATGCCGTCTGCGGTCATGAGGGGTGGAGTAGTACTTGAGGGCGTCGGGGGCAAACTTCAGGACTGGACGCTTGTAGATGTCTTTGGCAGCGGCACCCTTGAAATGCTAGAATCGGAAGAACCAAATTCACTCAAATATTCCATATAAGCAATATTCTCCATTAGGGGTGTGGAAAGGTGGACTGCCCTAAAATTATATGTCTCCTCGCTCAAGTTTCAACCCCCTGCTATTTTCCCACCATGCTATTTTTTCTTCCATCACCTACTTCACTATTAAGGTAACTACATAGACATAATGACTTCATAGATTTCCGATCATTAAAAAAATTGTAAAAGCATGATTTGAGCACAATACTGGAACAGAAATCTTTTAAAGTTAATATGACAAGCTGCTTGTACTTAGTAGAAGGGCTTGAATGTAGATTTGTTGTCTTCAAAAAGCATCTTCTGAAGGTTGCTAGTCAATTTCTATGTTCAATCTTTATAGAAAATTGATTTTTTTTTTTAATGGAATTATAGTATCTTATAAAACATGCAAAAAAGCTTTAAAATCCCTAACATAATGCCTCCCTTCAATGAAAGAGAACACCCCCGCCCCCTTCCCAGCACACAAAAAGAACAATTAAAGGCAAACTAGAAAGAAATCCTCATAGAAATTTATAAATCATGGACTAATCATTCTGTATAAAGGTATAAAATGCCTGCACTAAATCTTAATTTCCATCACAGATTTCCGATTTCCCAGGACAGAACATTGATGTCTGTGCAATTTCAATGCCATTTCATGTCATTCTAAGCCACTCGGCAGTAACCATGATGGCCAAAATATAAGCAAAGAAAACACAGCAATAAATTGCCTTTCAATTTACGGCAAAAGATCAAAACGCTACTTTCCACAGAGTAAACACATTAAGCAGCGGCAGGTTTTTCATTTTCCGATTTCAGCACTTCATACCGAATCATTCATCATGTGATGTCAGCCGTGCGGATACGAAAAAGCAAAATCAAGAGAACAATTTTCGAGACTAATGGCCAAATTGGCAGGACTTTGTCCCCATTAAAAATACGCTAATGCTGAGTTATAGGAATGCTGTCTTTTTATCGGATGTCAAAATCGCCTACACAAAATACAGTATGTTCACAATTCATAAGAGCTTTCCAGCACACGGCACATCATTCAGGATTAAAGGTACATCGTTTGCCCTTCGTGTTTTGTTTTTTTCATTCAGCTCAGTGAATACTATACATTTGGGGAAAAAAACAGGGAAAAAAAACACATGCACAATTATTGGGTCTAATTACTGGATTCTGTTGCTAATGCACAAAAAAAAAGTGTGGGAGTGGGCACACTGTTTTAAACCACCTTCAATTAGTCTTTTGAATAACGAAACAGTATCACTCCTAATTGTTTCAAATCTCAAACTTAATTTTAATCTATGGAATGGTTTAGTTCGGCACAACTCTAAAACACTAGTCTAAACAGGTGATATGAATTACAGCTAAAATGCTTAAGTTTATCAAATTATATACAGAAAAAACAAAGCTATACAGAATGTTCTGTACTTACAGGTTGTGAATGAAGTACACTTTTATTAGTCTGGTACCACTGGTAGACTTTCTTCAAGTCCTCTTTCTGTTTCATCCCCGTGGTGCTAATGGAATAAACAAACCAGCATTACACATCCAAATAAGTAGCATCAATTGGAAATAAAATGGCTTCTTTAAAAAAGGGCTACCACTGTTCATCCTGCATACGAACATGCATAGGGCTTGAATTTTAGGTAAAAATTCACTTGACTACAGGGCTAGTAGCTCAAAGATTTAACTAGTCCCCAAACCAGAAGTACTTTTCCAAACGGTTGATTTGACATTACCAATAAAGAGAACATCACCGGCTATTTCATAAGGCACACAGCAAGCAGTACACGTCTCACTTCAAAATGATTATAAGGTTGAACAAAGAAAGTGACTCAAGTAGGTTTTGAACCTGCGACCTTCAGAATATTAAGGTGCAATTAGGTGGGCTTGGGACATAAACATCAAATATAATATAGTAAGTATACAAATTTAATGGTCTCTATTGTCTTACATAGTGACTTCGTGCATCATGCGGACCAGGATGCGATAGAACTGTTGGTCCTCCCATTGCTGATTGAGTTGGCTGCGGTCCTTACACTGCAGTGAAGACAACTTGAAATCCCGATGGAATTTCTCTACCGCCGTTAACAAGGAGTTGTACTCATGGTTTCCGGAAAGCTGTCAAGGTAATATATCACATACAAAATGTTACAAAAAAAAGGTGAAACATGTTTATCTGTGATTGTTGGGTCTTGCATATTGAAAATATACACTGCAAATTGAGTTTCACGTTTTTGAATTGGAATTCCGTGCATGTGAATATCAACCTTTTCCTTCTTTTAGCACATAATGAAACACAATATTTTTAGGAAGGCAACGTACAGAGTGTAGTATAGACTAATGTGGGAACAAAATTAGAAACCATTTTTGAGGTAGCACCATGTCACATGTATACCGCACGCGCTCTTAAAGATGAAGCGCTCGTGCATTTTGATAACACTATTGGTTGAAGGAGCCGAAAAGGTGTGCGTACCTCCAGCATGGTGCCAACTAAAATGGTCATCACTGGATTAGTCTGTACAGTGTGAAATACAACGCCCTTCAAATAAAACTTTTTTTTTTTAGGTTTCCTTGTACATAAACGTAGTACATGCCAATCAATTCTCAATTTACACTGTGTTATTACTCCTACGGAACTATCACTTTACATTAATAAATACAACAAATACAGTGCCTTTCACCACATGTACAATGTACGAGCAGATTTCTACATGTATGTATATGAACCAATCATTTATGCGTCTAACACTGCTATTCTCAATGTGATCTCAAACAGTCAAGGTCCACTGAACCAAATGTTACTGAAGCTCAACATAAATTTGTCATTAAACCTCGTCCCACTCCAATACAAACAGCCAGAATGAGGACAATGACTATAGAAAACTGGGACGACAAATGAATGAATAATTAACTCTGCAATGACTGTCAATGTGGACGTACACAGTATACCCAATGAACCGCACTATCAAGGGTATCACACACAGCTCAAAGCTCCAAACTTGAAGCTTTGTCAAAGTTGATTGTTGACATTATACACAAAAAAGCCACACTTCACCTTCCACGGCACAATAGATACTGGGGCAATCTATGCCTATCACTAAGGCTCTGTTGCTAGGTAAGGCTGACTGAGCACCTTCAGCAGAATTGCACACAAACAATTTTTCAGGATTTTATAAACGATCAACAACTCGAAAGAAGTAAAGACAGCGGTTCGAATAAATCACTAGCTGAGGCTGATTGGAAGGAGTTGCTAAGCTATTTGCTTAGCAAAAGCAGGTTACCAGCCAAAGTGTCATGCAATCTTTATTGCTTGTGACTGGTTTCGGCTGATTTTTTTGTAATATGCAAATTATTTTCTGTGTCTCGGGACTCTAATCTATATTTTTCTCTTAATCCGATGGCAGCCATTTTCTGCAGTGCGCGAGTCATACTCAGGTAGTTACGCACTTACTCCGAACTCTTTTGACCAATAGGGTTACCAAATGCATGCGCCTTGTATTTAAGAATGTGCGTGAGCGTGGTACTGCCACAGTAACGGCCCTCTCTTGTTCCCACATGGAGTCCATTGTGACAGTGGGAATATTTTTTGCACCAGTTTTTTTGCCCTTGTTATCTGCTGGTTAATCGAGTAATATCGATATATTGATTCCGATCTTTGATTCTGGCACGGAATATTGCCCAAACCCAGTTATAAGTCATTTTTTTTAGGCATGAAATTGATGGAAAGCCATACTCTAAGTACTCCACAGTGTCTAGGTAATACCTCATCCAAATCTTGAAACCAGAAATGAGTGCTGGGAAAAGAGGCCCTTGTCTACTTCAGTTGTGTGTTTGTATTTGCTCAATCGCCAACCCAATATTTACCTACGAGACACCTGGCATTTGACACTAAGGCTAAAAGAGGGGTTAGGTCTCTGCTGTAAATGGTAGGCCTATAGGAAGGCAAGGCAAATATTCTGCTCTGTGTTATACAGGTTGTGTAACTATGCTCCAATTTACCTACATGTAAATTGGATCACGGAGCAAGGAAAAGGTCAGAATTTTTTTTAACAATACATTTTTTTTTTACAATACACAAATCAGGTAGACTGTTCCCGTTCCACTGTCGAAATAGATAACGTAGGGACTGGGATTTTCCCAGAATATTCTTCTGGGGTTTTCCTCCCACCTCTAAAACTGTAAATTCTTCTCATTGTCTCCTCTCTACAGGTTTCTTCAGGCTTGCGAGCTACAATGCCTTTAACACTTTTGAGGAATCTTTGGTTTCATTACCAGAGATAATTGATAATAGTATTTTTTTTAAATGTACTTAAATGAAAATCAGTTACAAGCCAAATATCAAAACTTGTTGGAGAGCACGGCTAACACATTTTCAAAGACCCATTATTTTTTTTCAACTGGAGTCAGACAGCCCTCTTCAATTTCAGCAGTGCAGTAATAGGGCTTAAATCAATAAATAAACACTGTTTGGGTGATTTTGCATAGCCAAAAAGCATTGTAAGAATAAGAAAGCTACAGATACATGTATTGTCCCGTTTTACTTCCAACAGTGCTTTGTTGCCACTGTGCAAACTATATTCAGTTTTTAGCTTAATCAGATAAAAGATCTGTAATTACTGTCAATTCATCTGTACATTTGTACGAATGCTCTGTGAATGGGCACATTTTCAAATGCACTGTCTGAGATAAACTTAACATTTTTTTCCAACCTCGGTTTGACATTTTGCGACAACAGAATGCAAAAAAAACAAAACAACAACAACAACATTTTTTTCCCAGATTTTAAAGTAAACTTTTAATCTGGAGATCACTGATAGCTAGTGTTTCAAACTGTTAAGTAACCATTTTTCAAAGGTCGGGGTAACAGAAAATCCGCATAATGGGTCATCATAATGGAGGAAATTTTTTAAAACCTTTGATTTAAACCGACATGTAAGTTTTTTTTTCTTGCCTTATCACATTTCAGAGGAGCATAAAACTACCAAATTTTGAGCCAAACTGCTCACATACATTGTAAGACTGACTATCGCATATCAAGAGAGTGACAATTCACTGTGTAATATCAGGCCCCACACTACGGAGCCAGGTACCCCAGCATCCGACCGCTGATGTCAGCTCCAGATTATTGGATCAGGTACCTGTAACCAACACTTTACAAATTACTCAGTAACTTCTCAGAAAATGAAAAAAAGAAATGTTTGAATGCCCTTTGTGCCGGGGGAATTTTCAAAATTTACAACACAAAATTATAAAGCCCTTAAAACAACTGTCAAGATTGGAATTTTGGGTCGAGTTTAGTTTTGTACCCTTGTTTTACTTCAATAGGGTACGCCGTTCCCGTACTACCCCAAACTGGGACTGTGCATAAAAAAGTGCAAAATTAGTAGGCCCCCTACTGACATTTTTTTTTACTCATTCCTCAAGATGCTATAGTTACAAGCATGTCTCCTGCGAAATTTGAGATCTTAAATATTATTCATAAATACCTCAGACAGTTTAGCTATTCCTATTGGTCGAGAGCCCGTCACGTGGCCGGTCTTAAACGGATGATAAAGACATGGCTAGCTGGTCTTAAACACTTTTCCAGTGTCACAATAAAATGTGGACTCCTAAAAATCCAGTGCCTCTTACCGTTTCATTGGTTGAACGTTCACAATCCTCACGTAGGCATGCGCAACACTACATGCGAGTCAGAATTTTATAGTTCTAAATTCAAAACGCAACGCCCCAAGTGCGTTCTGCGTGACATCGCGCAGAACATGCTACGCGTGCGTCAATCTCCATAAAAGGGTTGTTTACATCTTACTCGCCAGCTGAACACTCCATTATTTTGCTAGAGGGATGTTTCCAAAAGCATGAAGTGAACTTGTTGAACAAAATCGGGATTTTTTGAACGAATTATTTGATATTTTTTTACGGATAAGGTATTGATGAATGGGAATAAATATGTGCTCAGCTCGGTCGGTATTTATCACTCTGTTTAATACCGCTTAGAGTCTGGGTGCTGATAATTACCCTCGCCTCCGGCTCGGGTAATTATCAGCACCCAGACTCTAAGCGGTATTAAACAGAGTGATAAAAACCTCTCGAGCACACATTTATTCCCTTATTAATGTTATACTAAGTTTATATTCAACATTTTGATCATCTTTTCAACATACATGTCTATCCATTTTTTATCAAGTGATCAACATTCATAATATAAACAATTATAATTATAAAGTGACAGCCTACTCGTAAACTTTTTTATTAAACTCACCTTGGATTTCTTCAGCACTTTCAAGTCTCCTTCAAAGTTGGACTGCAGGGTGTTTCTGTTCATGATGATACCCGAGATTTGGCAGTCATTCTAGGCCTGCATAGTGTACAGTTTCCATATTCAACCACACTTCCTACAGTGATGTAATTAAGCCGGCTTATGTACTTGTTGTATGGAATGTGACGATGTTGACATTTTCATTCACCTGTGTTCACAGTCACGTCACACGTACATTGCACATGTATGGTCGCTAAAGATCAGGGCCATTTCGTCGCCTACTGTCTCTAAATGTATGCTAAAGTTTTCCTGTTTTCAGTCAGTATAAAGTCGACAGCAATCCCACTTTGTACACAAGTTCTGATCTGAAATAAATACACGTTTCTTGAGGTTTCTTTTACATATTTCATGAGTCCACCTGCTGTCCAGTAACAAGTGCCAAACCTCTATCATCTGGAGGGTAGACTAATACATTTTCTTTGTAGGGTAATGTTTTTAAAACATTTAACCATTTTTGAGATCCTTGTATCACTTCACTCATATTTAAATTAAATTTTAATACAATTATATAATCACTTCCAATTGTATCTGATTCAAACATTTATCTGATATTTAAGTTAGAATCTTTAAAAGTTTTTTGGAGGAATTGGAAAGTCTATACCTAGCTTACAGAATGGAATAGTCCCGTTTCCAGAACGACGTTTCCGTGTATGTCACGTGATCTGAACTTTGGACATCACTTGCTATAAACGAATGAGGGCGCTATATTAACATTATGGACAACAGACATCTCAAATAAATACATTTCACAGTCTGGTATTTCCGGATGAAACATGTCTTTTATCCAATAAAACACCTATCATGCTGATTTTCACCGACCATTGAGGTAAATGTAACTCAAATAAACCGACGTTGTCTTCCCAACATGGCATTTAACTTCGACCTGCATGTTTTCTTTGCAATAGCAATGCCTCCCCTCTCTATACAACTTCACTAAGCTACCCCTGCAAAGTGAACCCTCAATACACTACTGAATTTGGCTTTTTGTCACAAAATGAATTTATTTGGTTGGATTTCTGACACTGGAGTTTTACTTCCATTCCCATTACCCAATCAACCCGCCCGTCCTTTGCATTTGTTCTGGATAACGCTGCGACTGGACAAGTCTATGGGACCGGTTCGAACCGGTTCGAACCAGTTCCGAGTCAAATTTCGCTGCCCGCCAAAAAGTTAACTTCCCCATCTGTTTTCGTCTGCCGCATTTTTTAATTAAATAAGCAATTGTTCTAATCCAATCGAATTGATCAGATTGACAAACTCCGGGCTCTCCTTACACTTTTGACCAATTGCAATCGCCTGTTCGCATGACGTCACCAGCCGCCTATCGTCTGATTCTCAAAACCCTAAAAAAGTAGGTCCGCCAGGTTCGCTAGTTTGATTATTTTCTCCAGAAGTTTCACATTTTGTTCACATTCATGACTGCATTTATGACTTTACTTATGTTTCGTATTATTAAAAAATGTAAGACAAAATAATTGTGAAAAAGCACGAGCGGAGAAATACGTTTTGGACTATCAACACAACAAGTCACCACCGTACGTGTGTAAAATATAATGCTCGTCTTTTCTCTCCTATCTCACTCCGCGCAGATGAATTTCAACGAAAGAGGAACCTGGAAAGTTTTCTACTCCTATCGCGACTCGTGAGCGAGTTTTTGCATCCGTGTGGTGCAAAAAATGTCTTCAAATGTCATTAATTTCGCTCCGTCGTCGTTCTTTGGTATATCTGTAAATGATTGTTTTTCTCGGCCAGCTCAAGTCACCAATTTCAAACCACCTTCTCTCCGCAAGACCACATTACAAGCCACCGCATCAACACGCATTTCTCCCCAGCGGAGACTCCTTTCCGTGCATGCTGAGTGACTGGGCATGCTGGGTGAGTCGAGGTGTTTACAAACTTCAGTCAAGCTCCGAGTTCGGAGGGACCACAATTGTTCATTCTCCAAGCGTCACAAACTGCTTAGAACTGAACTTGGATGGAACTTGAAACAACCTAGGCCTACTGAACATGTTGAACTTGAACTTCTGTACCGTCAAAAAGTTGTCAATGTACTGTGGAGTTTTGTGAACTCGTACTGTCACGATTGCTGGAGATGCTCAAGCTTCGTGCAAGAATGGAACGGGAGAGGTCGCCACAGGGTAAGTTTGCAAAATATATATTGGGTACAAAATATAACTACAACTCAGATAACCGTTGTATTTATTCTGTATTGGCTTTTACCCTTTACCGACGTATTTTATAAACAAATATGCGGTTTTGTATCGAGTAATTGTAACGTTTTCACCATAGGCCTTATTCACAAGTCGGCCATATTGAATTGAAAGTTGGGTAAAATCTTAATTTTTTGAACTTGCGAAGAGAAATGAAAGCAACTTAATTTATAATCAATTCCAGTCTGCCTCAATAAATAATTTTAAATTTGTAATTAAACATTCCCTTATTTTTAAATCCATATTCAAAAAAGAAGTGACAGTAAAATGAGGCTGCATTGTGCCTGCATAAATAATCTGGCTCCACCCTTTCAACAGTCAACAATTAATGAAATAAAATCCGGTGAACTCGACAAAAATGGCCCCCCAAAAAAGGCGGTCGTGGGTTCGAGTCCGAAATTACTCGGGTCGACAGTACTGAGTAAACAGTGCTTATGAAATACGTCGGTGAAGGGCAAAAACCCAATACTGAATTTACATCACCCCAACGTAAAATTCCAATATTATGAATAGTTGCATTTTATATCATACTGCTGTAATTATATTGTAAAAAAAATCAGTGCAAAAACAACTAAGTTGACCATGTGGAAATGCCCTTTTTTGTGGTATTGTTGGACTGTTTTTTGTGTGGTTTTGTTGGACTGTGAAGATCAAAGTCAAGGGCCATGGGCTTAGCATTAACAATTACACATCTACCCTAAACTAATTTCAGGCCATTGTGTAAAGTATAACAAGTAAACTCCGAAGAAGTCTTCTTCGATTAATTTGCATACGAATAAGTCTGACACGTGCGATCACATTGTGTACTTACGTGCTGGCATGTGCGAAAAAAAATAGTAGGCGTGGCAACAGGTTCCGTTAATTTAATCCCTGAAAAAGTTTTGAAGTTATGCCAAGACTTTGGAACGCGGCCACTGTCCAGGTGCGGTTTATCGATCGACCTGGTAAACGCATTCTTACTGGGTGGAAAAAAATCGGCATGAAACTAGCCTAAGGCATATTGTGAAAATAATCAGTTGGTCATCAAACACAGAGAACTCCTAAATATCAATTGTGATAATTAGTATGGGTTTATTAATGTGCAACAGTATGACTAATTTTTAAATAGTTCTAAAAACTTCAAGGCAACTGTTTATACTTTGAGTCATTCTATACTTTCAATTTAATAAAGATATAAGCCATATACTTAAGGCAAAGGGTAGCATTCCAGAGCACGAAATTTATCCTGAGTAAATCCAAATAAATGACACTAACAACATGACAGCTAGACAGGACAGTCAGGGAAAGATACAACTTCACACCTTTAGGCCTATGTGCTATATGGAAGTTATATTTTATGGATTTTTTTTGTATATTGAACGGAGGCCAGTCTCCGTTCAAACAAAAGATATCGATTTTTGTGTTGCTCTGTGGTACAGAGGAGAGGCCATCACATTTTTAATAGCAAGAGGAAATCAGACACTATTGAAATCTAGACAATGGCTGGAATTTGTATCATTGTATCAATTTAAACTGTGGAAAAAAAGTAATCTTGACTTCAAGTATTATTTTCTAAAAGTAAGCCCGGTCTGCAAAGATCGGCAGCGACACTCGAGACACGATGTAACCTCCAGAAATATGTCCAGCCCTATTTTAGCCCTATGTCCGGCAGGCAGACACCTGTCACATTATGGCTCCAACCACCATTTTTGTCCCGTTTTGTATTTAAAAAAAAAACACAGTAAGTCCGATCTTCAATGATTGGCAGGTACATTAAGACGCCTTCAAAATGATTTTTTTGTTCAGCCTTGCCTTGAATTTTGAACAATAAATCTGATGTAGAACAATCGGCAGGGACACTTATGACAATTATGACACCTTTTGGCAGCCTTAATAGCTCCGATTTTGAAAAGCAGGCAAGATCTATTGGCAGATAAACCTGTGATACTATGTCGCCTTCAGAAGTAATTATCGAATAGTTAAGTCTGATCTACAACGATTTTGGCAGTGAAACTGTGGCATTATGCATGCTGCCTTCAGAAAGTTATTTTTAGCGCTGTTTTGAATAAATAAAAGAACGGTACTGACAAGAAGAAAGAAGAGCAAACAGGTTTATTTCCTTGAAATAATTGTGTGTTCTTTTCTTAGTAACCATACATTTGTACCGGTACTCATCTTATTACACATATTATGATGAAAAAGATTTAAACACAATTTTTTCACAGATTTTAAATTTTAAAATAAATTTCAACTGTTCTTAATATCTTTAAGGCTAATTTCTTTGAAATAGTTGTATTTTCTTTTTCAGCTACCATATACATTTATACCGGTACTCACCTTATCACACATATTATGATGAAAAAGCTTTAAACATAATTTTTCACAGATTTTAAAGTTTAAAATAAATTTCAACTGTTCTTTATATTAATAAGCCTGCCGTTAAACTTTGAACTTAGTTTCATCTCAAATTGTAGACAAATTTGGTAGCGATTTTTAGCACAGTCTGTCCATATTAATTGTCTTGGAAACGAAGGTTGAGGTATGTCTTTACAAGAAAAATTATACATAAATTTATAATGCATGATAGATGCATCATCATAAAAAAAAATTAAGTCAAGTTGGACTAAAACGTTTAGACATAGGTACTTAAACCATCTAAATTCAGTGATACTTATCAATTTGAAGTGAAAACAAATGGACTTTTGTAGTATAACACAAGACAATACTTTTCTATAAAAGCAGTTTCACACATAAAACACTAATTTTTTTCTTGATTTTATATATCCGCACATCACTCAACTCTTGAAAAAGGAAAATTTTATACGTTTTCTGATATTGTAGGCACTTTGGAATATAATTTACATACCATTAGAATGTTTAAACATGAATTTTAAATTAAATTGATATTTTCTTACAAAATAAGACAAAACTATTAGACCGGACACGTTAGCCCAAGTCGCATCTCTGAAATGGACCCTAAAAAACTGTTTTTGGTTCTGACCACTTCACTCTAACAAATGGTGTTGGTTACTCATAATTTCTTTGTGCTCTCGCTGAACACATTTTGTTCAGTGAGTGACCCACACCTACACATAAGCACATGGAACTCTGTAAAATTACGATGCATTTCCAATATTTAACGGTTTCTACTGTTTTTGCTTCAACACTGATGTTGAACAATGCCATAATGGTTATCCATAGTTCTTCCTAGATTTTGCTCAATGATTTGCACTGACATTCAATAAAAAGTTGATGCTGAGCATCACTTGCTTTTGGGTTGTTTTGGTTTCCTTACGTGCCTGTTTGTACTGCTGGTGATGACTCGGAAAGTGATACACTGCAAATAAGAAGAAGAAAAAAGTCACATATTTGCCAAATCATGAGAAACTTGTAAGCATGCTGAGCTTGGGCAAAAAGAAATGTACACAAGAACAAGGAGTACATAATATTTCAAAAATACTTAATATATGACAAGCTTTTTCGTAAAGAAACAAGACAAGAGAATTCGGGCAATTCAAAATGCGGTGCGCAAGCAAAAATTTGCCACGGAGAGTTAATTTTTCCCAGTGCATTGTGGGAGATGTTCCCAAATTCGCAGTGCAGGACATTTGAAATTGTTAGTTTTTCCAGTCAGTAGTTCCTGTCAGCATATGATTCGAGTATATGTTTGCCCTTTAATTTTCTTTTTATCAATATGGTGGTTTTTTGTAAGGTGGCAGAATGCCCGTGAGTCAGTGAGAAGACACTTAGCTGCCGGCCCCGCTGTGTCTTCCAAAAATTCATGAAGATACTTGCAGAAAGAAACTTGATACTTACATGATAATCCAGAAACTCTCTTAGCTTGTTCTTGGAATATTTGATGCCAGCATTTTTCAACTCTGCATGGAATTTGTCCAATTCAAGGGGCTGTCCGTGAGAATAAAAAAGAAAGAAAACTTATTAACTGATTACACTTGGTTTCTTGAAAAACAAGTTCTTTGTTTACTAAATCACTACAGAAAATAAAAAGCAGCAAATGTTAAAGTGGTCGTCTTACCTCAAAGCACAAAATCTTTTCATATAGAGAATGATTGGTCTTGATGTAGGTTCTAATGGCTTCTTCAAGGTTGGCAGCAGTCTGTAAGAAAAGAAAGGGTTTTTTTAAGCATAATTAAAGGAGTTTTCACTCCAAAGGGAAACATTTCTGTTAAGGTTTTCATACACTGCAGTCATTCCAAATTTAAAAAAAAAGACAGTTATCACTCCCTTGTCCAATAAACATACTTTGATGTGATCAGTCAATCCTATATTTTAGAAAAAACAAAAGTAGCAACAAGCACAGTTTCGTAGAACACAAAAACATAACTTTTAAAATATGAATAATTCACAATACAGATAAATGCCCACTCGTTTGTGTGATACTGCACATTAACAATAAAATACGAAGGATTTGCCCTTTTTTTGACATTGACAAAACAATTTGTGACACTTTGTATTTTGTAATAATTCAATTGCAATAGTTTTTTTTCAAAGCTTCTTGGTTGCTGAGGTCAACCTCACCCTCTGAGATGGTTCCAAGTAGTCCTCCTCCTCATCGTCATCGTCTTCATTTCCTTCAGGACATTCTCTGGAGTTGCCATACTCACTGAAATAAATACCACAATCATAGACATTAAAATGACAGGATTTTGACAATACCTCTGGGATTTGCTTAAACCTGTGCTCCCCCTTCCAGAGTTGTAGTCAGGTCCTCATTGAATCAGAAATCAAACAGAAGTCTGATGAAGTATCAAATCAGAAGTGATTCAAATTGAAATAAGACAGAGGCATTCCTTTGTCTTGGTTCATCCCAATGACTTTTGTGACCTCACTTGTGATTCTACAAGTGACTGACCTGTGATTGACTTTTGAATGGACTTGCAATGGGCTTGACTGCAACTCCACCTTTTCTATTCATAAAGTAAGCAGACAACCTCATGTAATGGATGGCTTTGTGACTTTACAGATGCACTGTCAGTGCTCTTGAACCAATTTAATTTATTTCTTGCAATAAATTTCATCATGTAGGATTTACATACTAAATAAGCCCCTATTTTTTTTTATTTTGGGCATCTGAACTCCTCTGAAGAAAGGCCTTTATTTTCGTGTTGCTTTTGCACATCAACAGACCTGCCCAATAAGCAGACTTGTTCAAGGTCCCTACATTATAGATCCTGATAGGGTGGGAAGGCAGGAGCAGTCTACCCTTCAGAAACTTAGTTATTGTTAGGCCGTAATGTCTCATTTAAAAGTGAAATACTTATGTTTCGCTTACCTATCATCACTATCTAAAGACTCCCTGTCCCCGCCAGCAGATGTCCCTGAACACGCCGGCCTGCTCACAGTTGCCGTCTCCACCTGGCTAGCCTGGCAGCCCTTGCTTCCTTGTTTCTGGTTGGATTTCTTATTTTTCCGGGTTGGGGATTTCTTGGAGGCTGTCTGTCGAGATTGAGGTTTGGAAGTGGTTCGCTTTGTGGCTGCTGATGGAAGCTTGAAGGTTGTTGGTCCTGACATGTCTGCGTCTGAATCGCTGTCCTCCAAAACTGTAGAGGAAAAAGACGACATGAGGGATAATAATGAAGGAAAACCTTTTTCAATGATCCAGTTAATTCAATAGCATCTTGAACCCTAACGAACCAGATCTTTCAGAAATCTAATAGGAGGTATGGGAAGACCTTTCAGGATTTAGGAAAGTAAAGACCTGGCCACTTTTACATTACATAGGCTTGGTTCATCTTGAAAGTTGAAACAAAAAGAACGCGCGACAGATTCCTGCTCCGAGGTTAAATTTCAAGGATTCACATTTCTCCCCCTAATTTGCCTCAGTAGTTTAAGTTGGTGATTGGAATGGAATTACGATAACTGGAATGAATGTCACAAACAAAAAGACCTGACAAGCAATACAAAACCAACAATATCCAACTACGGCCATTTAAAAAAAAAATTATTTACCAGACTCAGAAATACATTTGCTTATTGTAATATATTTATCAGGAATTATATACTTTAGCATGTTGTTGGATTCAGCTTAAGTAAAACATTTATCAACATATACCTTGGTGTGTGTAGCTGTAGATCTCTTTCAATTTCAGGCGGGCTTTCTTCTTGGGCAATGGCTTCACTCCAAACCTCTTGAGTTCATTCTGCAACGAGCGAAGTAAATATCGTTGTTAACTTAAACATTATATAATAGGTGTTATTGAATAAAAGTGAGGTTAATCATGTACTAGAAAGACAGCAGGGTCAATATAATTATGTTTTGAACCAGCTCATGCACCATCAGCAATGTACAAACCAAGGGCAGGCATTTCCTTCCCCAGGCCTAGCTTTTGTAAGCTCAGGGTTAGTGAAATAAGTAGGGAGTGAAATCCTTAAGGGCTGCTACACCTAAACCCAGAGCAACAAATCTCCATGTTCAGTACTACTGACAATTATTTTTGCATGGATATGTCACCTGTTTGGGAATAAAAATAATAATCTTCAAACTAGGTCTTAAGATCATCATCCAGGCAAGATTTGTATCATCACTATTGAGAAGGAACATGGGAAGGAATCCATGAACTACCAAAAAGTGATACAACTGTTGAACATTAACTGGCCATTTACCCCATTTGTCCAAACCAAATTTGTACTGTATAAGCATTCATTAAAGTGCATATGACATCTCAAATTGCTTGTACTAGTCCATTTCTGCCAAGCAGACTTTGCATCATGCGTTCACCCTCGGAACCACTGACGTTTTACCTTTAAACCAGGCGTGTTCATATCATCATAGTGTGGCATTGGCGTGACAGGTGCCGGCGGGTGGTACAACTTGTCAATTGTCTCTTTGTTCATTGGCTGTTTTCTGCTGACCACAGGTGTTGGTGGAACTTGTTTGCCAACTTCAGAACTTTTTTCTTCAGTGAAAAAGACAATGTAAAATCAGATTTGCCATTTTTCTTACCTTAAAACCTGCCTGTGGAATTAAAATAAAGTCTGCCTTGTCTGGAAGGTATTTGAAGAACTACTCAGATTCTCAATGTGCAAGTTAAATTTAAGGAGAATGGGCAAAACTTTAATGGCCCTGTTTCTGGCAAGGAATGCAGCAATAAAACCAAATTTGAGATGTTCAAAAAATGTGCTGTCAGGGACAGCTGCTTGTTACAGCTCCAAATTATTTAGTTCATCAGGATTTAATTTTGGGAAAGTGTGAGGACGGACTATGTTATTCACAATTCCAACAACTTCTCTTGCACTCATACCTGTTGACCATGGTTGGACTAGTCTGTTAACTATTTGGAACCAGTATACTGAGGTTGGTCACATCATTAGTTAACATTAGCAATGCTTATCATAATGTAGTTCAAGGATGAGCAGCATTTCATTACAAATGTCCACACCTTAATATTAACACACAGATGCAAGATTAGTCAAAAATCCATTACTAGTCAATCAATGGTCCTTAATCTAACTTGCCCCTTTTTACAACTGAAATCTCCAACTTACTTTGAGCTTGTTCGACATCGAGGCCTCCCCCTGTTCTCATGACTCCACCCCAGGCTGTTTCCTCATCCACGTGCCCTGCCTTAAGCTCAAACAGGAAGCTCTCGCTGCATCCAAACTCCTCCGCTTCCTCTCGCAGCTGCATCGATGTCGACAGCACTCCAACATAGTCTTTCAAACGCAAGGCCAGTTTGGGAGGCGAAGCATCCTCTTCTGAACTGGAGAAGTTCTGGATGCTCAGGTTAACCTGGAAACCCCTGCGTGTCCCCGATGCAGACTTGAGGGGGTTGGGATCTGAAGTTGAGGGTTTCTGTAGGCAAAAGAGTAAATATTCCTTCCACACTTAGATGCAGATTGCTGGTTTTAATATTGCTGTGAGAATATTTATAAGGCATCTTTAGAAGATTTCATTTAACCTGAATACCAACATTTTTCCAGTTGGTTGCAGCAGTAGTTTTGGGTAGAAACTAACTATTCTTGAGAACAAAACTTCACCTGAACACATTTTTCAGATGTCAGTATCATGGACTGTAAAGAAATAAGAATGAGCGTTAGGTGGGAATTAGAAATTACTCACTTCTAGATGTGAAACTGCACCTCCACCCTTGAGCGTGTTTGTCTTGGTGTGAGTCTTCTCTGATGCGATGACTTCCACCTCTACTCCCTCCGGGCCCCTTTCTCCATCTGAACAGAAGCTGAAGTCATCCATGTAGCCTCCTCCATCATCTCCAAAATAGGCAAACTGATCCTCAGAGGCATTCTGTGCTAATGTTGAGGGCGTGCTCTCCACATCTGAGGCAGACTTTTGAGACAAAGTGAAAGATTGAGGATTGCTTCGACTAGCAGCGTTTTCAGTGTCTCTTCTTCTGAAGGGATTCTGAGACCAAGATTTTGGCTCTGGGGAATTTCCAGGAGATGACTGACATTTTGAGTCCTTGGCAGGTGACACTGGTAAAGAGTATTCTTTGAGAGATCCAGTAGTCTCAAGGACGGAAGCCTTGTCTACTTGGATTCTAGGCGTTGAGGCATCATGGAAAGCATCCTGACTAATCTCTGCCTCATCACTGGATGGAGACTCTGGAGAGTATCTCGTTGGGGACAGCCCAACACAGAGCTGTTCAGGCCAGGACACTTTGTCACTTCTCACAGCAATGCCTGTGTTTGTTCCATTAGATCCTGATCTGCTTGATCTGAGAACTTCTCCATTTTCTTCCTCATTGGAGACAAGGACAACATCATCTTCATCTGTGGTGCAAGCAGGACTGAGGTTTGTGTTGATGACAGTATGGGGAGGTCCATGAGATGCTATAGCTAGACCCTTCGGTCTCTTTGATGGTGCTTCTACATTTTCCCATTCAAGGTCTTCTTGCTGTAACTTCCTCTTGCATCTTGTTGAAAAGCTTTCTTCCCTGGCACTCCTCTCATCCACAATGGAATCGTCCAGGTGTTGGTGCTCAGATGAATCTGACACTGATTCCTTTGCTTTCAGAGAGCAGACCGAACCAAAGGTTGGAGAGGGGGGAGGTGAGGGAGAAAGTGGTGCAGGGGGAATGGAACTTACAATCACTGGAGTGTCAGCATCAAAGCAGTCTGGTGTTGGTCTCACTGGTGTGCCTGACAAGGAGGGAGAGTCTGGTCCACTCTCCTCCTGCACAGAACTGTCTTCTTGAGTTGCCTCAAACACAGTTGCTTTGCTGAGTGAATTGGTTGTGCTTGTGGCCCTGATGTCTTTGTCCTTTTTGGAGAGAGAGTTCTTTGACAGCAATTTTAGTACTGGGCTCCCATCATTCATGATACCTCTCCCACTTTTGTTAGACGAATCAGATGAGCGGCTTGTTTCCTTCCGAGTCAAAGCACCGACTCTCTTGCCTTTCCCTTGGTCATCATTTGTGCTCTCCTTCACAGGTGATATTTTAGGAGAGATACAATCATGACGGTTGGAGACCCCTCCAGCACTTGTACCAAACATGGGAGTTGAAGAGTCTCTGATAACATCAGCCTCAGCCCGGAATGCAGCAGGTGTCTCAAGAATTGTGGCAAAGGCGTCTGATGACTTGGGCTTTGTTCTTTCCATTCTGTAGACAGCAGGGGTCCCGAAAGTGTTAAGTTCCGTGGGTTCAGTTCTCACTGGTATTTCTTTAGTATCACCTTGTCTGTCTCGCCTTCGGAATGTGAATTTTAGTGGTTTGAGAATAGGGGGCTTGCTGGGTGAGGGTTTCTTGGTAGGGAGGTAGGTCTTTGGTGGGTTGGATGTAATCTTGGTCCCTGACAGGGTTGGGTCTGGTGAAAGAGGCACTATTATTGGCAAATCCTCATCTCTGTCTTTATCACTGAAATCCTCTTGGACGGTGTCCTTGTTGTTATCAGTGCAGTTGCCTTCCTCAAGACCTGATTCAACAGATTCTATCTCCTGATCTTCATCATCCTGTGAGAGATCAATAACTGCATCCTCCCCACTATCTCGACTTTGTTCCTTGGCATCCTCCGAGACGCTGAGCTCTGGCCCTTCATCAGAGACCATCTCCTCTTCACTGGGGTGTCCAGAGGAGCGACTATCCTCAGGCCTCTCTGAGACCTGTTTTTCAGGTTGGCTCATGTTAACATTCGGCAGTGACTCATCTTCACTTCCAGATGAGCTACAGGTACCTCTTCTATCTGTTGGCACTTTCACAGTAGATTCTACTTCATCCATATCACTGACATCTTTGCCCCTTTCACTAGAAAAACTCCCAAGAAGATCTGCACTCTGATTGAAAGCGTTTTGATCTCCTTCCATATCTATTTTTCTAGATTGAACAGTTGAGGGCTGGTCAATTTCTGATTCCGAAGTCTGAGACACATCCAACATCTCCACATCGTCCTCATTTTCATCACAATACTGGAAGATGCTATCACCTACATCTGCGAGAGTTGCATCTGCCCCCTGATGGATGCTACAGTGTTCACCAGGGATTTGTGACAATTTTTTGGTATTTTCTTTCAGTTCATTTAGCTCTGGCTGCCTGCTTTCCATGTGTCCTGTTTTTAAGTTACACTGGAGCTCTAAACATTTTCCAACAGTGGCTGTAGTGTGTTTTTCCTTCAGCGGGGAGACTGAGAGATCATTTGAGAGCCTCTTCACATGCACAAAGCACGGTGTGATCAATTCTGATGAAGAGTTGATGTGCTCAGCTACTCCATTTGAACTTCCATCAAATTTTTGTCTCTTAGCTGTTTGTTCTTGCAAGACATGATCTCGGAGATGCTTGCTGTTGACATCTCCTAGCTCAGAGGATACTTCATTCGTCTGAGATCTTTGGCTCTGGGGCAGACAGCTGCTCTGAAGCTGCTCTACGATGGTGAATGATTGTCGTCTGCAGTTTGCTGACACCTTTTCTGAGTTTTCTTCATCCACTTCTCCACCATCATTATCTACTTCTTCTTCATCCACTGCATTCTCATCACTCTCTGCATCGCCAGAGTCTTCAGATTTCTTGACGTTGCTTCTCTGACTGCGCTGCTGCCTCTGCGTACTGAAGAACTCATAGATCTCATCCAGTTCCTTGTCATCAGGGACAATGTCTTTAGCCTCAGTGTCGCTGTCTGTATCCGACACTCTGTGAGAAAACCTACGCTTTGTTTGTGAGGCAGGTGCTTTCTGATTCCCATCACTGTCATCACTTGCGTCATCACCGTCCTCTTTGTGATGGTCGTCAGTTTCCTCATCGCTACTATCCCATAGGCTTTGTATCAGGTCATCTAGACCCCGGTTTGCAAAGAAATCCTCGTTTTCCTGCCCGACTACCTGTGTGCTTCCTTGGGGACCTGAAACCAAATCTGATTCTGACGACTGTACATCCCTCTCAGATGCTGCCCTGGATTTGTCTATTTCGTTGTGAAATTCGGAGCAGATATCAGACAGCTTTGGTAATGAAAACCTGCAGGAAGTACAAACACAATGAGAATAGTGGTCAAGAATGACAAGATTTGCAGAATATGTTAATTTATCTTTTCATCAATGTTTTTGATATTTAGGTAAATAACTTGTTTGGTTGCCCTAATATTTTCTGGTCAAGTTTCCACAGGGATTTACAAAGAAATGACAGATACATATCCGTATTTTTAACTGGGCAAGTTTGGCCGGTACGTGAAACCATGCACACAGATGAAATGAGAAATTTTGCATCAAATTAAGAACAAGTGGTTTATAATCTTTGAAGGTATGTTCCTGGAAGGGATATTTTTTCTAGGGAAATGAATCCATCAAATGACAAAAAGATTTTTTTAATTGTTAAAACAACTCACCTTTTAGCAAACTTCCAGACTTCATCCGCTGTCGAGCTGGTAACTGTCCCCCTCCCAGAGTAAATAAAATGCAGTGCACAGAGGAGGCTACCATGACTAAAATCTCGTAGATCAAGGCTCTTGGCTTGACTGCTACTATATGAAGGGCTCTCTTCAATCAACTGTATGATACAAAAAATTGCTGATGACATTTCTGCCTCTTACAGAGCGACTAAGCAACCATTTGTGCTAACCATGGGAAAACAAACTGTTTTTAAAGGTAACCAAAGGCTTAACCGACAAAAGTTGAATAGGTGAATTACCTATCATATACTTTATATTTGAGATGGGAAAAACAGCTCCAATAAAATATCTGATATTTCAAATCAATTAACTCTGACATAAAATCTGGATTTCATGATACCTTTAGGGCAGAACTGACACTTACAAAATAAAGCAATTGTATTTCCCAGATCAAATTAGAATCTGTCAAATTCCTTGCTAATAAAACGTTTTCTGAAATAGTTGACTAACAGAGGTTCTTGCTCACGGGAGGCAGACTCATGAAATCGGTGTTTGTTCGGCAAGTGGTTGCTGGAGACAGATTTACGATCAAATCAAGTACCGGTATATAATTGGCCAATGAGGTTTGGGATATGTCTAATCTCAATTCCCTGCCAAGAATGCTAGTAATATCAACCAACCTTATACAAGGAGGGACATCTAAGCTTGATCATAAACTGATGAGCGTAGATCACAGAGCCGTCAGATGTCACAAGATGGAGATCGCTTAGATCCTTGCTGTTCACTAATCCAGCTAAGCTCTGAAGAATTTCCATCTGATGCTGATTGACTGCAATCATGCTTTCCTTGAGGATGGAGAAGAGATTAAAATAATAATCAGCTTCCAAATATACATTTTCTAAAATCAAAACTGAATCACAAGGCTGACAAATGGACCTTATTTAAAGAATTTTAGACTTAAACAAGAGCAGAAAGCAATTTTTTTTCAAATCAATTTACGTGGAATGGTCACCCAAATCTGGGACCCATGCATGTTCTTAAACCATTGTGGTCATCATAGCTTAACACAGGCGTCAAAAATTGAACACCATGTTGTTTTAGATTTTCCATTTTGAAAGCACCAAGTGGTATTAATGGGGTCACCGTAATGTTAGATAAGTTATGGACAAGTTTATTTGCAGGAGGCTCAACATTTCAGGTGTTACTTGAAGGAATCTTAACAACTTCACCAGAAATCTTCCCAAAATGAACATAATAGCAGACAGATTCTAGAGAAATTGGTTCAGATTCTGCAACTACATGTAGTACCCAGCACAATGTGCCTATCACAGATAAATTTGTCCACTATTTATCCTGGGTATTTTAATGAGATGACGCCTACACTAGTTTATATCATGTAGAAAGAGTTTTGATGAGTTTCCGAAATCACATATTGCTTAAGTGTTTTGACTTGACTATTAATGGAGAAAGGCAAACCAAATAAGATGGCCAAAAAAATGCTGGGAAGTTACATGTAGTTTTAATCATACCTCATTGTCTTCTTCATTCAAATGCTTGGGTTCCTCTCCTCCTGCTTCTGCCTCCTCCTCATCAGCAGGTATGAACCCACTGGCTGTTATCAGGCTACGGTCACTGGACTGTGTGGCGCAAGCAGGCAGGGCACTCTCAGCAGCTAGGTCAGCCAGGATCTGCACCGTTCTGCCCAGGGCTTGCGTGGCAGAGCCTTCCTGACTCGGAGTTAATGATACATTTCTGGATGATGGTGCAGTCGTGTGGGGTGTGCCTTTGAAGGGGGATGTCTGTAGTTCAGAAAAAGATAAATGACCAATACGGATGGTTACGAAGATGAATCTTTTCCCATGGGTCATATGTGAAAGTTGTTTATTTTTGCTGGTTCCAGGGACGGCCAGCCTAGTGTCCTCTTTGTATCTATCTCACTGCCCGACTGTCACTTAGATTGGTTGCAGACTGCAAAGAGAGCCGTGAAGTGCTATTGTATAGGATTACCTCGTAAAGGCAATGTGAAAACCATTGTGTAGACCAGTTGCATGAAATACTTCTAGTAAACAGCCATAATGAATCAACTGAATACATTTCGTACGCTCCTACATGTATTAAAAAAAAAGAGTTAAGGATAGGGTGCCACTAATTCTTATTTGGCATTAGTCCGTGATAGTCTTCTGATTTATTTCCCTCGGTAGAAGATGAGGAAAGAAATTAATATTTTGGAGGAAAACCCCCAAAATTGACATTCCATGGAAAATGAACAAATCAAAATATGGACCAAAAACCCAATCCACATGTTGACCTGGGCAGGAATCGAAATTGGGTCACAGAGTTGGAAGAAAAAGAACTACTCCAAACCAATCCCCAACATGTCAAAAAAAGTCATCACACGGCTGAGATTTAGTTGACCAAAAAGACTTCTTTTAAGCTTGAATTATAAAGTATTTTTCCTCTTCTTTTCTAAAAGCTAAAAGTTAAAAACAGGTGATAACACATGACATTTATTCTGATGGAGTGATCACTATGGCCATGATAAATTGGGGAAACTTCACAGAACAGATAAGAATTCTTGTACTTATTCACCTTAATTATGGACATATTTCTTTATCTGATTTCTGAAGCCAGTGATAAATGTCAGCCAAAAAGATTTTAATATTGTCTCCCACAAGGCAGCGCTGTTGAATTGTAATAAATGGGTTTCTACTGAAGTGCACTATTTCCTTTCATTTGTCTAGTTGGATGCAATCTTTGTACACTGTACCAAGAAGTCATGTCTTCTGTAGGCATGCTTTATGGACCAGTTGCCCCAGGATTCATAATGGTTTATTTGCTCACAAAATCTATCAACCATATTGCATGTACATGAAAGCAGCATCATAAATTATACGATTGTTTTGGACAAGCAGTCGTGCTGTGGAGGTTCTCTTTGCTGGAAGACATGCATATTTTACCGGCGATCATGCCATGCAATATGAAAATCTGGCGAGTAGTTTTGAACCTGAGATATCTAAGTATTATACACAGATATTGGCTTGTTACACAATTCACCAATTACAGTGAGTCTCTGCAGACACCTGAGGCACAGAAAAACAGTGAAAATTCCTGAGGAAAACAGACTGGAGAATTTCAGATGAATGGGAAGATAGGATTCCATGAACCAATCTACCGCAATGGATAATCAGAGTAGAAATGCTTCATCTATTGACACAAGTTCATTCCTGGCCACACCTGCAGGAGTTGTATACATAGCCTTCTTGGTGGTTGATATCATTTTGAATCTGACTCTCAACCTCTTCAGCCTGATCGTGCTCTGTCGTGCCAGCAACATCCAGCCTGCTGCTAAAGTCTTCCTACGATCTCTGACAGTCTCGGACCTTTGCATTGCGCTGTTTTACGCACTGCCATTACTGATCAAACGGGTTGTGCCGGGTCAGATCTTTAGCCAATCAATGTGTTATTTTGAGATTGTCTCTGGGAGCATACTGTTCAATACAAACATTCTCTCGTTGTTGTTGTTGACCGCCGACCGGTACATCAGCATTGTGTACTGCCTACGCTACCCAGCTCTCATGACTGTCGGAAAGGCTCGGTTGTTAGCCTGCCTTCCATGGGCTTTGTCTATAACCTATACCGCAATATATGTTGCCATCATTCAACCAAAATATTCACTCAAGGATAGCATATGCCGCTACCTGCAGGAAACCACCAACATCAGCATCAGTATTGTCATCATTCTCACCTCCCTTGTCACGATTTTAGCTCTCTACGTTCGCATCGCCATGATAGCTCACCGTCACCAGCGACGCATAGCCCAAGAGAACCAAACAGCCTGGGCCAACCCCGTGGTGCCCTTGCGCTTCCGGACCAAGTCTCTTCTCACTCTCCTTATGGTCACTGCTTCTTTGGTGGTATGCTGGCTGCCGGAGGTTATTGCTTTAATGGTGGCTAAGACTACCAATAACTATGGTGCCCTGCGCTGGACATTCCTGATACAAATTGCCAATTGTTGGCTTAATACCATTATTTACTATCTCAGAAACAAGGACATCAGATATGCTGCTCATAGTATTCTATCTTCCTGTTTCAGTAATTGAGCAATTTCAATGCAAACCTGTTACCAAATATCTTGAAAAAAAAATCCATACCAGTTTGATTTTGGAGCATTTTCAATTCTTGTTATAAATCTGAAAAATAATAGATTTACTACTTGCTGTTTTAATTTAGCATTTAATAAAATCAGGAACGAAGATATTTATCGTTTTTTTAAAATGCCATAAAGAATTTTCTTAAGCTTTGTTCTTGTGCATTTACATGCAAGCAGGGCTACATGTGGAGTGGATTTCGTGCAACTATTCCCACAATACTGAATGGTTTGACTTATACATGTGGTGAGGTTACATGTATCTACATGTTCAAACAGTGAAATGTTGTGCATCCGAAATGTCTGGAAGTGGAACCACAATGTACATGCACGTGTTAATGCACTAGGTAAGGAATATTTAACTTAGTACAAGGTACATGTACATAACAATCACTGTCAGAGGTATATTTATCAAGAAAGCATCATTTTCGTACAGCAATTAAATTACTGCATAATAGTCAAAATGCTTCTTAAGGGTTTTTCTGGTTTTACATATTTCAGACTTACACATGTATGCAGTTTTGAAAAAACTAAGCTGACATTTCAAAAATTAAAAGTCTATGAACAATGTACATCAGGTAAAGAACAATGTTCTTTATCAGCATGACATTTCCATAGAATTTCCACAAAGTAAAAATAATCTGAAATGAAAACCACCTCTTTTGTCTTTGACTTTGATTAACGAATTGGATTATAACCAATGCTATAATCAATCTGCATAACATTGTATGACATTATGTTTATTCACTGATAAATTGATAAAACAATAGAGTGCTCTGGCAGTTTCAGGTGCTATAACTAGGCAGGCAGTTTCGGAGAGATATATTAGTGACTAAAAGATTAAGAACATACCTTCAAAAGAGATCAAAACATATCATTTTTTTAACAAAAACCATCTGTTTGTGTACATGTGGGCGTACGTCCATTTGGCTTACAAAAGATACATGTTAAAAAAGAATCACACTGTCTTATTTATAAATACTTCAGGCACTATTATATCAAATGTACATTGGTGATACTAGGACTATCAAATTGTGATTAACTTGTGATTAATTGAGTGATTTATTAGGAAAGTTCCTCACTCTTGCAATGTCCAATGCCTTAAAAACTCAACACCCAAACTATTGGACTCTGATTATGAGGGTATGCCTGACCCCATGTAAATCATTTATAATGTTTACTAGTGTAGTACTCACTCTAACAATCAATAAAACATGTAGTTGGATTTTGATGGGTTGGGGTGGTTAGGGTTAATGGACCGTACTGGAGTCGGCCACATGCCCACGGTTAGTACCGTGTACGAATGTGAGACTTTTATCAGACATTTGGTTGCAAACCTATGGATGTGAATGACCAAAACATCAAGGAGTGCAGCTTAATGTAACAGTCTATTCTGATTGTCAGATGCAAACGTGTGGTTTTAATTCCTTCGGTTAGTTTTAGTAATAAATATGTCTTTTGTGTTTTTTGTAATTTTTGTCGTTATTATATCATATTTTTATGTAATCCAGGGAGAACAGTTCATTGACAACTGATGGGGCTACCCTGGTAAAAATAACATGAAATAAATAAATAAATAAATAATAAAATCAAACTCAATGCAAACAACCACTTGAGTAGTTAAGAAACAAATGTTTTGCCATCCACTCATCTATAGTAGGCTATTCTCTAAAAAAAATAAAATAAAGAGCAATGTCCTTTTCATTTGTTTAGTAACAAACACATTTGTTTACAATAATCTTTCAAATTTTGTTGTGCAAAGAGAAATAACAACATACCAAAAAAGGTGATGACAAACGAGAAAAGCAAACAAGCTCATGCATTGTTTTGACTTGATTTCTCAACATGCCTATTAAAATCTACTTATACAGTTGAAAGTGGCTCACTTACGTGGGTTATAAGCTCCATTCAAAATGTACTTCTGACCAAGGTCGCTCACAATTCACGGGTAACACATATTTCCAAATGTGTACTTTCACATATAAAACACTGTATTTGACTCTTGCAAACAGTGCATACAATTTATAGGACAGAGTTTGCATCAAAGAGAAGTAAATTCAATATTGGCTTTGCCCTTCACCAGCTCATTTTTATAAACATGGTATACCTGCAAGCTCTCGGACAACACTAAGTCTATAGTGCTTATAAAACTACGTCGGTAAAGGGGAAAACCCAATATTGAATTTACAGTTTTATGAAAAAATTAATATTGCATACACTCCTTATTGTGCATATTCACATATGGAAAGTCTATATGCAGCCCCTGGGGGTTTGAACAGATGTGCCAGGTTAACTGCTGCCTCATGCAGCATTACTGAAATCATCTCACATTTCCATCTGTTGGTTCTCAGTGGCTCACTGCATGGCATGTTACGCACCATTGAATTATGATAATGATCATAAAAGTACCCTGGATTTACCTGACTCTAACAGGTTTTACCTGGTTTGTACAAACAGCTGTTTGTGACACAAGTACATGTAATGTACACAATGTGAAGTACATGCAGTTCAAGGCATTGTGTACACCTGAGGGTGCCATGTTTTGTTATACCATGGTATTAGTTTTGATAACTATTTTGAGCCTTTTAGAAGTGATAATTGGATGGCAATTCTGGATGCATTTCTAATTTTGAAGTCTCCATCTGTCAATATGTATTTCTGTCATACAGGTGTGTGGTGCGCACTGAGATGCACACGCCCTGGGGGTACAATATCTACTTGTGCACAGGGTCTATTCTAGCTATGCTGTATAAAAGCAACAGGGACAAAACTCTTCAAAAGTCTTTGAGAATATGCGGATGTTTATTAATTGACCCATACACCATTGGTCGTTAGACCATTGAACAAAGGGCTAGATAATAACAGATTTTGTGAGGCTGTGTTCTGGAAAGGGCTGTGTTCTGGAAAAGGTTAGTGTCAAAACCAAACAAGTCTTTACTTTCTGCAATAAAAAACTCCCAAATATCTTACCTGTTGGTTGAATTGCTCTTGGCTGTGCTTTCCGGGGGTGGTAGGACCCCCTACTGCATTCGCTCGTCTTGAAGTCACCCGTTTCTGAGGGGTGACAACCGGCAACAACCGGTGAACATAGAACGGTGTCTGACTGCTACTGGTACAGTCTGATGCCAGACTCCACAGGGGTAAGGTCTGGGATTTCTGCCAAGTGTAAGAGAGAAAACAATAATTTGGGGTCAAATTCATGTTCAAATCTAGTGAAATACAGGGGTAGTAGTCCAAAATTGGAACTCTCAATACACAAAGCTTTTATCAGTTACCGCTGGCTGTAACCATGTAGTTTTGATGAAGCCTACAAATTGAACTTGATGCTTTTTTACATGGTGCACATGGATCAAGCAAGACCCACCCACTGCGCACATGGGGAAACAACACGCACGCCTCTTCAATGCAACGCTGCATGTTTCAGCCACATGCATCATATGCGCATTCATGTCGGACTTTTGTGTACACATGTTGAACATTAATCAATGCTGTGATTGGTCAAAGGGTCATTGGGTGGGGCTTAATGGATCAGCTATTGCTCAGAACATCAATTTACTTACTTTAAGAACTTGGCCTTCAGATGACTCCTTCTGGTCTTCATCTCTTTGTTCTCGGTGAGTTACAGCAGCTGCAGCCTCTGCGAGATGAATGCATGTTCTCGGTTTCCATGGTGACGGCTGCCTGTGTCGCCTGGCAACCTTGCTCTTTTTCAAACTCGGAGTCTTCTGGACTGTGGCAACCTCCTGCATAGAAAACCAAAGTTCAGAAATCTGTAGTTTGGCGGAAAATCCCGCTTTGCCCTGTGCACGGAGCCTTGACTTACTGCCTACACATGTACCATGAAAATACATAAAAGAAATGAAAGCGGAGCCAGATTAATGCACATTTCGTGTAGATGCTGTCTGAACAATTGAACTAGTAACATCGAATACAGAGCAATCAACAGCAACAAATGGTTTTCTCACAGTTTTTAAATTATGAAAATCTGACAATACAATGCAGATAGAAATGGTACTATACATTAGAGAACTTTGCACTTGTAAACATAGGCTGCTGCTGCTGCTGCTGCTTGCTGTTGTTGTTGCTGCTGCTGATGATGATGATGCTGGTGGTATTTTTTTAAACCGGGAAACGGTAGTAAGAAAGAAATTGCTTTCACTTTCATTTTGCTTTAACCTTCACTTTGCTTTTACTTCCACAAGTTGTTCTCCTATACTCTTCCACAAATTCAATTTTTTTTCTCATGACCATTTTTTTATTTGTATGTTTTATTTTAACAAATCATCTGCACCTCTCTGCAAAAGGTTTTGTTTTTGGATGCTTTGGCGCCTCAACATTAAAAAAGACCCCCCTAAACAGGCCAAAATAATTTGAAATTTGTACAGTAATTTTTTCATAAATAAATGCTATAGCAGATTATTTTTAATTTAAATGTCTCATTTAAAAGTGAGTAACCTTTGTATCGCTACAAATTTACAAACCTTTAAAAACTATCCTTAATCAAGATTTGTTGAACAATTATTCCATAGCTAAAAGCTGGACTTTTTTTCTCACTTAAGTGAATAACTTTGAATTCTGGAAAAATAGCAATTTACAAAGTGGATGCGAATTTATTGATTTACCTGTGGGAGTATGATATCAGCCATCCGGGCTTCAAGAAGTCGACTGCGTTCTTCCTCTGTCCTTTTAATAAGCAATGGAACTTCCCTGATGGGAAAATTAAAATCAATATGAAAATATTGGTTAAAAGCCCCTCCGGTGAAAGACATTTAGCTTTTTGTCAAAGCGCTGTGCGTGGTAAAATTATTTCATTGTTTTCACACAAAAAGATATTTTTTTAGTTGTCTTGTCAATATAGACTTGCTGGAGTTGATATACACTTGTCCACAAGTCTTTACAAGTCAATCACAAGTTATCTGATGTCAAGTCAACCCATTCGACTATTCAAAAAGACTATGACACAGGCATTCATGTGTCACTGCATACGTGACTTTACCTGCGATGAACTTGCAAATACCGTAGAAATGCAGTTTGACTTGTGATTGACTATAAACAACTCTGTGTCAAATTTGAAATCAGATAAACCCAAGTATTCACTTATGACACTGGTAAAACACATTCATAAGAAACACAAAAAGTAGTGTGACTAAATCTTATGACAAAGGTGCACCATCATTAAAAAAGATTGTATAATTTCTTCGGAAACTAAGGAAAACATACTTATTTCCTTCTTTCCTGCCAGCTTTTTTCTTGCGACCTGTTTTTCCAGGTGGCTTTGGAGCTCTACCCGTGGTGGAGGCCGGTTGGGCAACAGTGCCCTCTGTTGATGGGCCAGGGTCAGGCTGTTGAACCAGTGAGGCAGAGAGTGCCATTGCTACTTGGGTTTCCTCATCCAGGGGCCTACAATACATAGACCAACAACCAAATGTTTACCCAACCACAATTTCTCAAATTACCAGGCAATAAATTATTCTCATATTATACTGATTGAAATTGGCTTTCAACTCAAAAAGAAAAAAAAAACAACCTGCAAACTCAATCAATGTGTCAAACATTTTCATAACATATGTGCGGCCATATAAATGACACAAATTAGCAGTTTGATTTAAATACAACAGCATCAATAAATTTGTTGTGACAGAGAAATTACAATGTATTAAAATTGACTTTTGACGTTCTTTAAAAATAACTTGAAAATGCTTTTGGAAGCATGCAAACTCACTTGATATGTCATACAATTTTGAAAATAAAAACGAGGATTGAACTTTAACACAAAAATGAAAGGTTATTTCCTATATCACTGCCATTGACGAAGGGACACTAAAAGGTTGAATATACATCACATAAAAGGTTTGGTTTCACATTATTAGGCATGCTTGCATAGACTTACTGTGCTTCCACAGGCACCTGGGGCTTCCTCCTGCCCTTCCCTCTAGCTCTACTCCTCCCCCTGGTAGCATTCCTGCCTCCTCTGCCTCTTCTAACTGTTGGCCTGGACGACTCGGGTGCATGTGTTGACCCTAATGTGTCACCTACTGCAGCGGGTCCTCCTAAAGAACCTCCTACGGAACCACCTGTTGAACCTCCTGCAGAACTGCCCACTGAACCCTCAACAGAACCTCCTGTGAAACCTCCCACTGAAGCTCCCAAGGAAGCACCTGTGGCACCTCCTGTGAAACCTCCCACGGAACCTTCCAAGGAACCGGCTTTGGCACCTCTTAAGGAACCAACTGTGGCACCTTCCATGGAACCTCCTTTAGAACCTCCTGTGGAACCTCCAATGGAACCTCCTAAACCTTCACCCTGAGCTTGGACCTCTTCTTGTACCTTCACTAGTTCAATTAGCCGCTGGGCTGATACCTGATTCACCCGGGCACATTTCTTCAGATGTGATTCCCTTTGCTAAAGAGAACCAACAAAAATGAGAACAAAAGTAAAATTTGTTTTACTTTTATTTATCAATCCTAACAACAAAGGCAATTTTTTTGCAAGAAACCTCCTTTAATACTCCAATGTTCCTTTACTATACAGAAATCAAATGGAAAATCTTTGTACTTTAATTTTCAATGGCATGATGAACCCCGCGTCTACCTTGCTGAGTCCAGCAAAGTCCTCCCAAAGCTCTACTGGTAATATTGCCAGATTACAAGAAGTTATATATTTGCCTAACAAGATTAACAGACACATACCTTTTTGGTTTTGAAGTGTTTGCCACAGATGGGGCAGTCAGGAACTGTCCCTCTGACTGTCTGGTGCCCACTGGCTGCTGGTTCCTGTTGTGGTTCAACAGTTTCCATGCTATCCATGCATCTGATATTAACAAAAACACAAAAACTATTACAAGTTATCCACTTCACAAGATACTGTTTCAGATTTTAAATCCCATCTTCTCATGTACAATTCCTGAATCAGCACTCGGGACAGGATTTTCATTCAGCTGGTTTGTGTAAATGTTGAGACCCCATTTGAAAGGAACTCCTTGTAATGCTAAACAAATATCGTAACATTTCTGAAGTGTGCCACACTTTTTTTTAAAACCACCTTTAATAATAACCAGAGTTCCTATATGGTCACATCTATAACATTGCACTTACCTGTTGATGTGCTGGGATCTCCTGGTCGAGTTCATGTGGCTGAGCTCTCGCTGGCAGATCTGACAGAAGTACTTCTCACTGTCCGTTAGTCTCTCCTCCCGCACTTTCTCCTCTTCTCGGCGCTGGAGCAGTCTGGCAAACTCCTCGTCACCACTCGTGTCATCTTTAAAAGAGTCCAAGGGAAAACACCACATTTTCTGATAATGGAGTGACTCAAATTTTATTTTTCACTTGGAATAGAAAATAAAAAATCAGGAAACTGAACTTCAATTTTTGCCTAATGGAACCACAGTGTTCCCCAAATAGGCAACTGTCTATAGTTCCCAATGGAAACATGTTTTGGGAACAGCTCTCTCACATTTTTTTTAATAACCAAATGAACCACAAAGGGAAAATGACGTGGTGAATTATGTTCATTTAAATATAGAACAGAGAAATTGACTGAAGTTGTGTCACAAACTGCCATCTAATTTTTCTGCACGGATCCATAGCTGTTATAGTCATATTCCATTAAAACCATGTAAGCGCAGATGTAAACGCAGCTCTAGACACCTATTTCAGACACAGCCATACACAATTTTCAGAATCTCGGTATAACTTGTAAAATGTACACTAAATGAAAAAAGTAAGTAAATATTGTTTCACAGAAAAAAAATATAACACTGGCACAAACCTGAGTTGGCAGTGAAGTCTCGGGATTGAATGGAACTTGCAAAGCGTTGGCGCAGACACATCTGTACATGCTGCTGTAGGTTCTCTGTGGCATCATCTCCAAGGAATGCCTCGTGACAAACTGGGCACTTCTGAGCGGTATCACCAGCCTGGTCTTCGTTGCTGGTTTCAGTGAGAGAGCCTAGCTCTGATTCAGTATTGCTGTATTTAGTCGGGTCATCATTGGCCGAGTTGGGCAACTGCACAGGTTCCAGGGTAACCTCTGAAGTGGCTACCTTGTCATTCAATTTGGTGTGAGAAAGAGAATCTGTGGATAATTTCAACTTTGAAACATACACAGAACAGGCCTTTACAGGCGATGTCCTGGTAGAGTTGAGACTTCCTGTTGTGTCAAGGGAGCTTTTAGTGTTGCTGTCATCAGACAACTCAGGAGTGTTCAACTTGACTCTTGAAACAGTTTGTCTTCCAGCATCAGCGGCAGTCAATTCTTGAGTTTTACCTGTAGAAGTGGATGCATGGACAGAGGCCGAGATGGGATTGTTCCGAGCTTTGCTACTCTTGGCTCTGCTCAGGGAACTGCCCAGTCTCCGCCGACCCTTGGGTTCATGGAGGGGTGCCCGACAGCCCCGTGGCTCCTTGAAGTCACTGCTCTGGTTCAAAGTGGTTTCCCCTAAGATTGCCTTCATCACCTCTTTTGGGGCTTTGGTTTGGGATGTTGCCGAGGAGTTCTGTTTCCCTGAGTGGCCAGGACGATTGGCGTCACGACGGAGCGACAACTTGCCTCTCCGTGAGGATGTTTTGGACGTGTCGGATTCCCCTGCCCTAACCGTGTCAGGCAAACTCGTTTGCTCCACCAACTTCTGAGCACCACTCTTTTCATCCCGTCTGGCATTGTACAATTTTCTGGAATTGATTCTCTCCAATAATTTCTCATGATCACTCTGTGACGCCATACAATCATCTGAGTCGTGCTGTATTTGAGATCCCTCATTCATGATGGATAACACTTGGTAGCGGGATCAACAGTATAATTTTTTCTTGTCGGAATTGTTTATGTTGACAAAGCACAAACCATACAATCAAAATTAACACGTGGGGCTTCAGGATTTGTTCTGCACAGATGTAAAGATCAACTTGAATTCCTTATTTCTTGCTGGCTGGTTTAGTAAAATCTAAAAAAAGTTCATCAACTTTGACACAAAGTCAACCCATTGGCTGTGCGCATCATCCATGTCATCGGGGCAGAATCAGCATGATGAAATTTTGATTCAATCGTTAATTTTATTTAATCTATAGTCTAAAATAAAACATGCAACACACGTAGTCAAGCAATTTGTACAGCCATCACAGTCAGTCCATTTATACAGCCATTAGGATTCTTTACAGGTTCCCATCCTCTTTGGTTTTTGTCTTGTCCTCCACGATGCGCGTCCTCTGCTCGTTGACGCGAGCCTGGTGGGCTAGCATCTCCCCGTAGTGCTCAACGTCCTCCTTTTGGTGTTTGCGCCGTGCATCCTCAACATCAGTCATAAACACCTGTCTGCAAAGGGACCCAAAAAATGGGACAAATTTTGAAAAGTTGTTAGCAAACAAATGCCTCCTAAAAAGCATACAGTAAACAAAAATTAAAAGGGAACAAACTAAAGTAATGAACGAATGAACTAACAAATGAACAAATGAATGAAAGTTTAACAAAAACAAGTCCATGGTATGAAGTCAAGAGATAACGAGCTGGACATTTTAACCTCAACCCTCCTGTCAACAAAAAATTGAAAATGTCAAACTGTACATACACCAAAGTTAACCAGAAAAACAAATTAACATACATGTACATGTAGGTGTGGTTGACTCTGACTCTAAAATGGTGCTTTCTCTACCAATTTTCTAAATTCTATGAACACAATGCACCTGTACCAACTTTTATTCCTGCAGTCATCGGTGACTGCATCAGCAAAATACTGACATTGTTCAAGTTCATAATAGACCTTACATGTACACACCTTATGCCCTTAAGGCAGAGTCAGAGGCCATGGGTTTTGTGTAGCCTGGACAGGCACGAGTAAACCGTTTGTGCGTTTATTAGTACGAGATTAAAAGAACACCCTCCGAGATAACGGCAATGTTATTTTTGAACTGTACACTCAGGGCATACATGTATACATGTATATGTATATATATCCAAATTGATTCAAATACATTTGTTCACCAGTAAAACGTACTGTGCATCATGCACTATGGAAGGTTGAATTTAATGAAATAGTATTTCATTAAAATAAATGACTCCTTAACAACCAAAATCCACTCACCAAATCTTCAACACATGTATCAGAGAACACCGTGGCATGTGTTGGAAAACATACGGAGTCAATCAAGTCTTGTAATACAACTAAGCCTTCAGATCACAATCTGAATGAACCATTCAAAGAACAGAACAGGCCTCATCCTTTATTAAGACCAACACTAACCGAGGTCTGCCCTTGATAGAGCACAGTACAGTTTCTCCATGGCAACAATAGCTGGTTGCCATGGTGTTTGTGTAACAATGCAATAACCAGTCCACTCTTGGCCTTTGAAATGTAATTATAATGAGGCTCGGGAAAGCAGTATGCATGTACAATGTACATATCGGGTATTGTTCTGCAATATTATTATGGCATACTTGTATACAAGTACATGTATGCAACTAATAATGTCTATTGCACATTTTCACATTATTATTATACTAGACCAGGGACTAGTAGCTCTAATATTTCACTGGGTCAGAAGTAAGTTTTTTCCCCCTGGACCATTTCCAAAAGACAAATAAACACTTTTGGTTCCAACTGAATAAAGGTGTATAAAATTTAAAAAGTATACAGATGCAGTCAAGTTTATTATGTCTATAATTGACCATTCTATTTAAGTATGATTTTTTTTAAAAAAATTAAAATAATATTTAATTGTAATACAGATTACAAATTCATGACGATGAATAATAATAATAATAATTAATAATTTATTCATTTGTGTAGTGCAAATTCCAATTCCAGAGGGCACTCTGATCCCACAATATTGCCAATTACATTTTATGATCAGTGGACTGAAAAACCATTAGACACTGCGGTAGCTCAGTATTAGATTACTGGAATCAGTGGTAAAAAAAAATTAATTGTATTGCAATTAGATGTGTTGAAGTAGGATTGCCCAAATTAATTTTCCTATGTGAGTTTATAACCGGTAAAAATGCTATAGAAAAGCTTGCTGGTCATTTCATAACGTAGAGGTGTGTTATTATAATGAAGTCCTCTCTGATTGGCTAACTACTGATTATATTGGTTAATATCCACTCTCTTATTCAGAAGAGTCTACATGAACATGTAGCTTCACTCTATTCGAATGCAAATTCCCTCCATCGGACCTAAACAAGGGACAGATCAATTTGGAGTGAAATTCTTTTAAATTCATCAAGTTTTTACTCTTTGTGATAATGAGTGATTCTTTTTCAATGTATTTCAATCAAAAATTAGAGTGATTTTCAATTTAAAGCTATGTTTCCCTGCTCTTCAACCTATTCATATTTTGTCATTGTAAACAAGTTTGTATGTGTTATTTCAACCCCCCAAAACCTCCTTTTGTCCCTTTTTTGAACGTCTGCATTCCCCCCAAAAGAGGTTTTTTTTAATTTTGGGCACCAACAGATCTGCTTTGCGAGCAGACTGGCTCCCAGTCTGTATACTATCGATACTGAGTGTGGGGCAGGAAGTACCTCTGCGAAAACAGGATTATTGTTTTGAAATTCTAAAGTAATAATTAAACTGTAAACATGGGCCAATTTTTGTGGTCAATGTTTCATTCAAAAGGTGAGGAATTTTTGTATAGCAAAAAATTTGCATTTTAGAAAAGGAATAAATTACATGTATTTTTAGGGCTGTCCTGAATATACTGAAAATTCTAATATTCGCTATTCAACCCACTATTCGAATAACTTTTTGCTGATTTGAATGTGTGGGGAAAAAACCCAGACATGTGCACACACGACTTTGATGTTATTTTAATCTTAAAGTTGCGGCACTTTATTGTCAGAATCCACTTTTTTTGTCGACAGTAACTTTTTTGTCAACGGCTGTTAATTGTTCCCATCCAGACAACATTACTGTAAAATACTCCAGCGGTCTGCGGTCCATAATATTGATCGCTGCACGCAAATTTTAACCAGTGTGCAACTTTTGACCGGCGCAGCAAGCAGTCACAGCTGGCATGTGTAAAACTTGATCGGAGAGTTTCCAATTCTCAAATATTTGGTGAAATGCAGTTTCGAATAATCAAATACTAAACTGAAAATTTGTTAGGAAAAATCCAATTTTTCAAGAGCATGGGGTATCATCTTTAAAGGAAAAAAATGTAGAAATTAAGGCGTTAGTTCCATGGAAAAGCATTGGTATTGTGTATATAATCAATGATGTTGTAAGACAACATTGAAAAGAAAAAAACCCACCAACGTTCATTGTAATTACATGTTCCGACAAACAAGAGGTAGGGAATTTTATTCTTCCTATTTTTAACAAGGTAGCCTGAAGAAATCCGATATTTGAGACACATTTGTGGGGTTTACACATTGTACATACATGTACACATTAACATTTTAACTGATTGTTGGCAATCTGTTTCTGTAGGCAGATTGATACTAATGAGAAACGTTACATTTTTGTTCAATTTCCCTTTTTTTTCCCATTCTCCTAACTTGCCAAGACCAGAAATGTGCCTACATGGGTCATGGAGCAAAGTTTAGCTCCATGCATGGGCCTACCATCCCTGTCGCGCTCATCCAACATTTTCTTTTGTTTTGTTTTAAACGGAAAAAAATAAGAATATTCTTCTCTCATTATTTTAAATTGACCCTGAATATTTAATTTCTCATAATAGGCTTTTTAGTTATTTCCATGGATACTTTAAAGTTTAAATACGTCCAAAGATTGATCATTGCAACAAGCGACCATGCGTTGTCTAGCGGCAAAAGTTTCAAACAAGAGTCAGGGGTTCGAATCTCGATGAAGTAGGTGACTGATTAATAAATAAGATGCAACTTTTTGGCCCTTTAAAAAAATTGACAGCCTACCTATTACGGAAATCTTTCCCAATCTATTTGCAGGGAAAGATTCCCATATCTGGCCATCACTTGTCACCTTGTGCACAAACCCTATGAGACTGGTCTGACATTTTTTAAGTGTTTTCTTAGTTAGTAATGCGCCTATCAATTGTTTCCCCCACCACTCCCCCCCCCCTCCCCCGGGCTGCCCCACCCAAGACGTGGGGATTGTCACTTTTGAAGTCACAAAATCCCCTCTCCTCGGGCAAAACTTTAAGTGACAATCACCGACCATGCCCAGACATACATAGGCCTACGTGGGGTGCACTAGTGATTGCCTTTCCATGTAGTACGCCAATGTTAACAATGTAATTTGAGTGAATCCCCACCCTGGGGCATGAAAAACGTGACCAAATCCCAACATCGGTGCATCAACACTTCAATATTTTGTTTGCTAATTTTGACTTTTTATAGACATATCACTTTCTGATGGTTGATATGTCACAGACATGACTGAAAGGAAAATTTAGTGATGGCCAGATATGGGAATCTTTCCATTTGCAGAGAATTAGTTAGTCACTTCGGAAAGATTCCCATCTGGCCATCATTTGTCACCCTGTGCACAAACCGTATGAGAGATTAAGACTGGTTAGCCCCATAAATGTGGCCTATTTACTGGACTACCTCCGTAAACATACATGTAGGCCACACATCCACATGTACAAAAACGTGTCGCACTTTGCCAAATTGTGATTTTCACATTTAGGCTTAGTTTGTAGGGTTTTTTTGCTTTAGAAGCATACTCACCCTCTTTATAGGCTAATCAGAAAGTACTGCCTTTTTCAGATGTTTATTTTTCGTGAAATTTCCAGATTCATTTGCACACGTTTGCATATCAAAATTTGAACATGAAATTTCACAAAAATTAGACATCTGAAAAAGGCAGCACTTTCTGATTAGCCTATAATTGGGTGAGTATGCTTCTAAAGCCAAAAAAAACCCTACAAACTAAGCCTAAATGTGAAAATCACAATTTGGCAAAGTGCGACACGTTTTTGTACATGTGGATGTGTGGCCGAATACAGGTCAACTCGTACGCGAACCAACTCGTACGCGACCAACTCGTACGCGGGTCAATTCTTACGCGAACCGACTCGTACGCGGACCGACTCGTACGCGGACCGACTCGTACGCGGACCAACTCGTACGCGTGAGTTTAGACGATTGGTTTAGCTCACATGGACAGATGAAATTAGGTTCGGTACGGTAGGTCGGCATAATTTTACCTTTTCTGAAAGGTTGAGATTTTCAAATTGTAGTTGATTTTTGAATCCGCCAGTGCTACTTACATTCGTGATTTTTTAGAGAAGAATTCTGCGTTTTTTTTTTTTTTTACAAGTTCGCTTGATTGATTGGGAAGTTGTCTTCGCGATAACCAGTATGATTGGTTCCCGCCGCACCGCGCACTGTATAAAGAATGCATGATTGAATCGCTGTAACCTGTGTATGCCGCGGTACAATTGCTGGTTGGTTAGACAAGTAAAATGTCAAGAAAACACCGATATTTGCGAGGTCTATTGTATAAAAAGGAGCTACTATAAAAAAAAAGGAATATAGCATCACGCATGCTTATACAGTTGTACGGACAGTGTCCGCCAGTTTTTTGCTTGGGTCAGATAGTTTTTTAGTCCTAATTATTATATATCCAAATAATATTTTGTAAAAAAAGAAAAAATGGGGAGTTGATTTTTATTTTTTGGGTCAGTTTGACAATGGTGACAATTAATTGACTGACAGGTACATTGATTAAAAAAACACGAAAAATGCAACTGGTACATCGTTGCCTTAATATATGGAATTAAATTTGACGTGACAAGGCTACAGGTATGCACAAAACGATACAACACTCGTCTAACTACAAAAATCAGTTACTTTATTATCATCATTCACGGGTTCACTCCCAATCACACACAACGGTCACACATTGAACTACGGACTACCCGTCACACTATTCCCAAATTCTTCCCAACCATGCCAACCCAATCCTCGAAACCACTCCTAAAACGGCCCGCGTACGAGTTGGTTCGCGTACGAGTTGGTTCGCGTACGAGTTGGCTCGCGTACGAGTTGGCACGCGTACGAGTTGGTTCGCGTACGAGTTGTCTCGCGTACGAGTTGACCTGTTTCCGTGTGGCCTATGTTTACGGAGGTAGTCCAGTAAATAGGCCACATTTATGGGGCTATGAAAAGTATGGGGATAGAGACTGGTCTGAAAATAGTTAAGACAGACAGTGTTTTCTCAGCAAAATAAATAGGCCTAGGCCTACTTCAATATTTCCCCAGCTAAAAGTAAAAGAATCTTTTCCGTAACGTTCCTTTTCTGATTGAAGTAGGAATAAATGTAACTAACTTTTTGACACCTCGACACTCCCAACAGTTATTGAAATTGAAAAAAAAGTGATTTATTGGGGTCACATACACAGGTCATCAGGTCATGTCAATTGTCATCAGGTCATTCGAACATCATCATGATCATTGCAAAAACTTACCTGTACACAAATGCTGTTGCAAACCCAGCCAGTATCGATCCAAACAAAATAGGGAATCTCCACTTAGTCACACCAGCAAACCTTGCCATACTGGAGCTTCAGGTCAAATTGACGTAATATTCTTGATAATTATTTAAAATGGAAAAAAAAAATAGGTTCCCCCAAACCGGAAATTCCTCGTTGAACATCACTACCAAGAAGACACCAGAACCCTTGCTTTTTAAACTGTGCAAATGTCGTTGATAGAGAATGGGAACCAGACTTAACACAATGAGGGCGCCCTAACATATTGCACGTGTAATGATTTATCTACTTCATCAGGAAATAAAAATGTGAATAAAAAAAGTAAACTTCGTTAGTGGTTCCCTTCCCTTAAAAGTTCATTAACACGGAAAATTCAATGTGAATGAAGACCAATCGAATGGAATAAGCGGTAGGGGAACGTTTGACCGAATTAGCTCAGCGCTGATATTTCGATCAATGAATGCTCGAGGCCGGGGGAGGGGGGTTGAACCATGGAGCTCAGGCAGACCTAGCTGGAGTTACCCAGCCCTGAGTTTTATCATTGGGTTGTCTATAAGGGCTGGAGCGAATTTTTCTCGTAATTTGTAGTATTTGCAAAAAAATTTGGAAAATGTTCAATTTTGTCCCCGTTACACACTAATTGCAACTGCAACTCACCCCAAACTTGCCTGGAATAACCATTACACAGGTCCTTGAAGTAAAAAACGATCCACGATGAAGATTCACTGTTCAGCCTACAATTGCAGTGAAAACAGGAGGAATAACCGTTAACTTGACAACCTTGCTGGATTGGCCAGGACCGCAATTGGTTTGTGCACAAAAAAAATTGTGTACAATGAATGGCGGTCGATTAACAGGCACAGAGAGCGATCGCTGTCAACTACTCGTTTTGCCGGCTGCGCTGGCTGTTGGCGCATGACGTCACGCGGAAGCGTAACACCCGATGACTGTTTTATGCACTAATATAAGGTTTACCACTCGCATTACAGCTTTGGTACTGGAACCGCAACCAATAGTGCATGAAACAGTCATCGGGTGTTACGCTTCCGCGTGACGTCATGCGCCAACAGCCAGCGCAGCCGGCAAAAACGAGTAGTTGACAGCGATCGCTCTCTGTGCCTGTTAATCGACCGCCATTCATTGTACACAATTTTTTTTGTGCACAAACCAATTGCGGTCCTGGCCAATCCAGCAAGGTTGTCAAGTTAGCGGTTATTCCTCCTGTTTTCACTGCAATTGTAGGCTGAATCTTCATCGTGGATCGTTTTTTACTTCAAGGACCTGTGTAATGGTTATTCCAGGCAAGTTTGGGGTGAGTTGCAGTTGCAATTAGTGTGTAACGGGGACAAAATTGAACATTTTCCAATTTTTTTTGCAAATACTACAAGTTACGAGAAAAATTCGCTCCAGCCCTTATAGACAACCCAATGATAAAACTCAGGGCTGGGTAACTCCAGCTAAGGCAGACCCACCCTGGCCACCCAAACTTCGACATGCTATGCATGTAACTTTTTGCAGTCCATTAAAATATTTCTTCTTTTATAAAATGTCAAATCTTTCTTGCTGTGATATCGTGTGTTCTAAGTTAACTTTGAATATATGTCATTGTGATAATTAAAATTTAAGGACTTTGATGCAATGAGCCTGGCCTTTACCACAAGAGCTCAGAACGAAATGTTTTACGAAGATCCGCCCCTCATTAATTGCGCAAACTAACTTGGAATTTCGAAAACTTCAAAAAAGTAAGTACGTTCAAGTCATTCACAAATAAGTCTGCGCCCGTCAATTCTTTTCACGTCTGTTTCTCTTTCAGTTCCTTTGTGTACCAGTCTTTGGTCTACCTGGGCCCACATATTTCGGCTATGAAATATTTTACAAAGATCCACCCCTCATATCAGGCTTGCGGCAACGGCGGGGCCTGCCCCCCAAAATTGCGCAAACTAACTTGGAATTTCCAAAATATACGCAAAGAAAGCAAGTTATTCAAGTCATTGACAATTATTCTGCGCCCGTCAATTCTGTTCACGTCTTTTTCTCTTTCAGTTCCTTTGTGCACTTGTAGTTTGTCAACCTTAAAGGCCTATACATTTCGTACAATGAATTAGAAGCAACAGGAAGTACATGCAGCATAACTCGACGGCGTACGTAATACAGAGCCAAAGAAAATTAAAATAACACAGTGGATGACAAACATATTTTCCCCCTCGATGTTTGTTTGTCCATGCAAGGCTCTTCCAGCCTGACTAAAGGAAATAAACACATTGCACTGTTCCAATGCAAATCAAAATTGATATAAGGACGTTAAGCTACCTTCGTTATGAGTGATTCAAGTATTCCAAACTTTTTGGTCATCTTGAATATAGCACAGATCTAGTGTTGCTTACGCTTAATATTTACACTGAATGTCCATCATGCCAGATCGGGTGTATCCCTTTTTTCCAATGTAGTATAACCCGTGAAAGTTTGGCCATATTTTCTTTCTCATTGGCCCGCTATGATAATTTCCTGACATGAACATGATGAAAAAGTCATTGGATTACCCATACTGGGCCTAAAAGTAACAGCTAAACATTCATGCAAATCTAAGCTTTCATGTCCGTCACAAATACAGTAATATAAACAAATACAGTATTGTTGTAATGATAACAATTACCAGTCGAATAAAATGCTAAACCGAGCGCATGCTTAACTCAAGGAAAGTGATGATACCTGCAACACGTGCAACTTTCGTAAGTTACTGTCAGCCTAGGCCTAAGTACCATCAATTAAAATCCAATGGAAAACAAATTAAGCATGATTTTGTTTGAACTACAGGAGATATTATATACAAAAACACCGACCGCAACTCATAGTGAGTGACCCCCACGTCATGGTAGGACTACTCTCTGCCCCATGCGTTATGAAAACATAATTTATGGGCAATTCATATTGGGGGCCATTTCCATGAAATAAGTTTGCATTGTTTTAATGTGCCACGAAATGGGTTTATATTTTGATTAAGGCAAGTGAGATGGTTTTCAATTCATTCACCCAAAACAGCTTGACCATTTGTCTCCTTATAATGTGTGGTTCATCAAGACAGTTGAAATGAAGTTATCATCACAGGTCATCACAAGTTAGAAGTCAAATGCACATCAACTTTTGGTATTCAAATGCAGTGTGATTGAGTGGAACCTCTATTGCTCAGGCCAAAAAAAAAGTCTCCGGTTTCTGGTATGCGCGCGCGTTGCCGTAGCCATGCGCGTCGGCAAAATGAAAAAAGTGTTTTTTTTTCAATGAAAGATGATGTCTCAATACCGCCAAACTCACTGGTTTGACTGGAATCCTGCTGCTGCACAATTTGAACGTGTTTTTAGATTAGGTTATGGTCGAGAATAAGCTTTATGTGGCCTCTCTGGACTCCCATATATTTGCACTAAGTTTAGTCGGGCACCATTTGCAGTCATCAGCCGACATTTGAAGCAAAAAAATCAGGTAAAAAAAAAAAAAGCCGCGTCGCCGCACCACTTTTTGGGCAAGCTCCATACCGGAAACCGGAGACTTTTTTGGGGGGCCTAAACCCCTGTTATTCAAAACCCCTCACTTTGTGGATGGACTTGTGACTTGAGCCTTGTGTTTCAGTCGATTATATATCACTACATAACAGTTTTAAAAAAAATCTTATACTTACAAATAAGATTGATTAAAGAAATTGGCACCCAAATCAACACAAAGTAAAGTATTCAAATGATGCAGGTCGAAGATAGTTAGCATGGATTCTGAAGTATGGTCGAATGGATAAGTTTTGATCTCAAATACCCCCATCACCCCAAAAGCACAATATTGTTTCTCAGTCAACGGCGTACCCCACCCCTCCCCAGAGGGCCCACAATGAGGTCCCCCCCCCCTACGAGCCCAACCTCTAGTCACCCCACAGGCACTGGTTTGTTTAATATTGATTACATCGGTACCTGCCTCCTCTGATAGGTGTAGTCCCCCGACATTTTGCAACTTCCTCCCATGTGATTTTTTGCACGATTTCAAACTGAGGACAGCTTGCCTATCGAGGACCTAGCACGCACTCGTCAAATCGTCATTGTCCGTAGTCTCATCAAGAACGTTTATGATTTTTGAAGTCATAGCAAATACCTTGGCCACCTTCAATTCATATAGCATTCAAATTTCAACGTTATCTCATTTTTCTTATCAATAAAAGGGTAAGCATTTTCTAAGCCAAAAAACGTTCACAGCATTTTCTCAAATACAAGTCCGGCTCAATATAATAAGGCCACATTTTTAAAAACAAATACCCATTTGCTTTCTTGGTAAGTCCAACAAATTTCAGATGAATTATGGAATGAAATAGAATCAACAATGTGATTCGTTGGCGTAAAGTCAAACTTGAATGTTTGTTTTTTTTTTTTTTGGAAAATTGGATCGGATAGAGTGTCACTATTAGCTTTACAAACAGTGATGTCTTCACTCGGTTTGAGGCTTCATAGTCATGTATCCGGCATTTGTTGATGATGACGGTAGTGCAGAATACCGATTATCTGGAATCTTCACCGTAAGCGCTTCACTCTTAAGTCCTTGGTCGCACTGGGAGACAGTACTGTCATTGATGCGACTGAAGTAGGTGTGGTCGACTTCAGTGGAAGAGTGCTCCGCCCCAGGCTCAGTTATACGGGTCGAGTATCCACCGGCATCGCATGTGATGCGATCTGCTGGAATCTCTTCGTATGCAGATTCAGCTGATGAGCTACAAGAATTGATGAAAGTATTATTGGTTTGTCCACCAATCTCTGTCAGTGGTAAAGGCGGCAATGGGATGTCGCGCGTGGCAGGCTTTGACTTGCGATTCCTTCTCCTGACGACTAAAGCTGCTATGATTATTAGTGCTAACACGATGGCCAAGATAATCGCAGCGATACCAAACACCAACCCGCTACTTTGACGGGTTCCTGCTGTCCCGTCGGATGCTGCAGTGGCTGTTGCCAAAGATCTAGATTCGGTTGTAGGCCCGAATGTAGGATTGGAGGTTACCTGAAGGATGACCGAGTATCGAGCTTCACCAGCATCATTGCTGACCACGCACGTGTAGAGTCCTTCCTTGGAACGGCTGACGTTGGTAATTGACAAGGAACCGTTATCGGCCATAGCGAAGGACGTCTGAGACTGCTCTGGAGAGATTATCTCGTGGCTGTTAGTTATCCAGTAGGTATGCAGTGCTGGATCTGCATCGATACCACATGGTAAAAATACCTTAGTTTCAGGAAGTACTGAGACTGTGACAGTGGGGGAAGTTGAACGTGGTTCGCAAGCGAATTGATTTGGAAGAAGGTTTTCCACTGATGTATCATTCAGACGGTCGGGTGTAACACATTGAAGAGAACTACCTCCGTTAAGTGATCCAGTGTGATTGTTCTTGAGCCATGCTGCAAACCCGCGCAAATGGCAATCACAACGGATAGGATTCCCAGATATCTCGAGATTTACATTGGGGTTAACACGATTCATTGCTCCATCCACTATGGTGGTCAAATTGTTGCCTTTCAGATAAAGAGTTTCGAGTCGACCCAGTCCATCAAACGCATCTTTTTCGATTGTTGTTAGATTGGTGTAAGACATATACAAGATGGCTAGGCGAGGGTTGTGCAAGAATGCCAGGGATGGGATCACTGGAATATGATTGTAATTCAAGTACAAATCTGTGAGGTGTTGGAACTCTGCCAACGCAGAGGTAGGGATTTCAACCAGGGAATTATATTCAAGATCGAGCCATTCTAGCAAGGAGGGCTGGTGAAAATCATCAGCATTAACAGACTGAATCGAGTTTAGGTACAAACTGACGGTAGTCAGGTTAGGAAGAGTCTTGACTGCTGAGGGGATTTTGGTGAGGCGGTTACCACTGAGCTCGAGGTTTCTTAAGTTCGACAATCCGTCAAAAGCTGAGTCTGGTATAGAATCCTCCACAGATGCATTGTTTGCCGCAGAAAGATCGTTCAGTTTGAGATGTTGCAAAGCCACCATTTGTCCAAAGACAGGAGTCAACAGCAAACTTGCTGGGTTGTATGACAGGTCTAGTATTTCGACGTTCATTAAGTCTCGCGAGACGTCTGTCGGGAATTCCTCGATGTCGTTCCTTGCCAAATCAAGTTCCCGAAGACGAAGGACCTGACTGAAGACGCCGCTAGTTAAAGAAGACAGGCGATTGTTTCGGAGGTGCAACTCTTCCAGGTTAGGGACTTCCTCAAAAGTGCGGTTAGTTAGCATGCCGATGTTGTTACTCTCGAGACTCAGCAATTTCAAACTCGCCAGACCGCGAAATGCGCCATCTTCGATGACTCTGATGTGATTGTTGTACAGATACAGTTGTTCCAGCTGAGATAATCTAGAGAAATCGCCAGCTGCTAGCTTGGTGAGTTGGTTGTACTCCAGATAGAGGGTCCGTATGTCGTCAGGTAGCCCGACTGGAATCGCTGAAAGATTCTGGTATCCACACGAAGCATACTGACCTCCACAACGACAGACACTCGGGCAAATCGAATGTGCTTCCTTCGAGAGAATAAGCAGTCCCATGAGGAGAAGACGTATACGAAAGGAGCGAATTGAATGAGAACTGTTGAACGACGCCATGTTTTCCCAACGCTAAGAAACGTCGTAGCAAGGTTGTTCGTACATGAATCTGCAAAGAAATGGAAACAAAGTGCGTTTAAATTCAAGTATCCGTTCGACACCGCGCAGAACAAACAGTGAAACAAAGTACATGTACGTTTTAAGTGCAATTTGAACCAGGAAGTTCAGCACGAGTGGTCTGTTTGCATCATTTGACGTTCCATATATTCCAGGTTTGTTTACAGAAAAACGAATACAATAGGCGTCACTCACGCAAACGGGAAGTTGGTTGTTATTTCCTTTTCTTCTTCGATTTCTTGGTAATTATAGCCAAGAACAGCGCACAAAAGATATCCCTTATCATTTGAGTATTTGGTTCCAATTCACATTGAACTGTATATTGATCCGCTCTTGTTCTTGATGTTGTTGGTCAACTTGTTAAATTTCAGAATAGTTTATACAAACCATGAAGCACCTTTAGTTGTGTCTCTTCTAACGTCAATTTCAATCTTCGAAATTCTAATTTTGTGGGTTCACATTTTAAACAGAAAAAACTGAAGCACCCTAGCTCACTAGTCGTAAACTGAAGCACCCTAGCTCACTCGTCATGAAAAGTATGGACTATTTAAAATGTCTAAGATAGAGCGTTTTACACAATTTTAACCGTAAAGGATGTCTCCGACATACCAGTTTTTCAAACATTTCAGAAAAATTGAAATTTGCGCAAAGATCGAGTGTTGCAGTGTAAAAGTTAATGCCATTATTTATTTTGCCATCTAATGATCATGCAACGCTCCATCTTTGCCGTCATTCTCATAAAAAAATTGTAATGTTTGAATACGCAATTGTATAATAAACTAGTACCGATGGACCAATTTCAAAGTCATATCCAAGTTTGTTTTGTAGTGTTTTTAATTTTCAACAGTGCACTTAACTAGAGCCGTATATGAGTGAATAATATAGAATAGAGTACACATGTCAGTTGATGAATACTTCTAAATCCTTTTTTTTTTATGAAACATCCATTTTAATTAGGACGTAACGTATACTTTTGAGGGGCAATGCAATCATCATGACAATATTGTCTAGGAATGTGATGGCTATTGATTTGATTGAATGAATAAGACCCAGGGATTATACATTACTTACCGTTATATCACAAGCTTAGCCAATGGGTTTTTCTTTCAAATATTTGCACAGTGAACGGTGACGTGGCCTTTTCCATTTAACCGTGATGTTGAAATGAGGGGGAATTCCCCTAAAAACCACTGCGACAACCCTATTCATTACATGCAAAACAGCTTTATAATCCACACAATCGCCAGAATTAATCTGTACCAGGAATCCCAGGTCAGAAAGTCGCCGACATTGTACAATGAATGCCAAAATCGTTCGCCAGGTTTGCACTACGAAACTCCAACAACTTCCTTGTCTATATAAGTTATATTCCTGCACAAGTCCCACGAAGTATAGCCGTAACACAACTGTGCCGGTAGCAATTTTGTCAGTTCATGGCGCGTAGTGCACGTTCATAATCATCATACTCATAGACGACGAGGGTGTATCTCAAGCGCTGTGGCCTTGCAACCTTTTGTTGTTCTGGTGGACACTTTGTTTAAGTCCTCTCCTCAGGGGTCAGAAAACGCACCCCTGCGTGTGGTGTAATTTTGCACTGGGTTGTCATAGAGACGACTGCCGTGCACTGCCATAGCCTTTTTTTGCTTTTACTTCATATTTTTTTTACATGTAGTAAGGTGGGACTCGCGTTCGGCATGTTTAGTATTAATATTATTACCTGTCAAGTTCCGAAACGGTAACATGGCAAGTGGGTCTTTCCACTATATGGGGTATGGGGTATTGTAATGACAACAAAGTTTGGGTTTGAGAAAGAGAGAGGCACTGGAGAGTACAACAAATACAGATAGTTTGTTCAGTTTCCCTGCATTCTCGAGGCCTAGTATAATATGTTCATGTATACAGCTTTCTCTGTGGGTCATCGTAATCATTAGCTATAGTGGACAGACATTTTGCTAAAAATTGACAGGACATTAATTGCATCTCATATATATTTATGACCAATTCAGGATTGCTATCAGTCAAAAGAAACACATTTTCTTGGTCTTCAAGACATTTTTATATAAATAATGTTGATAACTTGAATCGAAATTTTGTTGAAACTTTCTGTTCATGTTACGCCTGCCATATTCTGAATATAATATCCTGTGATGTCTTAGATATAACATCTTGGTTTTTACATGTAAAAAAAACCCTGTAGGGATAAGAACATTTGGGTGAATGCGTTCTTATTATACATTCTATCAATATAACAAACTCAAACACTTCTTAACGGGTGGGATTACAAAAAGAGGACAAACGACCCATGTTACACCTCTGTACCCCTTTAGTATGGAATGACCCACATACATTTTATACCAACCTAAACGGAACAATATTAGGACAGGACCTTATCGGAGAACATAATATATTAACCTCCTCGCTTATTACCGTGACCTCAGTAACTCGGTTATTTCGCCGCTTTTAGACCGTAGGCCTATATTTCTTATGGTCAAGCATTTTGTAGCCTATATCTTGCTCCAAGATGTTTTTCTTGAGCGTAAAAGTTTTCGCGAAGATATAAATAGGCTATGCTTGTAAGAATGAAGTATTATACAGACACGCCGGTTTCAGTAAAAAAGAAAAAGAAAGAGGCACTCATAACCGGGTACATGCATTGATGATATCATATCATCATAGTCACTTTAATTACTTCCGAGTATTTTATCACGAGATAATTAATTAGTCGTGAATCATTTCAATCTCTTAAAATGAGGACGTGACAGCAATACCCTTTGTATTTCCAAGCAGGAGCTTGATCTGTGTCACAGTCATAAAACTTTTTTTCTCTCAGAAGGTAATGTACACAACGGTTTTGCGTTCTTACTGTTCGTTCACACTGGCATGTTTACAATCATAGCAGTAGGCAGTCACTCCTATATCCTTTGCCTTTGTGGGGTTAAACTGAAATGCATACAGTCGTTTTAAAATAAAAGCCGGCCGGGTTTAATATAATATAACCCCCGGGTGTACATAAATGCCGTTATCTAGTCCAGTCTGTTTTACAATGATAATCGACAGGAGTTATATCAGAAGGGTATAAGCTAAATTATTTTCAAAATCTGAGAATACAGCCCTTCCACCAACCTACGTACCTCAATATTATACATATTAAATGCATTTTGATCTAGGCGCGCTTCAGCTGCACAGTCTGCATATATTCAATACATTATTTTCATTAGACCTGGGCTGGTGGTCTTCTTGCCGACAAATAAACATTAATCTGTATGCATAGTACTTGAAATTATCATGGTAAAAAGTTATTAATACAGTGATAATCTGGTTCCCTGACCTGGCGACTTCCCCTCTCGTCTCTCGGTACAAAACTAGATTTATAGATTATCAGAACGGATCTAACAAGTATAACAAAGATTCTATTAGAAAATACAACCAAAACATCTGAGCTATAGCAAACTATGTCTGCGTGTACGTGAAACAGGTAGCCTCGAAATGTTTTTGGAGGAATTTCTATTTGGTATAAACGTGATATCGGCGCCTACCTGACCTCAGACACGCAGAAAAGTCAAACTCTTTGAGAATGGGAACCAGACTAAGAATGAGTTTCAGTACTACTTCTGAAGTTTGAAATTACTGCATGGTACATTTCAGTTATATTACCCAGTATTTTGTACAAAACTGATGTAAAACGATTAACACAAGGACCGAAAAAGTAAAATGACTAATTTTGTAGACATATCTTTCTCGAGAGATCTAATCGGAACTCAGGAAATGTCTTAATTAGGGAGAAATACATTGTACATTTACATACACATTAGTACATGTATATCAGTTCTGAGTATAATGTGCCGAAGCTTCGCTTCGCCGGCTATGCGGGGGAGGCGGCTTCGTCACGTATCGCCCGCTTTGCGGTCCATACTGCAGTTGTCTGCTTCGCGGGCGAGTCGCCAGCTTCGCGGGCAAACTCCCGCGCGCCTCGAAGACGATCAACTCGTGAACAACTCGTGAGCACACATTTACACATTTTTGATTCCAAAAGTAAATAATACATATAAAATTAAAGGTATAAAAACTATATAATTTGCTGAGTCTGTTTTGCCCTTCTGGATGTACGGATTCATTTTCTCTGTCACCTTATATATTGTGTTAAATTGAGTATGTTTTATAATTCTGTTGTTATGCTATAGAAAAAACATGAACATTCATTACAAAATAAAATATGGTGTAACATCATTACAATTTTCATTTATAACACATCCTCGTCCATGTACATTTTAAGTATCAACCCAATAGCACCTAGTGTAGTTTTGGAGATATTGAGCTTCGAAATTGCACCTTTAATGTAATGTAACTTGATTGACGTCACAATTATGTCACTACAATTTTCATCTATAACACATCCCTGTCTAATAACATACAAAGTATGAACTCAATCGTCCCTGTAGTTTTGTAGACGTGCTTCGAAAAATGTATTTTTAATGTGATGTTACTTGACACCTGATTATGCCATGTGACGTCACTCTTCGAGACACGATTTACATGGTTTTTGTTTATGTCAAAAGTGACAGTCAGAAAAGACGTGCGCAAATAATGTGTATTAACTTCAATGAATAGCCGATCTGAATCGACTGAATATAAATTTGTGTACTCTGGGACTAGCTTTACCAGCTTGCCTTGTCTTCAGTATTTCTGATATAATTGGGTCTTCTCCCAATAGTCCATACAAGGGTCACGACCGTGGCTTCGGTTGCAGACCAGTAAATCGGTCCGAAATTGCCTACGCCGGCCAAATCACGATTTGCATGCCCTCAAAATTTTCAGTATTTGAGCATGCTGTGGGCCATGAACTTGAGGATTTGTAAAAAGAATATGGGTGGAAGCCGTGCACAGGACTGTGAGCTTGTATTTCCGTTCAATTTGGATGAAATTGGGGCCCTTAAAGCGCTCTATTTTGCAATGGAGTGTAGGCATCGTCTTTCAAAATGGCGATGGGCTTCAGGACTATTTTCAGGGGTGATCATCTTCGAATGGAAATTTCTCCTAAAAGTCATCAGTTGACCCCCAAACAATTGAAAAGAAAATGAAAGATGATGAAATAAGCTATAATTTGATGTGTGTCTCGAACACCTTGGAGAGTTGTGAGTATTTTTCCCGAATTTCTGAAGTGGGAGCATTTACCATTGGGGTCCATGGAAGTTTATTTACTGGTCTGCAACCATATCATCAACATAACCAATTAGGCGATCAGGTTGAATGGCTTCCATGTCCTCGTAGCCTGGTGATGCTGGCGGTGGAGTTGCTGATGGTTGTGATTGTGCTGGTGCTGGTGGTGGTTGTGCTTGTGATCCTGCTGCTTCTGGTGTCTGTGATGCTGCCTGTGGTGGTGGTGGTGGTAGTGGTAGTGGACGGGATAGCAGTTGTGCTGGAGGGGTTGTTCGTTGTTCTGGTGCTGCTGGGGCGTTCCGAGATGGCAAGGTATTTAGTCCAGGTACCATGTAGTTCTCATCGTCGCTATCATCCTCAGGCTGGCCGAGCTGAAATGCCGCATTCGTGTGTCCATTTGGTATATTGTAGATTATGTTCACTGCGACTTCGCCTTGACCGTGTTCTTTATCCTTGAAACACTTATTTCTGGCAATGGTGCCTCTTCTGATGAGCACAAGTAACACTACCATCACGAAAAACAGGATGCCAGAAATCACAAAGATTGATATGACAGGTAAGTTGTTACCAGTGGGTTTTGCAGTTGGTGCTGAAGTTGGTGTTGCAAATGGTGTTGCAGTTGGTGTTGCAGTTGCTTCAGGCACCGGTGAGAGTAGTATGCGAAGTTCGACAGAGCTCTGAGCTTCCCCAGCATGATTGCTGACTACGCATGTGTAGAGTCCTTCGTTGGAAAGGCTAACATTGGTTATTAACAAGGAACCATTATCCGCCATGGCGAAGGGCGGCTGAGGTTGGTCTGGATAGATAAATCCGTGACTTTTGGTAATCCAGAAAGATTGTAAAATTGGGTCTGCGTCGATAGCACATGCTAAAAGGGCATTGGTTTCAAGATGCACTGAGACTGTGACATTAGGGGAAGTTGAACGTGGTTCGCAAGCGAATTTATTGGGAAGAAGATCGACCACAGAGCTATCATTTAGACGGTCGGGTGTAACACATTGAAGAGGACTACCTCGATTAACCGTTCCATTGTGGTTGTTTTTGAGCCACGCTGCAAACCCGCGCAAATGGCAATCACAGCGGATAGGATTCCCAGATATTATGAGATTTACTTCGGGGTTAACGTAATTCATTGCTCCGTCCACTACGGTGGTCAAATTGTTGCCTTTCAGGTAAAGAGTATCGAGCCGACCCAGACCCATAAATGCATCTTCGTTGATGGTTGTCAGATTGGTGTAAGCCATGTACAAGGTGGCTAGGTGAGGGTTGTAAAAAAATGCCCGGGCTCCTATCACCGAGATAGGGTTGAAGTCTAATATCAAATCTGTGAGGTGTGGGAACTCTGCCAAGGCAGAGGTAGGAAGTTCAACCAGGGAATTGTAAGAAAGATCGAGCACCTCGAGAAGGATGGGGCGGTAAAAATCATCAGCATTAATAGTTCGAATGGAGTTAGATTGCAATTCTATAGACGTTAAGTATGGAAGAGATTTGACTGCTGAGGGAATTTTAGTGAGACGGTTACCGTTGAGCTCGAGATTTGTTAAATTCGATAATCCATCAAATGCCGACTCTGAAATGGAATCCTCCACCAATGCACTGTTTACGTCAAAAAGATAATTCAGTTTGAGATGTTGCAAAGCCACCATTTGTCCAAAGATAGGAGTCAACAGCAAACTTGCTGGGTTGAAAGACAGGTCTAGTATCTCGACGTTCACTAAGTCTCGCGAGACGTCGACCGGAAATTCATGAATGTTGTTCCTCCTCAATTCCAGCTCCAGTAATAGGGGGACTTGTCTGAAGACGCCACTCGGTAATGAAGACAAGAGATTATTTCCAAGGTTCAACCTCTCCAAGTAAGGGATTCCTTCGAAGGTACGGTTCGTTATTACACTGATTTTGTTACTCGTGAGATCCAGATGTTTCACATTCGGCAGACCTCGAAACGCGCCATCTTCTATCTCAACGATTTCATTATTATAAAGATAAAGTTTCCTCAGTTGCCGGAGTCCGGAGAACGCGTCAGCTTCCAGCCTGGTAAGTTTGTTGTGTCCCAGCTGAAGGATGACGGTGTCGAAAGGCAGCCCAGCAGGGATTGCTGTGAGATTTTCTCCCTGACAATGTACCATCTTACCGGTGCTATAAACTCTACAGTTGCAGACACTCGGGCAAGTTGCATAGACCCCCAGAATCATCAGTGAGATTGTGACCAGATATAAGTCGAAGATACACGATTGCTTTGTCCCTAACAGACCCATGGTTCCTCGGCAGTGCATCAGTAGGTGGAGAGCTGGTGATATGAATGTAAGAGATCATGACACGAATGACTTTAAAAACGACTCGCCATTTGAGCAATTACATTGCAAAAACTGCGATGTTACCAACACAACCTACGGTTCTTTCTTGGTAACTATAGCAGAAAAACACCCATGGGTGTTATTTCCACCAACTGGTGGCGTAAATTTACTTCAATACGAATATTTTAGTGCTGTAACCACATCCAAATAAATCGGTGTTGTATTTGTAATACACTTGGTGTTAAGTGTATTCTTCCCCCGACGTCAATTTTGGAGAACACCCATGGTTTAAATTATCACCATATAATCCTTAGAGTAATGTTTGACACTAATCCCTGTGTCCACCATAAAGTGGTGTTATAATGGTAATATTTTGGTGGGGAAAATATTTTCTACTGGTATCAAGAAAACACCTCTGGTATATGCTCTTAATATGTGTAGGGTATTTGTTATAGTGTTGTAGTCGAGTACCAAAACTCGAGTACTAAGTTTTCCGAGAACACACAGTGTCGAGTACGGGCCGAGTCCGAGTACTTTTTAGTCGAGTCCTGGGCCAAAAATCCGAGTTCGAGTTTTTCAGAGTCCGAATACGGGCTGAGTACGAGTACAAAGATATCGAGAACATCCCGAGTACATTTTTAAACTAAATCATTATGGAAATTAGCACCGTTACTTACATCTGATATGTAAAGTAATTACCCAGTATTCCAAGAAATCAACACGTACACATATTAAAAAATGTTGTTTTTGCTTGGAATTCTTGATTTATTGCGTCGAAGGTGCTTATTGAAGTTGGAAGTTGTTCCAGACTTCTCCGAAATCCGCAGCCCACATGACTTGCATACTGCGCTGTGCTGCTTCTGTCCGTTAGCGAAATATTCTTTGTGATCCCTAAGATATAATTTCTGACGAAGAAGACATGTCTACGTCTGGATCGAACTCGCCGCCATGCGCCAGAGAATGTGACACGTTTCCAACAAGGAGTGATGTGCACAACCTCTTCCCCACGGATACGATCTTTCCGCGCCTTGTTAGTTAGAAAATACCTCGTGTGATGAACGCACATGCGGCCCATGGAAAGAAGAATGCGATGTATTTCGCTGGTATTCTTGTAGTATTCAGTAGGAATAGGACAATAAAAAATGTGCACCAGAGATACTGCGAGCGCTGCCAATACCCATTCACGAATGCTCGATTTAGAGTCGATAAAGAATACAGCGCAATACTTTCATCATTTTCATATACACTCTGTGAAATTTTTGGTCAAAGTTTAGTATCGAAAAATTAGTATCGAACAAATCCGAATTTTCTTTCGAGTACTGCGCGACTGGGATCGAGTTCACCGAGTACAATTTGTCGAGTTAAGGGACGAGTCCGAGTACAAAATTACGAGTACGTGCCGAGTACTTGGTTTTTTTTTTTCGAGTACTTATGATCGAGTACGGGCCAAGTACTTATTAGTACTCGAGTTGTACTCGAGTTCGAGTTCGAGTACGAGTACTCCAACACTGATTTGTTATCATAAATCCCAGTGAACATTTAGTTTTTGGGACACCACAAAATGTCTACAGTGTCTAGTAGGTCAATATAAAACCAACTGCGCGATTTCAGATTATTTCAATATTGGTCAGGGACCTGGTAAGTTGCTGTGAAAAACTCAAGCAATGCCGCATGTCGTTTAGTTTCCAAGCTGCAATTCCAAAGAAATTTATTATTCGATTCAAATTCATGTCGTCCAATCAGTTTGCTTGATCATCGCACAGGCGTACTTCTTGTTGTTTTGTTTTTTTAATACAGGTACAATAACTTTAAACCGAGTTATTCAAGTTTATACAACTTCGAATAACCCGGTGGTATTTTAACACCAAAAGAATCACCACAATTTCTACTCCAGTTCAGTGTTAGCATTTGTAACACCAGAGTTTTTGTAGTGCAAATTATACAGTTGGTTTAAGACATTTACACCGTGACCAATGACAAGCTAGGTTCATGTTGAGTGTAATTAATCTGCTTATGTTTGCTGTTGAAAATGATCGAGGCCAAATAAGTAACACGAAATCGGTTCTCTGTGATTAATTGATCACTCAACTACAATGAGCATGAATTAAAAAAAAAAAAAGTTTCATCTTTACAACTTCCTAAATTTTACCAAAAACTTAACAACGCAAATGAAAACTGGGCCAGTCAATTTACTGTATGAGTAAAATTCACGCATTATTACAGTTATTCTATGCTCGAAAGCTCCGGTTGAACCTGATATAAAACAGGTTTATTTACAGGTCATTTCCGTATGACTTTTAGAGGAACACGTGACTTTTAGTGGAACTGTCTAAATTGCGCAAGAAAAAGCCTGTGTTGTGAAAATATTTCGGATCTGAAAATAAATGCCGAGAACTTTTTCCAGCTGAAGTTATTTCAAATATGTATAATGAGGTATGAAGCACGTACAAAAGACTGAAGACTGTCATTTTCTGATGCACAGAGGTATTGGTACACAAAATAAATAGGTCTTATTCTCTTTTAGAAAGTTGAAACCGGGTAATTATGCAAGACTGACAAAATGCACTTTCAAAATTAGGTCTGTTGTATATTCGAAAAGTTTACGAAAATGCTATGAAATGTCATGACATAAGCTTGGGTTTTCAATTATGTGAATAATTTCAGTTCGACCATGAGATAATGACGATAGTTTTTGGGAAAAGGCGTGATTCATTTAAGAATTATTTAATTTACATGATGTTCAAGACTGTCAGTCTGTCACTGTTATTTTCAAGTTCCACTAGTAAGTATATTCAATTTGCTATATAGGTTCTAGGAATACAATTATTATCCACTTTTAAGAAACTGAAACACAAAATATCCGCCTTTGTTAAGGATAACGGAATAACTTTACAATTTCAAATTATTGTGGCATTACAGTATAAAATCATATAATAAATCATATTGTTGTTGCATTAGAGGCGCAAAAGCAACCCAAAGTAAAAATCCCATTTCAGAGGGTTACAGAAGCCCCCAAGAATGTGTTTTTGTTTATGACTACGGTCGAAACAATTAAGATAAGATTCTTTTAAATATTAACCGTCCTTCGACTTTCAACCCGACAAATATATATATTTTTCAATTGCTCTTTTGTTTTGTGCAATAAAAAAAATCAAGTTTATTTGAGACATTGAGAAAACAAATAGTTGGCATGATTTTCAGTAATTTAAAACTTGGCAAAAATCGGCCCACATTTAGTTGAGGAAATAAAATTTCAAATTGCGAATTATGCGTGGCCCAACAACAATTCAGTTCTCACAGAACCGCCCCCCCCCCCCCCACCTCACCGCCATCAAATCAGAATCGGGATGCAGAGCGTATATTTTAGTTTGTACTAAAGTGAACCCCAAATTAAACAATTCTTCGGAGTGGGAGTGCCGATGCCAACATTAGCAAACCAATTGGTTTTTCCCCCGTTGAAATCAAACATGAAGTGGAAAATTCATTAGGACAAAACAATTTACTTTTTAAGAACAAGGACAATACATTTTTAAGATTTATTTAAGACTCGTACCTGGAGATCCAATGGCTGTGGGTGCAAAGCAGGTGTACCAACAGAGAAACCTAATCTCTCAGTGCATCGAGACCAGAAGTGCACGGTCGCGTGTACATTCATATAGGGCCTATAGTACAGCGATTGGAGGGCCTTCATTGTTATGATAATGAAATGAAGTCATTTTTATTTATACATAAGGGGCCTCCCCTGATTTTGAAATCACGGACAAGTATTTCGCAACCATGGGACACACAACAGACTCAGAAAGGATTGTTCAGGAGGTAAATGCTAAGTAAAATAAGCCTGCTCAACCATAAAAAATGAAAGGCCAATTTCATTTCAAGCGTGTTTTGGTGCCTTTTCATTTTTTAAGCTAGTGCAGACCAGATCCATATCACGAGTAACACTGCTTCTGAACCAAAGTTGCCAGCATGTAAAAATAAAAAACATTTTGTGCGGGGGTGCATTGTTGTTTCGGTACATGGCACTGATGGCAGTGGTGGTGTTTTTTTCTCATTTTTCCCATAAAAAAAATTAGGGTAGGGGCTGTCAGAATAGGGTAGGTAGGGAAACCGGAAGCAGAACTATTATTTTTTTTGGGGGGGGGGGCCTAATTACGTAATGGACAGAATTTTTGCTAATATAAATTAACAGGACTAATTGTGCATGAATTTACCCAAATGTAATCTCGTTATATTCATAACCAATTTAGGATTGCTACCAGCCAAAAGAAACAATTTTCTTGGTCTTCAAGACATTTATTTGATATAACGTTCATAACTTGGCTAGGAAATTTATGAAAATTTCAGTTTGACAATATGTTACGTACGTGCGTCATATTCTGAATATACTAACCCCTGATGTCTTAAATATACAGGTAACACAGGGGTCAGAATAAAATGGACAATATTTGGGTACATTTATTGTTGTTATTATACAAATAACGAATGTTTGTGAGTGCGATGGTAAGAATAATTTCATGAGGTGACAGATTGAATGTTCTATTCCACGAGGCGAAGCCGAGTGGAATAGAACATTCAATCTGTCACCGAATGAAATTATTCTTTCCATCGCACGAACGTAAAACATTCGTTATTTGTTTTATACAACACCTGAATAAATTCTCGTCATTTGATTGGTAAATTATAAACTACAATTTATTTTGATTTTAAAGATGTTGAACTACCCCTTCACGAAAATCTTTGAACCCAACGCTGTAGCCTGCTGGCTCTTTGGAACAATACGCGCTACGCTATACGCTGAACGCGCACACCAGCATGCATTTTGCACGCAAATACCGCGTCATGGAACAAGCGCAAAGTGAAACGGTATAACGCATGGGTATAACGCATGGTCGCACCGTGCATTATACCGAATAATAATATGTCACGTGATCTACAATTCACCAATCAGATGATGGGGATTTATTCAGGTGTTGTATAAAACTTTCTATCAATATTAACAACGAACACTCCTTAACAACGGATGGGAATGAACACGAAAAAGAGAGAAAATAACTTGATATTATTATCCTGCTTCATTTTATGTTTTGTAGAATGTTTCTATGTAGAATTATACAGACATACCGGTTTCAGTTTTTAAAAAGCGGCACTTGCACAGCCGGGTATGCATATAATCATAGCCACTTCTATTTAATCCGAGTATTTTGTTACAAGACCATTAATTAGTCATGAATCAATTCACTCTCTTAAAGGGTCCATGAAGTGAAATTTTCCGAGGAACATATTTTCTGCAACCTTCTAGGCCCCTACTCCTCTTAAACGTATGACAAATATTTGACATCCCTTTTTGGTTAACTTTATTGAAAAGTGCACTTCTTTCAACATTTAAAGTTTGCCACGTTTTTCCGGACAACTGAGGGCACTGTTGCTTGTGATGTCATTTTAGGAAGACACTGTTCAAGTTAAGGGGTTTTATGTTCAAATTGTGAACCCCAAAATTGGCTTATTGAAAATATTTGTTACGACAGCAAAATATCCAAAATTTTGTCAACTTTTGGTGCTGAAATAGCCGAAACATTTAGGTTTCTGCCTGAAATGACATCACACTTTTGCTCATGAATATGGAAATTTGCATTAGCATAAAAACCAAGAAAGGCACCAAAATTCCCTTGAAAATGGCAAAACGAAAATAAAAAATTGGGTTAAATGGGACATCGACACAAAGGTGCACTGTTTCTAAGTATTGCATTAAAAAAAATTACACTTCACGGGCACGTTAAAATACGTGACAGCAACTCATTTTGCATTTCAAAGCAGGAATTCTGGGTCACATAAAACTTTGAGTTTTTTTCCCCAGAAGGTTCTAATGTAGGCCCTATACAACGGTTTTGCGTTCTTACTGTTCACAGGTCTACAATCAATGGTAGTAGGCACTCACTCCTTTAACCCTTGCCTTTGTGGGATTAAAAATGAAACCAATGAAATAACATTCAAATATACTGGTTAACACATAAACCCCGGGTGAATGTCATATAACTTCTGAGTATATACTTTGTCCAGTCTGTTTATTACAAGTAATACATACATAATTCATTTTAATTGTTACGCACTTCATCTACACAGTATGTGTGTATGTCAGTGTAATCATATAATGATTCTCATAATTGAACAAGCTAGGACTGGTGCCCTTTTTAGCCGATAAATAGACATTATACTTTATGCACCGGACTAGTACATGAAACTATGATGATAAAACTAAAACTGAAATTTAATAAGACAGTGATAGTCTGGTTCCCTGACCTGACGACACCCCCACGTCACAGAAGACAGCAGAGAAAGGGAATTGGAAACTGGAGGAATCATACGTGTTTTGGTAACGCGTATCGATACCTACGTATAGAACCTGACCTCAGATGCGCAGAAAAGTCAGAATTTTTGAGCCTGGGAACCAGACTAAAAAGGACTTTCATTACCACTTCCGAAGTTACTGGTCCATTTCAGTTACCCAAAAGTTTGTGCAAAACTGTGAAACGATTACCATTTGGACCCCAAAAAGTAAAATGACTTATATACATTTATACATACATCTTCAAGTTTCTCGAAAGAACTGATCGGTCCTGAGTAAATGTCTTAATAACGGAGAAATACATTGAACATTTACCAATTTACATACATTTGCTATTTATAGTAGAGCGATAATAATTATTCCCAAAAAGTGATAATAACTAGAATTGCGTCTGTTTTACAGAAAACAGGCTTTTCCCCATGTACGCATTCATTTTCTCTCTGGACTTTTCACTCGGCTTCGCTTCGTGAAATAGTTCATATTTTACCTGGCGATAATATTCCTCCCCGTTCTGAGCCACTCAATTTACTATTACCCAAAATTGTGTACAAAATGAAACACACGTGGACCGAAAATAGTACATTGACATGTGCAGACAACACGCATGAAAACCGTCCACCAGTGACTAGCTATTTTGAATCGATGGAATTTGTTGTGCTCTGGGACCTATTTTACTATAGGCTTTCCATATCTTTGTTCTTATTAAGCCTACTATTCAAACCCTCTCGTGTCTTTTCCAACACGTCAGATCCAAGGGGCATGAACGTCTCTCTGCGAAGCCCTAACAGAATGCTCGATTTAGAGTCGATAAAGAATACAGCGCAATACTTTCATCATTTTCATATACACTCTGTGAAATTTTTGGTCAAAGTTTAGTATCGAAAAATTAGTATCGAACAAATCCGAATTTTCTTTCGAGTACTGCGCGACTGGGATCGAGTTCACCGAGTACAATTTGTCGAGTTAAGGGACGAGTCCGAGTACAAAATTACGAGTACGTGCCGAGTACTTGGTTTTTTTTTTTTCGAGTACTTATGATCGAGTACGGGCCAAGTACTTATTAGTACTCGAGTTGTACTCGAGTTCGAGTTCGAGTACGAGTACTCCAACACTGATTTGTTATCATAAATCCCAGTGAACATTTAGTTTTTGGGACACCACAAAATGTCTACAGTGTCTAGTAGGTCAATATAAAACCAACTGCGCGATTTCAGATTATTTCAATATTGGTCAGGGACCTGGTAAGTTGCTGTGAAAAACTCAAGCAATGCCGCATGTCGTTTAGTTTCCAAGCTGCAATTCCAAAGAAATTTATTATTCGATTCAAATTCATGTCGTCCAATCAGTTTGCTTGATCATCGCACAGGCGTACTTCTTGTTTTTTTTTTTTTTTAATACAGGTACAATAACTTTAAACCGAGTTATTCAAGTTTATACAACTTCGAATAACCCGGTGGTATTTTAACACCAAAAGAATCACCACAATTTCTACTCCAGTTCAGTGTTAGCATTTGTAACACCAGAGTTTTTGTAGTGCAAATTATACAGTTGGTTTAAGACATTTACACCGTGACCAATGACAAGCTAGGTTCATGTTGAGTGTAATTAATCTGCTTATGTTTGCTGTTGAAAATGATCGAGGCCAAATAAGTAACACGAAATCGGTTCTCTGTGATTAATTGATCACTCAACTACAATGAGCATGAATTAAAAAAAAAAAAAGTTTCATCTTTACAACTTCCTAAATTTTACCAAAAACTTAACAACGCAAATGAAAACTGGGCCAGTCAATTTACTGTATGAGTAAAATTCACGCATTATTACAGTTATTCTATGCTCGAAAGCTCCGGTTGAACCTGATATAAAACAGGTTTATTTACAGGTCATTTCCGTATGACTTTTAGAGGAACACGTGACTTTTAGTGGAACTGTCTAAATTGCGCAAGAAAAAGCCTGTGTTGTGAAAATATTTCGGATCTGAAAATAAATGCCGAGAACTTTTTCCAGCTGAAGTTATTTCAAATATGTATAATGAGGTATGAAGCACGTACAAAAGACTGAAGACTGTCATTTTCTGATGCACAGAGGTATTGGTACACAAAATAAATAGGTCTTATTCTCTTTTAGAAAGTTGAAACCGGGTAATTATGCAAGACTGACAAAATGCACTTTCAAAATTAGGTCTGTTGTATATTCGAAAAGTTTACGAAAATGCTATGAAATGTCATGACATAAGCTTGGGTTTTCAATTATGTGAATAATTTCAGTTCGAC